AGCAGACCGACATTTATTACAGATATTTCCTTCAAATTGAATAAAAGGAACGTGCCGATTATTTACAAGGGTTTATACGGGTACAGGATACGGGTCAGTAATCAACGCTCTGAAATCATGAAGAATCTTCACTTATTAAAAGTATTTAACATTCCCAAAATTTAATTTCTATTGCTTCACCAATTTACTAGATTTTTTCATATTTCTGTAGCTAATTTTCATAATGGTTGCCATTGTGATGGTCCAGGGCCAGTGGATGGACCAAAAATTTTGTGCCAGTGGTCAAACTAAGGTCACTGTTGACGGGTTTGTTCGAACTTCGCTGACATCATCACCAACCAATACCTGGTCAACTTGTACCTTCCTCATCAAAAAGGTATACTTAATTAGACTATTTTCATCAAAATTGTCAGAAAAATAATATGTTAATCTCAATTTTTTCAGAATCCCGGCATTTGTCAACTCCGTCTCGACTTCCCCAGCTTTAGAACATCATCCGCTAACTCAGCGGGAGATTGTGACGTTGACAAACTAACGATCCGCAACTCGGTCACGGTTGACGATGGCTTCTCAACATGTGGAGATGTGACAGGACAACACAGTAATTAAATATTTGTATTTTTTAAACTTCTTGAAAATCTTTTAAATTTAATCATACACTTTTCAATCCAAAGTGTATCTTACCTTTGGGGAGACCTGCGACACGATAGAAATTACACCGAAACTCTCACCGACGTCACCCTTTGGAGCATACAGTATTTCGATGACGCCAATTCCATGCTCGTCTCCTGACTTGGGTAGATAAGTAAATTCTATTCAAATATTTTTAGTTATTTTTTGTAGATTTCATTTGTGTTAAAAGCCTTGTCTTTTATTCCAGTTCCAAGTCATTGTTTGCAAAATTACAATGCCAGCTATACAACCGGAGTTGTCAGATCATTCGACTATCCCAATCAACAACAAAACAGTCAAAAGTACACTGTCTGTGTGCAGAGTGAAGATGGAAAAGAGATTATCGTAAACTTATCAAATTATTTAACTTTCTCGAAAATATTTTCAACATAAAATTTCCTACCTAGTGGAAACCCTGCACATCCGAAGACGGATATCCCAGCGGTTCACCATTCTCAATATCGTCCAAGCATCCTGAAGAAAGTTGTGACACAGATTGGATTGGCGTTAACGGAGATCTTCCGCGATGTTCAAATTTCCCGGGACGCGTAACCTCCACCTGGAAGCCATTCTTGCTCAATGTCAACTTGGATGATTTGGAAATCCCTCCAAGCCCACTCGGCGATGGCTGGGCGACAGGTAAATTTATGGTCACGTATTAATTTATAATTTGACATTGCAGATTTAGCTGTTAGACTAGTACTCAATTCTCGAAAATTAATTAGTTAACTAATTAATCTCTAGTTAATTTTGATAATGTTTTCTTTTCTAAATTGCAGATCCTGCATCCTGCGTGAGGGCTGGACCAAATTCTGGTGGACTTTTCATCTGTGAATGGTTTGTAGAATCCAGCCCAGGTGCAGAAGGGAGTTGTCAGTGTGAGGTTAATCCCATCCTTCTAGTTCCTGGTTTCGATCCGACGGTCTTATTCGGGCCGCGACCAGATATTGGAAATACTGGGTTTTGCTTGAGATATGACGTGCAAATTTGAAAATTCTCAGCGAAATTCAAAAGCATGTGTAACGTTTTAAATATGCATGTGGTGTAAGTATATATCAACTTTCACACCAAATAAATAATGTCAGAATAAAACAATCAAATACTTTTATTTGTAAAATATCGTACAAACTTTCAGTTTGTCGTGAGATTTAGATTTTAAAGAAATCATGCACCACATATTTTGTGTCTCATATTTTGCGATTGATTCCGAATTTTTACACTATTTCATGCCATCAACAGAGGAATCGTAATGAAGATTCTACTCTGTTCCAAAACTTTGTGCCACGGGCTTCCACCACCTTCTTGCAGATGAATAACTTTACTGTTGCTAATTTTATATATCTACATATGTACATACTAAGCGTGTTGTTTATCCTAACGATATAATATCCTACCCTTATGGATGGATACTCACTGTATTTAGACGATGCTTCGAACAGTTAATCAGAAAAAATGTTGTCTTTTGTTAATTGGACGGCATTGTATGTTTAATTATGAATCTGCACGATCTCTACGATTGCTTCATTAATTAACTTACTCGCGTAGTTTCTTCCCAGTTGAGAACAAATTTACACAGACATTACATACCTTAATTAATTACACATTAAACTATATGTATTTATGGACGATAATACGTGAAAAGGCTGAAAGATTAGTCACTATATATATATACCTCAATCTGTTAATCCAATACAAATCCCTTCCTAAGTTTTTACCGTTAATAAGCTTATAAATTAAATATCCTCCTAACAAATATTTCTAACTTTTATTTTTATTAATAAATTTTTCCCTTTAGTTAACTTCCCCTCATTAATTCACATCATTGCAAAAGTTTGTTTCATTGAAATACATATAACATAAAGTGAACCTACTTAGTTCTGTTGAACCTTGAACAGTTGAACCTTTAGTTATCTATATTTAGTTATCAGAAGTCATTAGCTCTGAAACAGGGTGTGATAAATAAATAAAATTTTCCACAAAGTCGGAATTACTTTGAAATTCTTGGTTTGCAAGTAACTACTGTGAATAAATTTAATTCACATCTAAATTAGCCATTAATCTATCATGATAAATCCACCACTTTGGGTCATACTCGTCTTATGTGTGATCATTCTGTACTGGTAAATAATTTCAAAAACATTTAATTTCCATTCATATCGCATGCCAACTTTTAACCCAGATTTTTTTGCATTATGTATGCAGGAAATTCTACAAATTAGCCTACCCCCATGACAATAATGCCAACGAGGGAACCGTCCATAAAACCTTACGTGAATCGTTTCCATCACGAAGTGCTGAACTTTGTTTAGCGACAGAAGATAAAGGAACTATTGTAAATGAAACAATAAAAGTACGCCAGTAATGTTTTTGCACGATAAACATGCATTTTCGGCCACATACATAAATCGACATAGATAAATATAAATGTCAACTCTACCAGACTTCTTGGGTACAAGTGTCGTTTTTTTTATCTTTTTTCGAGGTACATATTGCGGAAAACCCCTATCCCGAAACTTTTTGAGTATGACTATCAAGCGTAACTAACACGGTTATACAAGCCAAAACACTGATGAATCATGATAGCGATGTTTCCAATAAATTATTTTCAATTAATTCATCGCCAGGTTATTCTGATTCCTAGCACCCGTCACGTATAATTTATTATCACCGCTTAGTAAATCCGGCTTTGATGTATATTGCCTGATTGATCTTGAATCATTCTGGTTCACCAAAACTTTCCCGTCATAGAAATAATCCACATTTATTCCGGTATAAGTTAGAAAATCGCGTTCACATATCCCTTTGTATGTTACCTTTAAAAATTAAAACGTTCTCTTCTCGGAATTATTATTTCAGCGAATCCACTCAGGCAAAAACATATGTACTATACCACTTAATCGCAAATATTTATGAAATCGACACGGAATTAAATCTGTAAATTATAATATTTTTATTGATTCTTAGTAAAGTATTGTATCGCAGAGTTCACATAATAATTTAAATCGTATCCATGGCAACTAATTGGATCCGTATCAATAATCGTAGAAATAATCGTAGAAATTTCACAAAAAAAAAGGTCTAAAAAAAGCTCTAAAAAGCTAAATTATTCCTCTTACTATGTGTAATATCTATTCAATATCAATCAAAACCAGAAGCTCATTATCTATGTTGGATCTCCTATCCCATAAAATATTGCGCACATCCTTCAGAACTCTTTAGTAATTCATGGACCTATAGATAACTACAAAGTTCATAAATATTTCATCACAATGAAAATTTGCACACTTCTCGCAATTTTCATCCTTTCTACTCTCCTCGTTTCTTCCGAAGCGAAATTTGGTTTCCCTGGTTTCGGCGACCGGGAGAGTAGTCATAACTATTTATTTCTGAAACATCATTTCAAATTAAAGACAAAGAATTTATGTATTTAAATAAGAATGCCTGAATTCGATAGACATGAAATTGGTTTTACTTTCTTGTTGTAACTACTCATTTCGACAAATTTATCTCATTGTTTGCCAAAATTCTCTCAAGTATCCTTCTAACTGCATACACATTCTATGGAAGGCTGGTATTTTATATCCAGTGACCGCCGAAGCCGTGGGGACATCTGGGGATTAACATTGCAGGATAGGATGGCGTGGAGTTAATATAACATGGGGAGATTATGGTGACATAGTAAAATCATATCCCACGTTGCATCCATACTTGTGGGTGCAACGGATCAAAAGCAAAAAATAATTCTTCGCCGGCCAGGAGGAATCGAACCTCTGGCTATTTCTAGCCCAATAGGTGTCCCCTCTCATTGGCATTGAAGCCTATCCCGTCGACCACGACGGCTCAGTCCGGCAGAGGAAATACATTTTATCCAGTACTTGTCGGACTGGGAAAATTTGGTAATGGGCATACTCACGTCAACACATAAGTTAGCAAACTTTTGCGAAATATGCTTGCGAATTGAAAACATGCCCTTTTTTGCTGAGTAAAGTTGCGTAAAAATCCCCTAGCATATTTTGTAAAATCTCTACTTGCATCATCGACATGCATACATACATATTGTTGTGTATACCTATACATAGTCATATTATTGAGTATTCTCACATAAACGTTTAAGTTTAGACAATGTTGGCTGCCCACAATATTCTTTATTTCGCCTTACAAATTTTTTTAATGCTAAATTACTATGTGTGTGTCTTGTTATATACTTATGCAAATCGTATGAGGAGATAATAAATTTAAAATTTAAAATATACGCATGCATGCAGGAGAAAAGTACGTAGATAATTTACAATAGTATACTAATCAATAAAGTAGTAAACAATACTTTATAACTTTTTTAAATTTTTATTTCATAATGCATCATAAATTAATCAGACCTTGCCAATTAATTTCTATACAAACCTTACCTTACTAGTAATAACACACTTTACAAATATTTCTTCAACTCTTCCTCATCCCCCAGTATATTACTTGGCAGGACCCTCACATCATTCGGATTCGGTCGCGCCACCACCAAGGAAATTTTAGTGTTTGTCTTCCTCCCATTTGTAAACGCCGCCTGTGCCTCAGATCCCCTCAATTTTGCGAGATTTTCCCCATTCGCGCGAATTATGTAGTCACCCAGTTGTAACCGTCCATCTCGATGGGCATACCCGCCAGATTCAATTTCAATTACGACAACGCCCCCATGATGTTTCGACCAGGTCGTAATAATTCCAAGTTTACTTTCCTCAAGTGGTTTACACAAGTCGATCATTTGGACCATCGCGTTCCTTGAGCTGAACTGAAATAATTAGAGTAATATTTAGTGTGGGAAATTTTAAAATAATTTTTTTATCGCACTCAAAATAATCCCGTTGGTAGTAAACGTATTACCACGCTGGGAATTACTAGCATATATTACCGGTGTGATAAAAATTAATTTACACACTCACAGAAATTGAGCGATAATTATCTTCATATTTATCCTATATGTATGACTCTACTGGATAGGTGATCACAATTCGTGACAATATTATCACCAATAGAGTCTAAGTATGGTGATAATGATCAAAGAAAAAAATTATCAGTGTAACTTGTACCCAGATTATTTTGAGTGCATATCGTCGTACTAATTCTGAAATAACATAAGTGCACTCGATGCTTAATTCCGAAATAACATAAGTGCAGGCTATTTACATGTTATTCTTGTGCACATATGTCATTTCGGAATTAAGCATCGAGTGCACTTATGTTATTTCGGAATTAAGCATCGAGTGCACTTATGTTATTTCAGAATTAGTACGACGATATGATCTACATTTTTTTAATACCACATAATTTGTGGAGCTTGATTTCGTCACCGTGGAGCGTTCCTTCAGAGGAGTAACTCCAGGCGTAGTTGCTGAGGCATTTTCCGTAACGGTTCTTCTTCCCATTGATTTACCACCAGTTAAGAGAAGAAAAACCCCTAAACAGCTCATTTGTAGGAGGCAGAGGACCAAAATGTCCCAAATGGTCATGGTACCCTTAAAACAAAAAAAGATGTACAAAATTGTACCAATTTTTTACTCGAAATTTTATATTTTTTAAATTTGCCAGTTCTTACAATTTTATTGAAAATATTTCGAATATCAAAAATTTTTGGGGATACTACGCAGTATACGATTGACTTTAGTAAGCACTGTCCACGAAACGACTGAAGCGTCCTGGGAAAGAAGTTGACCGTTGGGAAGGAAAAAAAGGTTTATGAAAAGGACCAGTAAAATACGAAAGGGTTCGTCGCGTTCCATTTGATGGGTCAAGTCTCTATTGTTTAAAAAGAAAGTGCCTGAACTGAAGTTAAATACATGGTATACATATCCAGTAAGATTTTTAATCTTTTTAAAGCCTCTTCAGTTAGGTATGAAAATTATTTTACGTTATATAGTAAATTTAACCAGTTTTCTGCCATTTCGGTTCCAACGTTAAGATTCTATTATTAGGTAAATCCCACTAGAGCTTGAATGACAACCCTTCTCAAAGCCAGGAAACATTGTTAAGGAATTTAATTAAAAGGAATGTTGTACCAGAAAAACTTACATATGTACCATTGTAATCAGAAAATTTTGAGGAAAAATAACTTTAGATTGGTTTAGTATATGTATTTAAACGTAATCAATTCCCATGCAGTATCGATTAAAATAACATAAAAAATCCATAATTATTTATAGTATGTATATGTATTGTCATCTTAACGCAGCATTGAAACGTGCCTGCTCATCGGAAATGAGGAAGCTTTTGTAAAGTTGTGGAAATTAATAGATTAAATAGTTTCACAATTTTTTCGAGATCCATACACATAATAATTATTGATGCACATAAGTATCTATCTCATTATGAAAAAATCAAGTTCACGATTTGACTAAATCAATAAAAATATTAAATTCCATTTCATTCTTTATAAATATACATTTCCTATCTTATCCAACAAAAGCAACTCTACCTCATTACCTACTTTAGGTCGCGTCATTTTTTTTTTACTTTTCTTCTGGTCCAAAAAATTTCGGCATGGACACAACATTAACACAGACTTGTAATATGTATGAATATGATTCTACACTTATCCTACGCAACACAAATTATAATGCAGACCAGAAGTAATATTAGTGTGAGTCATAATAAACATGTTGCTCTTAATTGACTTGCTTAATTCATCGCCAGGTTATTCAATTTTAAATACGTTGTCATAACTATAACACTTGTTTCGCATAATGTACTTGCTAAAGTAGAATTTTGCATGACGCATGTTAAGTGATCTTGGACTATTAATTATTAAAACTTCCCCCTTACAGATTTATTCCTTTATTCCTCTGCATTTATTCCTCTAAATATATCTAGAACTTAGTCACGTTCACATTTTAATTTAAAAAATTCTGGGAATTATTATTTCAGAAAATCTGCTTTACAGATGTATGCTTAATCTCACATAATTATGATATACCAATACGGAATTAAATCTGTAAATAATTCTGCTTAATAAATTCCATCCCACGTCCTTCCAGTATCCAATCAAGGTATAAAAATATCCATAAATGCCAGAAGGTGATTATATTATCCATACCATCTCCCCTGCTCTATATAATACTGTCTACCAACCCCAAAAATCTTTAATCTTTCTCGATCACATCCACAGATCACATCCACAGATCAATAAACCGATTAAATTCGAAGCCAAAATGAAAATTTGCACACTTTTCGCAATTTTAACCCTCTTCGTTTCTTCCGAAGCGAATTTTGGCTTTGGTGGTAATGACCAAGCGGATGGAAATTTACATTTGAATCATCGTAAGTTTTTTGCAGAAAAAAAGATCCAACTAATTTTTCTTGGTTTAATATCTTCTAATATTTGTGAACTACTAATCTTCTCAAATAATAAATTTTTGCAATGATAAAGTTTAAAATTGCAATATTGCAAAAAAAATCTAAAATTAAAATTTTAAGTTATTTTTAACTTCCCTAACGTTTATGCCTTGAAAAAATTTATTAAAAAAATTATTTTCTCCTTTAAATTTGCATGCATTGTTTTACATAATATGTACAACAATAATAATAATTAAATAATTAAAAATAACAATTAATAATAATTTGAAATATTATTTCAAATATGATATATGAAATAATTTAAAAATCAAAAATTTATTTTTTTAATTTTTTTATTTTACCAGGACGATGTAACACCGTCGGTACCACGGTCGTCCTAACTCGACCGGATGGATCTTCTGAATCTTGCGTTTGTCAGGCCCCACCCACCACAACGACGACACCCGGACCATCGTCAACTGCTTCGACACCTTCTACAGCTGCTACAACGCCACGAAGAACTTTCAGACCACGCCCAACCCATCCACCACCCCCACCAAGAAATACCTGGGTTTGCACAAACACACCTCGCAGGACCACGACGCCCGCACCCACAATCATACCCACGACACAAGCAGGTAAGGAAATAAAATCGCAATATGATCAATAATTTTGGTTAGGATATAAATTTTTTAATTTGGCTTTTTTTATATTTTTAGTGGGCTAAGGAAAACTAATATGCTGTCGGGTTCTGGAAATTATTTATGTATACATAAGTACTTGTAAAGATTTAGATAAAATTAGGTCTAATATGTTCCCATAGTATAATGTGTAGAATTGAGTGGTGAGATTTGTTGGAACAATAAAAATTTATAAATTACCAGAAGTTTTATTTAGCAACTAATTTAGCAAACTTTAGCAAATGTCCATTTCACGGTTAAATTTTATCCTTATGAGTTTTGCAAAAGTTTGCCAAAATTTCGCTAAGTTTGTCATAATACTCAAAAGTTTATCGCATACGTACAAAATTATGCACAAAATTTGCGGTATGCATTTCAAAAAAAGTATTGCTTATGGTCATGGATTACATAATCAATGTCGATTTCATCTGGACTAATCTTAAATACAGTACGTCATACCTGTCGGCGTTTATCATTTCATTTTACAAGATATGCGAAAATTATACTACGATATTCTCAACCAAAATAAGTCAATTAATAATTTAGTTCAAGTAAAATGCAACAATTTCTGTATTTATCAACGCATTTCCTTGTTAACAGGTACACACACAAATATGTCAACAAATTTAGCATTTATGTAAATTAATAAAAATATATATCCAATCGCATCTGGATCAATTCAACCAAATATTTGTTACGAAAGCCCCACATTTTCTGATTATTTTGTGAGGTAGTCACGAACACATTATGCGTCACCATGTCTGCTCCGATAGGAAGTCTGGCTTCCAGGAATTATTATTTATCAATATTCTTCCTTCCTACATAAATATTTAATAAATCTGAACCCGTGCTGACTGGAATTTCATCGGCCTCGTACTGCGTCATTAACCTTTTGGCATCTTAAATTATATGTATGACAAGTCCTCGTTCTTGATTGTCTCATCCTTCATACATAAAAGAATAACATGTTGTTCTAAATACAATTTTGTAAATTATGGGTACATGTTATCCAGCATGGACTAATCCAACCCAAATTGGATTAATATAGTCATCTTATTAACGCATGAGGGACAATACGCACGTCATCTTTTAATATAAAATCGTCTCAAATTTTATAACCTGACATCATTCCACTCATACCATACCTTAAAAAAACTAATTCACAACAAACATAAAACTTAAGACCTAAAAAGTTAAGATGAAAACTTTCCCAATCCTCGCCCTTTTCGCCATCCTCCTAATCTCGGAAACTTTAGGAAACCACAGTTCTGAAGAAGAGGAAGGATTCTTGTTGAATAATCGTAAGTAGCAAAAAATCGCATATGTATTTTTGCATATCCAAGAAATAATATTTTTTTGCAAAATTTTAGGACGATGTCACTCTGTCGGCACCAGGGTGACCATAACTCGACCGGATGGATCTTCAGAATCATGTATTTGTCAGGCCCCACCCACCACGACGACCTCGTCTACTACCACAACGACACCTCCACCCTCCACGACACATCATGGAGGCCGACGACCCCGACCGACCCGACCACCCCCACCACCACATTCTAAATGGGCCTGTACCTCAACCCCCGTCCCCACAACTACTAACCCACGTATGTAAAATTTAACTTATTTGCCAAAAACTCTAATTGGTGAAAGATTGTAAAAATAATTTATTCTTATTTTTAGCACCTTCAACTTAATCTGTGGTACATTTCATACAATGTATGCATGGATGGTTCTAAACTTTAATGAATAATACATACATCTAATTTATAAAATGTGTAAATTAAACTAAATTAAGTAAACTAAATTGTCATAAATAAATAGACATACAAAATGAATATTTAACTGCGTAATTTTTTTTCTGGAATTAATACAAATATTCTGTTCATATCTACCTTCCTGAATAAATAAATAAATAACTTTTCTACATATCTCGTATAGTTTAGGGAATTAATTAATATAAAAGTTCAGATCACAATTTACTATTCTCTTAATCCTTCTCAGATTCTAATTTAACTTTTTTCCCGTTACAAATTTCTCCCCAATTATTTTCCCTTTTTATCCCTACACTATTTTCCACCTTGACCTAACCCTGCCTCAGTCTTATTAACCTCTCCAGATTTTAATTCATCATCTTCCAGAATCACTTCGGTTTTTATTCGGACCACATTTTCCTCAAAATTTGTTTCCTTATCTTCTTCTCCGGACGAACTATGCTTTGTCGTTAAATGATCAAAAAGTTTATAAAATTCGACCTTCTCTCCACAAAGGATGCACAATCCGTTCCAAGAAGTGTGAATTTTTTTGGCATGTATCCCCCAAGCTGACGCCGAACTAAACGATCTCCGACACGTGTACACCGGACAGACAAAGTTATTCTGATTGGAGGTAAAATTCCTGAAATATGAATTAAAAGTAAAACTTTAAAACTTGCACACAAAAATTATCCACATGCCAAGTATTCCAATTAGGAGCAATTAAATTAAGAAACATTGGCATTCAAAAGATGACTACGTAATACTTGCAAAAATTTGCATTTTTTTTAGATTTTGCTATTAAAATACTTGCAAAAAATCTCCTTGCATTTTACTACAAAATAACTGCATAAATTCGCATTTTTGTACATTTTGCTTATAAAAAATTGCAAAAACCTTCGCTATATTTTACAATTTACAAAAATTACCCACTTACTTTTCACCCTCACTTTCCACACCCATTTTAGAATACGGTTGTATCCCACACCGTGCCCTCTTACCCGTCCTATCTACACGACATCTAAATAAGTACATATAATTATTTATTAATTTCCCATTCCTAATTAAAAGTATCAATTATAACCTTTCAAAAACATAGTGCTCATCTAAGGCATCCCTTTCTGGAAATGTTACCCCACAAGTGTGACAAGTTAACTCATCCCTTGGACAATTTACTTCGGTGCACCTGTTAAATAAAATACCAATTAATATTTCCCTAATTAAAACTAAATAATTACATAATAATAATTTTTCTTACTCATTTTCCTCCAAATGTTCCAGCAATTTCTGCTCTTCCGCAAATTGATACCCACATCTTGCACATTTCGTCTCCTTGGGCCTCCATCGCCAACGGAATTCTTTCGGGGTGTGGCTATTTAAATGAAGGACGTAACATTTTTGCGAGGAGAAGAGTGCCGAACAGACTTTGCAGCTTCGGAAGTAATTTGGGGGGAGAGGTTTGGGAGTGAAGAGGGGTAATATTTTCCAAGGGGTGAGGTTCACAGGGTCTGAAATTATATAATTAAGGTAGATAAATATGGTAGGTAGGTATTTATTGAAATCTCGATCGATGTGGCTTTAGCCTTTACAATCATATATGACATCATAAAATCCATTCAATTCATTCAAACAAAATACATACATAGTTTCATCTTATATTCAGCTAATCAATCAATCTAGTAAAGTATGTCTCTAGTTGTGGGCGAACTTCCCACAAGTAGCCGCAGCACCCCATACTGGCTAGCTACATACTATAATAAGTAACATGACAAGCGATAATCAAATAACAATATGTATGTAATAGTAGTAGTAGGGGTGTTAGGGGAAAACCGGACCATGGTGTTGGGTTCGGAAAACCCCCACATGCATTGGGAAGTTGGCCCAATACACCATTTGGCCCCTACCACAGTGGCACCCAGGTAGGAAATGAATGGCAGGGATCATAGGTGGATTCCAAGGGGTGGTGGTGGTATCCAAATGAGGATGGCGACGGCATGCAGAAGCAGACAGTTGAAGGTTGTTGGGCGGGGGCGTCCACGGACCGTGGTAAATTGCCCACGTCCCCCATGGAAGCCGTAGCCGGAGCCGAGTGACCCCCCACTTGCCCCTTCCCCCATCACAACACACCCAGGTCATGGGACCCCCGTAGACCCGATTATGCTGCCCTCCGCATGCACGATCCCCTCCCCCACCCTTCCATCAACCACTCCTCCCCACGGTCACCACCCCGATGTACCAAACAAAGACCTACCTGGGGGAGTCCTCCCGAGCGTAGATCTGACGGGGCTGGAAGTCCAGCGTATCTTCTTCGCCTGATGGCACACCTTGTCGTTGCTGGGGCGGGTGGGGTCAGGGGGCGTGAACAGGGTCGCAGATGGGGGGTGTGAGTGGACGAAGCTCACTGTGGCAATACTCCCTGGCACGCACTTTACTTGCCCTCGACAACCACCCGTGACCCAGATTGTAGAAATCCATGCAGCAGGAGCGAGAGAGAGATCCGTGTAGCCCCGTCAGAAGCTGCGAGAGAACATATAATTAAGGTAAATAATGTTTAATCTGTGAGTAATTATTACAGTGGAATTATTTAGGAGGTATAATTTCAAAATAAGTATGAACCATAGGAATATGTGACTTACAATTAGATGGATTAATTACAGAATTTAATTAATTAATTGCAAAATTAATTAATACAATAATAATTATAATTAAAATTATAAGTATCTATAAAATTATATATTATAATTATAATTAAAAGTCGTGGGTGTTTCCATCTTGACCGGAAGTAAGTATTTCCAGGCTAAGAATGATTTCTAAAGAAAATAATTCACCCCGAGGTAAAGTAAATAAACGTAGAATAATTAATTAAACAATTTTATCTAACTGTTTACCAGATTGCTATTCTTCCATGACTCTTTATGAATCTGAAATTTTTAAGAGAATATTTAACATTAATTATTTGAAATATGATCTGTAGCTAAAATAGTAAGATAATTTTACTAGGATGTAATTGCGGATAAAATTTTACACCAAATCAGCACAATAGTATTATGCGATGTAAATATTTCTTAAAATCTGTTTAAATTAATGTAAGCCACGATTTATAAATAGTTTTACCAATTGTTTCGCAGAAAGAAAAGTCCAATCTAAACAAACACATGACCTGACTTTTCCACACTTTCTTTGTTTGCTCGATTCCTTCTGCTTGACCCAAGTGAGACATTGTTTATTGCATGGAACTTTTCCATAAAAATTTCATACCTATACAAAAATCAAAATACATGCTGCAAAAATAATTGCTGCAGACATTACATATTTATTTATTACTGCCGGCATTACATTTTAACAGGTTTTCTCATAAATAAATATTATGTGCATATATATTATAAAATGATTTAAGATTAATACGCATGCAGTCCTATATTTCAGTTCCTACTTGGAGTTATGTAAAATAGTCTACACATTATAACTACATTGGATTCACATTACTTCCATGATCAACATTTACATAATTGTAAACGGATGGATACATAGATAGACCCAATTTATTTTTCATTCACTTCTTCTTCACCACCACCTTGAAATGGATAGAACCACAGAATTCACCTCAAATCTACACATCCTTGATCTGTTTTCATGTCTTGTTCTTATTTCTTTCTTACGACAATGTGCTTACATTTTGTTTAGCCAAATTAAGGAAAGGGAATGGCACATGTATGCATCATTTATTTGTCTGTATGGCTTCCCAATCTTCATCCTTAGACTAGATTGGATTCTGCAAACGTATGCATTTCTGCCTGTCGAATTATTTAGTTAGTTATTCCATTTAAAGGAAGGAAGATGTGGTCCATTTATGCATTAAGTTTGTCACTGTTTTCCCAATTTTTATTCCTTCCAATGTGTGAAGGGTTATCGTTTCAGGAATTTATTACGGTGAACGTGGCACAGAAAGCGGGTCTGGAATTGGTATGGTTTAGTTATTTGTAAATATTTTTATGTCAAAATTTGTAAATGTGATTTTTTATTTGACTTTTTTAAGCTGTCAAAAAGACTACGGGATAAATTGCCGCATGACTATATGAAGAAGGATATTTATCTGTTAAGATTTTTAAGAGGTAAACGATAAACAAACGACTTACTTTGGGTTATTCACGTCAACCCTCTCCGCTCTATAGTAATACTTATTGGCAAATTCACAAATGTTGCGAGATTTTGTAAAACTTCCGAACAAATCGACTCCATAATTTGAGTTAAAATGTAACATAACTTGTTAATTTTTTGCGTCCAATGTTTCTGCAAAATGCGATACAAAGATACGACTTATACACAAGACGTTAACCATGTACCGTATTCATAATAACGTGTTAATTAAAAAGTACTTAATACTTATCCAGATTCAGATTTCGACGTGGATGCGGCCGAAGCCAGGATAAAAAGTGTAAGAAAAACCAATTTGAAGTCTCGCGTAACAAATACGATTAATTCTTAACTGAAATTTATATCTCAGTTCGTCGACTGGCGAGCCAAACATAATATCGATAACGTCCTCAGAGAGGAATTTCCTGAATATGACGCCGAATATAGAGTAATTAGGGAGGGGTGTGACAAAGGTGGAAATCCAGGTTAGATTAACCACAATTAAAAAAATCCCAATTAAGTAAGGTTTGGTTTTATTGATTCTATTGCATACAGTGATCTCATTACCGATCGGAGACTGGGACTTAAGACGTATCGTAATTGCGGGAAAATCCAAGCGATTTGTGCGCTACGTTCAAAAAATCTTGGAAGAAGGAACCGGGTTTTTACGATGGGGTCAAGAAGAAGGCTTCAACATGACACAGGCCACGATCCTCTTTGATCTCAAAGGAGTTAATTTGGTCACACATGTTTGTGGAGGATGTAAATATTATTTTTAATCCCCAAGCTTTAATCTACTTTAAATAATAGCGGGAATTTTAAAACTTGACCAAATTATTACACTTGTTAGGTATTCCCATGTATTTGGAACTTCTCAGTTTCTCTCAAACCTACTATAGTGGATTTGCTCATAAAATCCACGTTCTATACGGTACATTTAAATTTGATCACTTTCATGAATATTATTATTGTGGTTACAAATCGTTACCCAGCACACTCCTCTAATCATCTAAACAAATTTCTACCAAATGGTAACAAAAACTCTTTTGAAAAAATTCTAAACCTATCGACATTTTTGTTCCTAATTTGACACCTATCTCTGGTGTCGATTTTTTCATTGGGTTCTCATAAATTCGTCCTGCTTAAAAATTATTTTTATCATCTACTCCTCACCGTGTGCAGGGTAACGATTTAGTACCGTACAATTTTTACAGTATTTACACATACATATTTTTATCAACTAACTTCCAAAAAAAAATACACAATGTTTTGTTTGTCCCTTATTCAGCCCCAGATTTCTCCCTGTCGTTGTGGGACCTGTACAAAAACCTATTAACTTCCAGTGTCGCAAAACTCCTAGAAATCCACGGAACTCAGAAACACCTTTTCGCTAAAGAATTATCCCGAGAGATTGACCCATCCCAATTAACCCAACGGTACGGCGGGAATAAAATTGAGGGCGTTGACCTCTCCACGATGCGATCCGCCGGACCGCCCGCATTCCTGGCAAATCCGTTCAGTCTGAAGCTAAAGGAGAAAAATATCACAGACTTTTGTGGCATTGATTGGCCCAAGATTGAAAATATTATTGCAGATTCGTTTCACAAATGAGGTTTCCTTACAAAACTTTTCTTGGTTGAATGATTTAATTTAATTTATTATTTTTCATTAATCCTATACTATTTAAACGTCCCCTTTAAGAACTAAATAAGTATTGAAAAGCGCACCGATATTCATGTTTGGTAATAAACGGTTACCCCAATCGTATTGGTAACCTTCGCTTTATACATATTTCAATATTTAAATTAAATATTTAAAGTATTTACGTTGGTCTTACAATGTATTACCAATCCCATAGAATTTTCAATTACTGATACAGTTTTCGTTCCTTATGTTTGGTTAAAATTAATACATATTATTAATGTATAAGTGCACAGATAAAAATAAAAAAAGACCTATGTGCAAGCATGTATTTACTATGGCTACATCGTGCCAAAAAGATTCTTCATATATCGTGCGATTTAGTCATAAGTAAATACATGCTTGCAGATAGGTCTTCAAAGGAAAATTTTTGTGCACTTTGGTCTTATTAGAATTAAGCATCGACTGCACTTTGGTCTATTTAGAATTAGTACGACTATATACATTTGGGCCATATAATATGGCTACATCACACATTTGACACATAGCTACAAGATCTACGAGTTGCATGAATACAAGTAAATACATTTTTACAAGACATTTGTTATTCTGTCGTTGGTCCAGAATTATGTATGCCTAGAAACATGCATATTCAAATATTAATTTGCAAATTGTTTTTAACTCTGAAAAGATGAATACCTACATGAATTATTTAGATCGAACCATATCAACGTTAACGCTCAGAAGGAGCACATGCGAAGAGGGCGGATAAAATATACATATATTCACATTTGCAAATTGTTTTTCTCTTCAAAGCTTGAGCTACATGGACTTGTATTTAAATATTAAAACCTTCAATTTTTTTTAGAAAACATCAGAGTGTTATTCCGTACTTAACTTTCATCAGTCATACATATCTTTCCTGTGAATGAATCATTTTAAACTTTTTTATAATCGTTCAACTTGACAAAAATTTGCACTTTTAATAACCTGGATTACGTGTAATTCAGGATTGTACAAATTTGAGACGATAATTATTCATATATAATTAAATTTGGGATTGGTGTTTGCAACAATGAAGCCCACTTTACTACACGTATTTCAACAATAGATTCACTTTGAATCATTCACAAGATTTCATGACTCCAACTTAAGTCTTACCAAAAGCTTTTTTCTAGATTTACATATTCATAATGAAGTATTTCTTCTGTGCCAATTTGTACACTATTTTCATCTCCGTGATTTCTAGTCATACCGTCACTCATGCAATAAACCTTACTAAATCTTTATTTCAACACTTGGATCCTGACTGTCATTTAATCGTAGCTCATCACATCAACTTCAAACGTTCTGACACTCTTTCCCCTCCAATAGAAGCTAATAAAGGAATTTACATCTATCAACTCCCACAACTTGACACTTATCCCAGCTCTGATAATAATCGAAACAATGGCCCTCGCGGAATCTACACTATTTCTCAAAAAAGTCACTTTTTATCCTCTGCTTTCTGTTTCATTGGTGTCATCCTCACAAAAAAATCTGACTTCGACCGGAAACCAGAACAACTTTCTGAGTACGTATTGTCCCAGTTGACCGGACACCAAACAGATATCTTGTATAAAATTATGTACGTCAAGTATCCTGGCATTATGTACATTAATGAAAATTCTAATCTCCACGTTTCACTACTTGTTCGCGTCCAGCTGGACTTCAACCGTGTCATGTATGACAGCCGGATATTTACCGCGGTATTCATAGTTGTATGCAATTTAATTATTGTGAAAGGCCGTGAGGAGTGGTATCATATCACTCCAATTCCTCCATGGTATTACAAATCAACACTACTCCCTGCACATGAAGTGTTTCAGGCAATACGTAAACATTCCCGCTTTCAGACATTGATGTCACCTCCTAATGTATTTTATCTTAGAACAAAACGAAACTCTTTTCTCAACATACACGGATATTATAGTCGAAAGGAGTGTTGTGAGGCGTATGGCAAGAATCGTTCCATCTAATTAGAGAGAAGCTATTGCGTCCCCGTGCCATTCTATTCTTTAGTCTCGTTTGCCTCGGAAATTTCACGTATGGTAAAGCCCACGACGATGGTTTGTCTGGGTCAATCATCATCGCGCTCAGCGAATCGGAGAGAAATTGACATATGAAAATATATACATGGATTCGTACAGGGAGATACCGTACGCCCCTATTCTCTACGTTACCACCAGGAAACAAGGATTTTCATTCATGACGTGCTATTCGAGGGAAGAGTTGTCGTTCAAAATATTCTTGAAACCGTTTCAGTTAGAAGTTTGGACCGATTTGTTGATAACGATGGTAATTACTGGGTCCATTTTTGTGGTTCTTTTTAAGAACAAATTGAAATGGGGGATGTTTTGATGCGATATCGTTCGCACAGCTGGCAATGATATCAATTGTGCTGGAAAAACCTACCGATATTGACACAAACATAAAAAAAATTTCAGCATTTAAATTCCTATTTGGGTTATGGGCCCTGCTTGTCCCAATATTAACAAATGGCTACCTGGGTCTAAGCATTACCTCAATATCGTCACCTTTAGAATCAATATCGGTTACAAAATTTAGCCAGCTGACACAACCAGGATGTGACTGGAACAACATTGAATGTCCGATTAGTAGAATTGAACAAATTGGAAAATATTTGCCCATTTTAGGAAATTATTGGCATGCCGGTAAAAGGTTTTGGAACAGAGATATCAACCCACGGTTTTCAAACCATGATATTAACCTATCGATCGAAGCCTTGCGAAATCAGTCCATTCGGAGATTCGATGAAAAGCAAGACTTCGTCCTGTTACCGTATTCCTTTGAGGAAAACATATTTAATAATGCTCCTAATCCTGGAAGCACTTTTTGTTCAGTATTAGAATGGGCGTTACGGGCGACAGACTTACATTCACAATTCCTCAACTTGCCTAAATTAAAATTTAAAGATAAAACGATATCCTCAGCTTCGAGGAAGACTCTGAGATTATTCGACTTAATTGATCCGTGGCACATTCCACACCCATATTTTGGTAATTTTTCAGATACGATGTATCTCGAAAAAGAGTGGGACATTGAGCACGCCCTCGTACATTTCCATGCTCTCAAACATGGTTTCCATTCCCACAATCTCTCCCACCATAAACTTGACTCGAACCATATACCAACACTTTCTCGGACTTTCACGGATCCCAACATCATCTTAGCTTTCCAAAATAATTTCTAAAATTCTGACATTTTCTCATCCCCAATCCTATCCAAGAAAGGAGTTAAGGACCAATAGTATTTTTACACTACATATTGCGGAATAGTAAGGAAAAGACCGGAAATATGGTAATGAAAGAGGAGGCAGAGGTCGCCTGCCTTCTCTTCTATCAATCATCCATACCACAATGATAACTTTGTCAGTCTCATTCAGCTTGCCAGCCGAGAATCATCAGCACCAGCACTAATGTTTTTAAACTTTGGGTGACTAGAGTGTGTAGGCAAGATTTAGTCACTTTGGTGGTTAGAAAATTGCAATTTTTGTCACCAAATATCTAATTTCTTTCCACAGAGATGGAATTTGATGAAACTGATTATTGAACATGAAAGATTATTAGTTGTACTACATGCGGATGCTCCTTACTGACAAATACCCTATTTGTGGCAAAAGATATTAACCTTAACATAGTGCATATATTACAAGCTTTCAAACTTTTATCACAAATAAGATATTTACTAGTAAGGAGCATCTGAATGTAGTACAACTAATAATCTATCATTTTCAATAATCAGTTTCATCAACTTCCATCCCTGTGGAGAGAAATTAGATATTTCCTAAAAAAACGGGCCATAAGCTCAACATTGCGAGGTGGTGGTGAGAGAGATGTCTCATGTATCTCCTATTGCTACTTAACATATATCACCTCCCCCAAATCAATACCACTGCTTCGACAACTTCCACCCGCCTACAAGCCATACAAGACTTGAAAATATTATTGCAGATTCGTTTCATAAATTAGGTTTAGAGAAAAAACTGATTTTATTTATGGTAGAAATTTTATTAATGGACCCTTTTTTAAGAATATTCGCAGTTCTTTGAATTTGCAAAGATCGATCAGTTTTTGAGTGATTTGAAAAATTGAAACGGCTTTGAAAACTTTGGACAATAGGAAAAATTATGAATTTCAAATTTTTGAAATCACTCAAATACTGATCGATCTGTGCAAATTCAAAGCACTGCGAAAATTCTTAAAAAGGGTCTATTAATAAAATTTCTACCATAGCTACATACATACATGCATAACATTTTATAAAGGCCGATACCCTTAACCGAAATAAATTTCATGTTAGTCAAACTGAAAAAGCTCTCGATTCAACAAACGTTCGGTTCACCAAATTTATTTTTAACCACAAAAACTTTTTACCCCATCACATATTGACATGTTTACAAGTCAGTCCTAAATATGTATGGAAAGCATATTCATTTCTGAGAAAGGTTAAATTTTAGGGTATGAAATTCCGAAAATATTTTGTCGTCATTTAAAGTTATATCCTTAACTGGTATACTAAAACTTACAACACCATATTTATACGTTCCATTCCATTCAAGGGTGTACGCAGTCCTCATGGAAAAAGAGAAAGCTCCTTGAGTCCAATTCCACACATTGCCTTGAGCAGGATAGAGCGACACGTCTTGAAAATTATATTTTTTAATTGTCAAAAATCATTACAATTTCATTCCGGATATCGATACCATTCCTACGTTACTAATTCAAAAATTAAACCCACAATCCAGTTATGGCTAACAAAACACATTTCCAAGTTGTCATCGGAGGCGACTTCAAACCTAACTGCGCACCTACCTTGCCACCCGTAACCAATTTAGGGGTAAGATTTATTAATTTCTTGACAATTTAAAAAGTATTACACATTACCCTAATTCTCTAAAGGAATCACGTTAGTTTTAACCTCCAACACTAACTTTTCAAAACAAAACATGTACTTTTCAGTTCCGCACGGAAAACGCGATCGTTCAAGTAATCGAGCTGGCTAAAGCCAGTACTCTCGTAAAGTTTGGGATTCTCACATCCTCCTCGGATAACCACGTTGGCCTTATCATTAAGGACATCACGCCGGGCAGCGTGGCCTCTCTGGACGGGCGATTGCAACCGGGCGACCACATTGTTCGCATCAACAATCAAAATTTCACCAATTTGTGCGGAGTCTCAGCCGATCGAACATTTCAGATTCTGATGACATCCACCACGAATATTCGTCTCATCGTGGCGCGGCCAATTCAAGATGACGCCCGCCTCGTCCCCGCCAACATTCTGGGGTATGAGACCGACTTGGAGAAAAGTTTAGTGGATGGGGACAATATAATTGGTGCGGTGGGACAAATTCCCACCCCATGGTCGGGAAAGTCGTCCTGGGAAGAAATCGAGTTTTGGGAGAAAACCATCCAATTTGCCCAGAATAATAGGGAAAGCTTGGAAAAGCTCTTTGAAAGACAGGAAAATACGGATAAGAAGGTTTATTGGAAATTTGACTAGATTCGGTATTTGGGAAGGATTACTGTTTGTAATAAATTGTTCGAGGGCGGGTACAAATTTGAAAAAAGATAATGACATGTTTCACTGGATGTAGTTTTGTATCAATGTTTTGTTTTTGAATAAAAAATTATATCGTTTCCCTAATTCTAATGAGTTTTTGCTTGCAATAGTTGATCATATGAGATTTTGTAGCATTTTAAAAACTAATAATTTCTTGATTGTCGATCAAGGAATGGAATATTTATTAAACAGGCATCTTTTTTCTTATATTTACTACGGGTTATGTCTGCATATAGTTCTTATCTAATTAACCAAATTTAATTACAATGTAATTAATTAGTTATGTAGTTAATAATTTTCTTAATAGTATTATGTAATACTAATCTAACAAATTTCTACGCGGATTATATTACAATACTAAACTCAAGTTCCGTTCGAATTCCATGTTCACACACAGTGAGTGTGCATCTCTAAATAAATTGATTTCTCATTGATTTTTTCCTATATTTTTAACTACAGGGTGCATGAGGGCTGTTTGCATATTTTTTAATAACATTCATTTGCACCATCTCACTGTCAAATTACTGATTGATGAACAATTTAAGTAGTAGCTTCTAAATACAACCTAACGCAGTGCCATTAGATATTTCCTAACTTTTGAGAAATTAAAAATACATACATAAAATTTACTACATTCCTTCATGAAAGAGTATCACAAAAAACACAACTATGGTACGTTTTTTTAAAATTAGAACTATTTTTTAGTGATTAAAGCTCAACACATGAAAAATTCAAATTACTACTGCTCGGTCGATTTTTGAAGGATTTCAAAAATTTAAACGGTTCTGGAAACTGTGAACTTCAATGTTTCCAGAACCGTTTAAATTTTTGAAATCCTTCAAAAATCGACCGAGCAGTAGTAATTTCAATTTTTCATGTGTTGAGTTTTAATCACTAAAAAATATTTCTAATTTTAAAAAACGTACCATAATTATTTATTAACCCTGCCCTTAATAACATTAAGCTCCCTTGCTTGATCCCCCAATCAAGATTAAGCTCATTGTCTGAACTAGACAAAAATTTTGAATTACTAGCGCTGTCCCCTTGTCTATGAAATTCGAGCCAAATTTGATTTTTAGAACGGTACAGGCCTTAACCTCTTTAATTATATGGGATCTCCTCCCACTCAACCGACACTTTACCAAGGCCCCCACCTGCTCCCTTAAAGTCCTTGCCGACACATTATTGATCCAGGAGGCCAACGTAAAAACGAAAATATTATTGACAAAAACATTCACCCAAATTACGGGGAAAATGAGAAAGGCTGGCATCGGTATTTCGTCATGCATCATTACACACACATACTGCGTAAGGATCTGTATGGTGGGGACAAGCGTTATGAAAACCGGAACAATGCGGGCCATCAGATATCCGTTGAACATTTTCTCCAAAATTTGAATACTTCGATAAAATTCGGTACATTTTTTGAAATCCGTGGATCCTTGAGCTAGTCGAATATCTCTGAAAAATTAAAACAAACATGACCTCAAGGTAAGGTAGTAATAAATCATTACAATGTGGAGTAACTATTTAGTTCTATCTCGTCGGTAAAAACTTTACGGTATTAAATTTTAATTTTGCTGAAAATATTATAACCATTTTCGCCAAAACTTATAACCAACCTGGTTGAACCATCTAGTCATTCCACATTGTAATGATTTACTTCTTTACTTTGAGTTAGGCCTTACAATACCGGTATTGTAATATGCGGTATGTCGGTAATACCGCCAATACCACATGTTACGAATACCGGTATTGCAAGCCCTACTTTGAGTGCAACTAAGGTTTCCCTTAAACGAACTTTAAATCAATCTTAATTTACTTACCGCCTCAACACATCAAAATAGTTCAGCATGGTCACAATTCCTGCAAACAGCATGTAGGCAATTTCCAACGATCCCCCCATCATGATATGGCTGCTCATCCACGTTTCAAAAAGAATAACGATATGTTGCACACCGAAAGAACTCGTCCAGCTTATCGAGGAGGAATCCTTTCTAATCGAGAGTATAAAAGGAGGGGCTGAAGGATCCAATAATATTAGTCCTGGGATGGACAACGCGACTAAAATGAGGGAGAAGAAGGCCACATGGAGGAACAATTTCATCAGTTTCGTTTCCATATTTGATTTCGGAAGAGGGTTTCCTTAAAACAAATCCTCGCTTTACACATCTGTCTGTGATCGTGAAACAGAATTAAAACTTCGAATCAAAATGTACACTCTAAAAACTGGTAACAAAGCATTCCCTCTAGGATAGGTTGTGAATCTACGCTGGGGCGGCGGTCCCAATTTTGGTGATTTCTCGGCGGCGCGGTATTTCAATTTTGAAAGAGTAGGAACTCAAACTTCCCGCCGGCCGAGGCGAGGAAATTGCTATTGACGGCGCGAAACCGGCGGCGTTAACCTCCATTTGGTAATATTTGTTATCCTGACGTTGCATTTATTTCAAGAGTAGCAACAAATTTATTATAAATTCCGGTAATACATTGATAACCATGATAGGTTTATGGAGTACCATTGGTAACGTGCTTTCACCGCGGTTTGTATGGAGTATCCTTAAATTAACTATCATTTAAATTAACTAAATTACCTTGAATCAACTTTGCCTCAAATTCCATCGCCGAATTAATCGTCTGTACCACGGCCACATCTACGTCATAATTCCACCGCCCACACAACATGATGACATAGATGGAAAAGAACGCTAACCCCTGGAATGCTCTGGCTTTCGGTAAATCCGTTAAGATTAAATGAGCCAGCATAACAATACAGTACGCTAAATGAGAAACTATTTGAAGGCGAAATATCCGTATCCTATTGAGATTCCTGGTCATTACAAAATTCCCAGATTTGGAATCAAAGTCGAACAAAATGGCCCTTAGTTTCCGAAATACTTTCAAATGGCGGAGTAGAAAAGGGAGAAAGTGAGTTGAATACATTTTCCTAAGATAAGTCAGACTTTCAGGCTAAAGCTTGACTAGCCAATCTGACATGGAACTATCAACCACGAAGAACCAGCAACTAATTACGCAAGTAATTCAGTTCTACTCATTTATTTAACAGTCCGAGGATTTCTGTCGAAACCGAAATTAATTATATAGAAACATATTTTAGAAGTTTACCCGTGTTAACACGGGCACCATTCCCGTCCAGTACTTCCCCAGTATTGAATATTTCATTAATTTTTCAGTTCAGTATTTTAATAAATACCTTAATAACTACGGCAATTCAGACATACTATGAATAATGAATACCAAAATAGAAAAGTGCTAACACTAAAATATTGCTATCCTTCAATGCAATCGTCTGTAATACATTGCCTGGATACGTTCCAGGCAGACGGAGCCTGGAGTATTCTTGCATAGAATTGTTTCTTCTGTTGGGAACATAAAACATAATCGATTATGGATTCTTGAGATTTGCAAAATCATGTTATTTCCCCGCATGGCATAATAAGTAGTTTTATGTAATTATTAGTGGATGAAAATTAATTACAACGTTGTACTAATAAATACTTTAATAAATAATGCATCCATATTCAGTCAGTTAGAGATTTTGCAGGGTATTTCGTATTATTCGAAATTTTACATCATATTGAATTTCAGACATTTGACTTATTATTATTAATTTGAATTATTACTGACACCCAGTCATTATATCTTAAAACTTGAATATTAGAAGTATTGATAAGATACTAGATGTATGAACTGAAGTATGTAATACTAAGTATTAGTATTACATACTTATTGGCAATAATTATGCAGAGTTAAAACAAATGCATGATAACAATTCAAATGTGGGCAGACCATGCTGCACAAATTTGACAAAATTTAGCATCATAACAATACAAATCCATTCATTTTTCATATATATATTTAGTATTTCTAAACCAAAATTTTAAGGAAAAGACAACATAATGAGGGTATTCATGATTCGTCGTATTCTTCGTATCGTAAAATAAGTTACGAAGGTTACGAGATTTTGTAAGCGTCGTAAGATTTTGCCATCGAAAATTGCGTTACTAAGCTTACGGTTTTTACTAAGCTTGACCCCTTGATTTATCTTCGTAAACTCTATTTTACGATACTAAGGATACGACGGAATCATGAATCCCCTCAACACTTACTTATTTTATCCTTCTTACATATATACCATCAACATCCCTTAATTGACTCATCAATCAAAATCAAACTCATTGTCTGAGTCAGACAAAAATCTTGAATTACTAACGGTGTCCCTCTATCTATGAAATTCGAGCCAAATTTTATTTTTAGCACGGTGCACGCCTTCGCCTCCTTACTCAAGATGGATCTCCTCTTGCCCCATCCACACCGCCCCATTCCCATCAGCTGTTCCCTCAACGTTCTCGTCGACACATTATTAACCCACGAGGCAAACGTGAAAATGAAAATATTGTTGCCTAAACAATTCAGCAATACGAGGGGGAAAATGAGATAAGCTGGCATTGGTATTTCGTCGTGCATCATTACGCAAATGTACTGCGTAAGAATTTGTAACGTCGGGACCAGCAGGACGAAAACGGGAACGAGTCAAACCATAAGAACTCCGTTGAACATTTTCTCTAAAATTTGAATATTTCGATACAATTCGATGCAACATTTGAACTCGGCGGCTCTCTGAGCTGTTTGGATTTCCCTAGGGAAAGAAATACAAAAATTCGCTAAATTTCGCGCACCTAACGTTTTTCGTTCGATACAGTACGCCACACCAAGAGTTTATTCTCCACATAAACTTATAGCATTGCGGGATACTTTCCTATCCCTCCATGCTAAAAGCCCATACATCTAGAGAATAAACTCTTTCGCTGTAGCTAATAGCTAATACCTATCGTAGAAATTTTATTAATAGACCCTTTTTTAAGGATTTTCGCAGTGCTTTGAATTTGCACTAATCGATCAGTATTTCAGTGATTTCAAAAATTGGAAATTCATAATTTTTGCTATTGTCCAAAGTTTTCAGAACCGTTCTAATTTTTGAAATCACTTAAAAGATCCTTAAAAAAGGGTCTAGTAATAAAATTTCTACCATAACAGTATTTACCGTCTGAGCACATCAAAATAGTTCAGCAACGTCACAATTCCAGCAATTAAGACGTACGAAATTTCTACCGAACCGCCCACTACGATATGCATAGCCATATATGCTTCCAAGAGGATGACAAGATGTTGAAAACCTAGTCCACTCGTCCAACATATATTTCCCCAATCCTTTTTCATCGACAAGATGAAGGGAGGTGACAAAGGATCCAGCAATAATAAGCAGGGGATGGACAGTGAAACAAAAAAGGCGGTGAAGAAGGTCAGTTGAATTAGCAATTTCATCAGTTTCGCCTCCATAGTTTCCTTAGAAGGTTTTCCTTAAGGAAATTATCATGCATATGTATCAGTTGTAGGCAGGGTTGCAAGTGATATATATCACCAAGTGAGATTTAATGAGATTTAATGATATATATCAATCATCTCATTTGGGACTGAGTGAGATAAATGTGAAATAGTGAGATTTATTACCCCATCTAGTGGTAATAGTAAAGTACTATTGGTCGTGCATTACGTTATCCGCTAGATGGCGCCCATAAATCTTACTATTTCTCATATTTCTCACTAATCTCATTATTTCTCACTAATCTCACTATTTCTCACTGAGATGAGATTTGTGAAGGTGAGATGAGATTTCTACAACCCTGGTTGTAGGATTAAAATTTGATAAGCCATTAGCATTTAGTAATGCTTAACTTTTAGATAATGGTATTATTGTGATATGACAGTAACTTAATTCCAAATGTTGCTAATTAACATTTATCGTCGTCCTACCTGCCATCAACTTAGCTTCAAATTCCATACAAGAATTGATTATCTGCATAGTAGCAACGTCCAAACTGTAATTCCAACGTCCACATAGAAGTAGAAAATAAACGCAAAAGATGACAAAATCCTGAAATGTTTTTGCCTTCGGTAAGTCCGTCACGATAAGATGAATCACCATGACAACGCAGTATGATAAGTGGGAAACGAGCTGGAGACGAAATGCCCGTTTGCGAGATCGGATCTTAGTCATAACAAGGTTCCCAGATTTTTTGTCCAAGTCGAACGGGATGGATCGAAGTTTTCCACATATTTTTAACTGCCGGAGTAAGAATGGAAGAAAGTGAGTTGAATACATGTTCTGAAATAAATAAAAGAATCAGGTTAAGCTTGTAACTAGAGTTGTCAGTGAAATGCGATGATCTCATCTATATTATAATTCAGAATCTCTGTTGGTAACGGAAGTAGATGGAGTTTGTCCGTGACAAGCTCCGCCTACTTCGACGTGTAATTGATGGTGGCGGAGCTTAGCTCCGCCTGCTTAAAATCCGTTAACCAAAAATCCGTTAACCCAAAATTCGTAATCACCTGACCAGCGTGAGCTGGGCTTAATAGCTATTTATCAAATAATTGTGAAATTCAAATTTCCTCCAGCTCTTTAGCATAGTTTTATAATGGCGGATACATTTTAATTTATTTCTCAATGAAAACATTCTTGGGCAATGATTATGCTTCCAAATTAAGATTTTTAAAAATTTCGTCAAAGTTAGAATGTAGGGAATTTTTACCTTTATCTTTTTTTTGTCTCCCTTGTTTACAAATAAGATGAGATAAGACGAGATGAGATGAGACGTATTTATAATGAGATGAGATGACGGATAAATTAGATGAGTGATCTATTAGTTCTTATGTGTCTCATCTCATCTCAAGTTAAATGAGATGAAATGAGTTGAAATTTGGAGTATCTCTATTAGCCTTCGTCTCATCTCACGAGTAGTGAGATGAGATGGGGTCTATCTCACCTCATCTCGTCTCACCGGCAACTCTACTTGTTACGTTAGCTTGAAACTAATCTACCCGGACAATGTTCGTAGGAAATATAAAGGGTGACTAAAAAATTATCTGATCATTCTCTTTGTTAATAAGTTTGAAGAAGAACTCTATTCACGAACTTAATAATTAGTATAGACATAAATTGTGTTTGGTAGTCCTCTTGTATCGATGGATTCGTGACGTTTGCATATTCCGTTTTTAAGCCAGCAGTCCGTTAACATTGTCATCGAAAGCGTTACAAGCGTTTAATTAAAACACCCACGTAATATAATACATAGGAATAATTATGTGTTTTAATTAATTTTGGTTGAGTAGATACCTTAAAATGACATTCTAGATTAAAACGAAAAATTTATGCTTCATCCACGGTCAGTCTAAGCGCTAGCGGAGCACGCCCAAAAATCCAATCTTATGTAAACAATATTTCGGTTGTAATTTTACCAATACCGTTCGGGATGTATCATTTTTTGGTTGGCCTAACGGACACAAATTTCGGTTGTGAACTTTTCAATGGATATTTGAATCTGATGATAAACCTCGAACAATTTACTGATGTACTTTTTACAATTGTTGAATAATCTCCAGAAGTGCAGCGTAATTAACTGAGCGTGCCCCACTCACGCCAAGACTGTTAGCCTTGATAATAACTTGTGGAAATATGTTAAAGTTAATGTCAGACGAAGCATATTAATGCCAGCTTAAAACATAATGTTTGATTAAGAATTAATTCAGTCCGTTCAGTTTTGATATTGAATACCTGTAAATCCTTGACTTCAAGTTAGTCTCACAAAGTTTCTGGTTAACACGTGGCGTGGCTGAGCTAATTAATTTCAAATTGCCATTAATTTTGAATCGAATCGATTGTAGGGTAATTAATTTTAATTCACGTATTTGAATGATTTATATTTCTTATATAGTAACAAGGTACAATTTGAATTGATAAATTTAATTTTAAACTTTAGCAACACGAAATGGGAAATTTCACAAGTCAATAAAATACAAATGTTCGAAAACATATGCAACTAGATATGTTATCATTCCAGAGAAATTTTAACCAGCGGAACTCCAATATCATAAATAATAATCAAAATACATAATATTAGGAATATTACATTCTTAAAACACACGCCTTATTCTTTATAAAAAATAGTTCAAGTAAAAAATAATATAAGACGTTTCACATCAAACATTTTCCATTCTTCTACTTAACAACACACCACGGAACACACAAAATCTCATAATAAATCGTGATTAAATTACTCCCTAAGGTGTGTAATCACGTCGATAATTTCCTCCCATTTAATCCAGTCAGGTAACGCGAATGCTACACAATTACAATTTCAGATTCCCAGTACACATTATTAATGTTTTAGTGCAAAACCGGTCGCCACGTGGAGTAATAAATGCATACAAAGTTTCCGCATAATCCAGACCATACTTACCGATATCCAAGCGGTGTTCAGCACTTACAGAAAACTGAACAAAAAAGTTTCTTTTTTCATTGCATTCAAAGCTTCAGAAAACTGGTTTGTTTCATCCATTAAGGTAGCCCAAATGCATTTAATTTGTAGTCTCACTCCAGTTCGTAAACTGAAGACGTGAGGAATAATCAAGAGAATGGAAATTTTCTGCAAAAGAATATTTAATTTTGAGAATATTGTCACAAGTTTTCAGTATTTTATAAGATATCAACTAATTAAAATCCAACCATGAAGAAATCGTTATTAATAAAATATTATTATTACAATTTTCTAAAACATTTACCTTTACGGATCCTCATTAAAAATATAATTAGTTGAACGGATTAAACTTTCAAATTATATTTGGAAAATGCTCATCCTTTGAAATTTAAATCCCCTCTTTATATTCTTCTCATACCATGAAATTTATCCTGATAAGTTCGATTGTTCTCTTGTGGTCAAAATTGAACGAGATCGATTTGATCCGTCAGATTGGTGAGGAGTATCCAGAAATTAGATGGCCCATGACATCCACCGATAGAAAGATTTGTTACGACCAGTTTGACGCCATGGGAGAGAAGCAAAATCCTGACACGGGACTATCAATTGTAAGACAAATGTTCCATGTTAACCTCCTTATCACTAATAAATAATCCGGTAACAAATATTTGTGCAATAATTAGCTGTGGGAAACCATGTTGATTGTAAATCTAAACTTGCCTAAATTTATTCTGGTAACAAATTTTAGTACGAATTGATAACAAATTACTACCATGGTATTATGGTCATATATATAAAGCCTATAAAGTTTCTAATATGTCCACCAGCTTTACATAAATGTTCTCAATGCTTGCAAAAATAACGCTCATTTTCTACAAATGATTACTAAAATACTTAATAATTTTCCATGTTCCGTTAGGACCAACTTCTTACCCGACATGGATATCCAGTCCAACGAATCAATGTCACCACAGAGGACGGATACATTCTTGGCGTTTATAGAATACCCTTCAGCCCAAAATCCTCCATTGGCGTGGCTAAGAAAGCCGTTCTTTTACAACACGGCCAAGGTGCTAACGGATTGGCTTGGCTTGTTCAAAGTGGTCCAAGAAATTTAGGCAACTATATGAATACATAAACTTGCTAAATAATAATTTCCCAGAAATATTTACAAAATTCACTAACTTTCCTCGCTTTCCAAAATTTTAACCATGTTATTAGCTGACCGTGGTTTTGACGTATTTATCTTAAATGCAAGAGGAAACACTTACTCACAAGGTCACGTGGATCCTGCAATGACACCGGATAACGTAAAATATTGGGATTTTAGGTTGGTAATGATTCCTATTAATTAAGCAAAACTATTGCAAAAATTTTAATAATTGTTTCTGGATAAAGTTGAGAAATCGATGTTTGTTGCCTCATGTAAAATTTTTGCATGCATTCCAATTTCAATTATTTTAAATCCAGTTTCCACGAAATGGGAATTTACGACTTGTCCGCAATAATTGAAATGGTGACGGAAACGACCGGAAATAACGCCATGTTCTATGTCGGTCATTCTATGGGAACAGCCATGTTGGCTGTCTTGTTATCTACCCGGCCAGAATATAATACCCGCACCCTGACCGGATTTCTTCTCTCGCCTGCCATACAATTCGGACGGACGGCCCCACAACTGAAATTCTTTACGAGGGGGAGCAATTATTTTCAGGTGGGTCAAATTGAACATTTTATTAATTGCTGTCTAATTGGGGAATACAAATTGGTATTTCCGTGTTTTAGTATTTTTTCAATAAATTTCTCCAAGGAAAATACGAAGGGAACAAAATCATTGAAAAATATACGGGAAAAAGGCCAGAATATCTTTGCGCGAAAAAACGAGATGCTTGTGGTATGTAAAATTTGCATGCAAATTTTGCTATATAATATTCAGTACGTAATTCAGACATTTTTAACATATATGTGAAATAATTCAAACCTTAAAAATATAGAAGCTTGTGGAAACTTCATTTCATTAGGATTTGGATATAACGGGCCCCAAATGAATTATGTATAGCTTGAAAAATTAAATAATCAATTATTGCTAATCTTCATCTTCATCAAAATATAAATTTCTTATTTTTCTCCGACCACACTATCTCTTCTCCTGGGCGCATTCCTAGACACCATGTCAACCAAGACATGGACACACTTCGTCCAATTAATCAACACGGACAAATTTGCGAATTTAATTACGGATTTAAATCTAGTAACAGAGCAAAGTATGGCAGAGATAGTCCAAATTGCTACAATTTGGACACTGTGTTAGCTCCCATAATCATTTATTGGGGACAAAACGATATCTTTGTGAGATGTGAGAAAAGTTAGCCCCTAGCCCCTATAAACTCAGCCCCTATCCCCTAACCCCAAAAACTCAGCCCCTAGCCCCATCCCCTATAAACTCAGCCCCTACCCCTATCCCCTAAAAACTTATCCCCTACCCCCTAAAATCTCAGCCCCTATCCCCTAATAACTCGGCCCCTACCCCCTAAAAACTCAACCCTTAGCCCCTAAAGTTGTCATATTTCCCCTAAACATAAGATACTTCAAATTACAAACTATTGCTCAAGGTTCTGCTTCAAAAAAAATCCATTAAATCTTGTCAGTTGTACTGAACTTGTTACTGGCTGTAAGAAAGTGACAGACCTTCGACACATTCAAAACTCCGCTGGTCTCGGTGTTTAAAAAGTGACTCACTGCTTACACAGTAGGGAGCAAGCGAATAAGAAAAATGAGTTTTCACACCCCCATTCTGTACTCGTCAAATCAATTTGGGCGAAATTTGGTAAAAATGCTACTTCTACCATCCTTCACAAATGTGAAAAGTGAGGCGAGGGCGGCTTAAAAAAAGTACTTATTATATGCGCATGGAGAAAATGAAGAGAAAGAGGTGGTACAAGTGAATAAGAAATTTGAATGCCAAACGTTATATCAGTCTCCAGGTTCTTCTAGTCAGACTTCTTATAGTCACTGAAGATAGGAATCCCATTCCCCAAGTAATGTTTCAATTCCAATTCAAACCGTTTGATTTTGTAGGTCGTTGAAAAAAGCTCTCCTTCATTTTTTCAAATCTAATGATAGAGAATCTATTAAATTAAATTTTGAGGAGAACGTGGTCACGTCAGGAAATATAGCACGCCTATTACAAAATATTAAATGTAACAAAAAAAATTTCACAAAAGAAAATATTTCTCACCGTAAAAAATACAATCTAAATTTAAATATAAATAATATGATAATAATATCATTTGAAGTAGTTAGGAGGATGATTTCCTATGCAGATTGTATTTTTTTTGGTAAAAAAGTTTTATTTTAAATTTAATAGATTGTAAAATATTAAATTCTATTGTAAAATAAGGACTCCATTTTCGATTTATGGCAGATTTTAATATATAAATAGAACTTACTCTCCACAACCCAATTAAATCCTCATACTTGTAGCAATTGGGGGAAAATTTAAAACTTTCTTTTGAAATATCTCCGGGGGGTGTGACCATTGCGTCTAATCCTTCAGGAGTTATCGTCTACTACCTAAGACCTACTATTGGTGAAAATTTGGAAGCAATCTGAGGGTGTGTGCAGGGTCTCGAAGGTCTGTCACTTTCTTATAGGTCAGTAACAAGTTCAGTACAACTGACAAGATTTAATTGATTTCTTTTTGAAGCAGAACCTTGAGCAATATTTTGTAATTTGAAGTATCTTATGTTTAGGGGAAGTATGACAACTTTAGGGGCTAGGGGTTGAGTTTTTAGGGGGTAGGGGCCGAGTTATTAGGGGGTAGGGGCCGAGTTATTAAGGGCTAGGGGCTGAGATTTTAGGGGGTAGGGGATAAGTCTTTAGGGGATAGGGGCTGAGATTTTAGGGGGTAGGGGATAAGTTATTAGGGGATAGGGGCTGAGATTTTAGGGGGTAGGGGATGAGATTTTAGGGGATAGGGGTAGGGGCTGAGTTTATAGGGGATGGGGCTAGGGGCTGAGTTTTTGGGGTTAGGGGATAGGGGCTGAGTTTATGGGGGCTAGGGGCTAACTTTTCTCACATCTTTGTGAGGCCGCAGGTATGCAAAAAATTTTGCAAAAAAATATTGGCTTTGTTCTCAACATTCGTATGCTTTTTTGCAACAAAATTCGCCCAAAAATAACAAGAATTTTTGCATGGAATTTAATGGAAAAAATGAAAATTACTAAATTCCCGGTATATTTTTATTTAGGATGCAACCAAATCCGCCTTAAAATTCCCCAATTTAAAAGAATTTAACCAAATAGACGACCCTCTTTTTACCCACCTTGATTTCGCAATTGCTAAAGATGCCGACATTTTACTCTACAATCACATCCTGACCATCATGACCAACGCAACGTATGAATAATTGCGAACATAGAATTTTAAGTATTTATGCATGCATGTAAACTGTGTAAATTAATGCAAATACTTTTTTACAATTATTTAAATAAATATTTTACTTCGTAATATTTAACTACTGTTTGTATCCAATATTTATTTAATGATTAAATTAGAAATTTATAAATGAAGTATTTACAATTGTACGATTTTGTGAAAATGAAATTATTTAGGGATCAGATTCATGAAACTGTATCATTATGCATGGAAAATGTGCAAGCTTAAGTTTGCACAATTTTTTTGCAAAATGTTTGTTACCCGGATTCCCCGAAACGGATCGATTTCTCGTACCACTGCAGAACCCGAGTAAATATTTAGAATGACTTTTCTCATCTGGTTTTCTATTGACACAAGTATTGTACCGTAGATTTTTAGGGTTAACGAGTACATTAATTAATCCTCAAATATTTGTTGAAAAGTTAATTATTTTCAGTGATGTTGCTAAAATTTCAAGCTAACAAATACACGAGGTTGCATCGTGCTTTGCAACTTTCTCACTAAAACAGTTACAAATTATGCAACTTGACTTGCAAATAAAGTTGCACACCTTTATTCCAATATTTGCAAAGATGGATTTATTTGCACACGTACCAATATATCGCAAACCAATATATTAAATATAATGTAGAAGTGTCTTACATAAGTCATTAAGTCAATTAAAAGAGGGTCAGTTTTCAGATTGGATTCTCAAATTTTGGAAATTCATGGTAAACTTTTAATCACTTTTTCATATTCCGCAAATTTATTCAGAATAAATTTGGGAGTTTTTGCAACGTAAAAAATCCTGGAATTTTTCCATCATAACCTTTACCAAATGTCGCATATCTACTAAATTTTTGCAAGTTGTTAGCTTCTTATTAAGACTAATTTTCGAGATATGCAAAATTTTGGAATTTTTTTTGCAAAATTTTCTCAACTACAACTACAAAGATCAGATTTTACAACATTTATACTGCAATAATTTTCTGTATAAGATTTTGTTCTGCGTACGCCCAATTTAATTTGATTAGTATTTATCAGGTAATTGATTGACCTCTGACCTCTAACCATGGAAGCAAAACCCGACCTTCACCCCCCACCCGGTCAAGCTCCCTCCACACCCCTTCGCCCCACCTATGTCATCCTCCAATCAGAAATTAACCTACACCAAGGACACCGTCCGTTTTCTCCCCAAGAGAAAAACCTGCTCATTTTACTCTTCTCTGTTTTCGCAATTTGTGTAACCCTTCGCCTAATTGAGTCTTATGTATGTTAAGAAAAAATTCCGCAAAAATTCAAACCTTCGCGCTACTTCCAACCGATCTCGGATGAACCCTGACACAGCGATTGGCGTCAATCCTGGCCCAAATATTGACTCCCGTGGGATAAGCAGTGATAACAACGTAACTGCTTATCAGAGGGACGAATGCAGTGTGTCGATTGACCCCGAAATAATTGTCCTTGACCCACCACCCCCTTATGATGGGGTCATGGAAAAGGGACGCTCTTGTACTCCGCCGCCTTGTTATGGAGATATTGTTTAAAAATTAGGACCGCTAATTTAATTAATTTGTGTTCGGTTCATGCTAAAGAGAGATTTATTATGTGATTAAATAAATTGTTGTCATTTAATTCTGAGGTCTAAAACTTTCGCTAGGTTTATTCCCGAATTTTTACTGAAACACAGTGTAAAATTTCACAAATTTGTAAATGCATCAGAACTCGCTAAATTTCTCAATAATACTGAAAAAGTCTCAATGCACGTATCAAAACAATATTTTATTTCACAATTTCCCCAAACAAATCAATAACATTGCATACCAATAATACATATGTAAATTAGTAAAAATCACGGAACAAAATATTTTCACAATATGAACTGGGAGGCTTGTAATATATACATCCGTACCCGCATCCACTCGCCCCAAGGAGACCATAACTAAATAAAGGTGAATATACTATAAATTCACTACATATAAATTAATATGTACTCTAGTAATTTAGAATACAATTACAATTAGCCTATGCTATTTTTATGTTTGCTTGCGCAAATAATAATAATATTCCCCGCTTAAAAGTAAATTAACCCTTAATTTTAAATTAAGTAAAATATGTATATCAAATCCAGAGTAATTTGAAATTGACAGATAGTAAATTTTGCTCATGATTGATTTGATATACATACTTAGATAGTTTACTTAATTTGCATGTATGCAAATTAAGGGTATCTTTACTTTTGAAAAGGGAAATATAATCTTTGAGAATATGTTTAAACTTAAAGCTACATAAATCCAGAATCGAGACGTGACTTCTAATTAGCACATATCTATGCATACGTCCGACAGACCCGGAAGTGACATATTTTAGTAACTTACATTTCTCCTACGGCAACATTCAAATTGAGATTATTCAGCACGAGTTCGCCACAAGATTCGTACCTCTTCACAATATTGCGTACTGTTAAGGCCATTGTTTTCCTAGAGACTTATCACAACTGCCAGTATTCAATTTAAGTGATTTTTTTGGAAACTTATGAATACTTCCGTCTTGCGCATTTTTTCCAATTTACCTGTAAAGCGTAGTTTATGAAGTACTGTTTAACTCGATATTTTCTACACACTTAGAAATCCAATTATAATCAGAAAGTATCAGAAATTATAATCAGAAAGTAAACGTATATGACTCTACCGCCGTTGTTACCGATTGGTTATAAATTTACCACCAGTTGGTGAGCAACTTATCACCAGTGGCAAATAGTTATAACCAATCGGTGACAAATTTATCACCACGGCGGTTGAGTCATATACATACGTTTACTTTCCGGTTATAATCGTGACCGAATTTGTAAGAGTGTTGAGGTCTTTATGTAGATTCAAGTACTCACGACACTCAAATAGTAATACTCATCCCAAGCTCGAATAAGATCGAAATGATGCTTTTTGTATTGAAAAGACGGCTATCATAAACCGGGGTGTTCGGAAATGCTCTCATGGATTATCAATTCAATCGCTGAAGTTTATTGTGTACATGCATATGTGTGCATAACTATGTGCGGACAACTGAGGAGGGGAGCTTGCGAGGTTGATAATAACAGATCTTGATGTCCTTTGCATATGTGGTAGGGTCCCATGAGTGTACTAAAACCCTGAAGTGGTTTGACTCCATGGCCACATTTGCGCCCGCCACACCCACTCCAAAATACCAAAAAAACGCTTTCACTCCAGTTTTCACTCACTCAAATCCACGCCAAAAATCCAATTTTACTCGGATTTTGAAATTTCTTTCACAATTACACTCCCAGATAGTTGCTTCCTGCAATCCAACATCAAACTCAATTTTTTCGAAATTTTTAGTATTTTTAAAATTTGAAATTTTGAATGAGGATTGTTGTAGTAATCAACAACGCAAATTATGCCTGCGAAATAATCATCAGCAAAATTGAGTTTGATATTGGATAGAAGAAAGCAACTATCTGGGAGTGTAATGGTGAAAGAAATTTCAAAATCCGAGTAAAATTGGATTTTTGGCGTGGATTTAAGTGAGTGAAAACTGGAGTGAAAGCGTTTTTTTGGTATTTTGGAGTGGGTGTGGCGGGCGCAAATGTGGCCATGGAGTCAAACCACTTCAGGGTTTTAGTAGACTCATAGGACCCTATCACATATCCAAAGGGCATCAAGATCTGTTATTATCAACCTCGCAAGCTCCCCTCCTGAATGTATTTACTTGTATATTCAAGATTTTTCGCTCAGGTACCCGATCACTAGAAAACATTGTATCTTGTAAATTTGCATAATGCAATTTTATTTTCACAAGACTCGTTGAGATACATACGTCGTGTATTATTTCGCAAATCATTCTCAGCAAATACAGGATACAGGTGAATCCAGATGGATGTTTCAACAATAAATAGTGTTTATTATGATAATGCAAATGAAGAAATACTAAACTACCTGTCATGTGAATATAGATAGAAGATATAAATACGTATTTAATAAAATTGTATTTTAAATTTGATTAAATACTTATATGTTCTATACTTTTAAGTACTAGAAATCCAGAAAATCCAGGAAATCAGAAGACATGCAAATCCGGGATTTCCAACTAGATACCTAAATAGAAAAATAGTAGAAAATTAACCTTCTAGCATTACACATAGATACATGCATACTTCACTATCAGTTTTATGACCAATTAGGTGGTCGACTATGTGTGGACATAAAGCTTTTGTTATACTAGCACCTATGTGATTTGCTACGTACATAAAAAATTTTTGGAAGAAATACATAGATTTGCTGCAGCAAAAATAAAGTAAATCCTTGCGTATCTTAATATGCAATAAAACTTAGGTCGCATGATGGAACCCAATAGCATTATGGCAGATTTCGTTTCCATACATAGAATGATATGATCATCCTTCAGTAAATATGTCGAATTTTTTTGACGTACATACAAAATGGCTGATCAATTCGTTGGAAAGTAATGTGTTTTGGATAAGCAAGAAATGTCAAAATTAGATCTAAGATATCTACAAAATACAAATATTCGTTGGTTCCAATATTCCAGTCATCTCGCATAAAGTAGCTTCAGCTACTTTATGCTAAGACTTTGTCCGTCTATCTGTCTGTCTGTGCGTCCGTCCGTCAACAGGATTACGGGAGAACGGATCGAGATAATCGAAATCGGTTTGCGACATCATACATACAACCCCAGGGGGAGGATCCTATCAACTTTTGGAGGCAACCGGGCCACCCCCCTGGAGCCAGGGGGTGTGGTCGGGGCAAAATGGGATTTTGGGTGAAGGTTTGTCTTTGGTCGAAACTCTTTGAATTTATGGACACAATATTCATAGTTTTGAGGAAGAAGCCACTTATATTTCTGCACTGGTAAGACTTTGTTAGTAAATATAAATATGTACATGTAAGTAGTTGTTGGGCTGAGAATTTTCCAGAGAACCCCTTTTATTTTACAGGTACCACCATGCCGCCAGAATTATAATATCCGGTTCTTCTGCCCTTCAAGGGGAACCTATTGGGTCGGTCCACGTCAATGTCAATCATGTGTTGCGGGCCACGTCTCAGATTTTAGGGCTAATTTTACCATAAATACGTACTACTTAAATAAAGTTACTAGTGAAAAAATAAAAATTCTATGTTAGAAATTGGCCGATAATTTAAATTTGTAAAAAATTTAAGAAAAATTTTCCGTTTGATGCACTGAGTGTCACGTAATTTTGGGAAGGTTTATCTAAACCTAAAAGTTGTTGTAGGCACTATAAACTAAATTCTAAAATTGAAAACATTTGAAAAATTTGAATTCTAGCCATTTTGTAATGGTAACTTCAGAACGCTATAACTTTTTGCACCCTGTCGTGTGCAACTTAAATTTCATAAATTATAACGTAATTTTAAATTTCTAATCCACCATAAAAAAATTAGGTCGCACACGACAGGGTGCAAAAAAATATATCGATTTTTCTGACACACATTAACACATGCAAGCTTATGTATGGGAATATTCCCAAAAATTATCAAAAAACAAGAGGCGTAAACAAAACTTTCAGTGACAAAATTCAAATGCCATACCAGTCCAGATTATTAACGCTGAGTTTAAAAAACTGTGACTAAAAAAATGTAGCCCTGACCGCGTCGACATTTAAAAACTTAGTACGTGCTACGCCCACTGCTGGTGAGCACCACCATCAGTAGTGTCGCTCGGAGTGGAGAGACAACATCTCCGCTCTCATGACTCTCGCTCGATCATGGGTATTGACGTGGACCGACCCTATTTTACGATATTATGGCACAATGAATCTTTTTGCGCACACGTATGAATAAATTCCTTCGTTAGTTATAATTTCGAAAATTTCAACTACTATATGTACAGATACACACGTATTTTTTTAAACTTTTTAGGATAATGTACACATATTTCGCCCTTTCGGTATGATTGAGAAAAGAGGATTCGAGTATTTTTTGAATATTTAATGCGAGCTCGTATATTTTCAAAATATAAACGATTAGATTAGACGAGTCATAATCAAATTAGTTTTCAAGCCAATTAACTAAAATTTGCGAAGCCTGCAAATTTAATTTTTTTCACATGAGAAACTCGTACTGAATGCTCAGAAAGCTTGTACAAGTTCTGTTTCATGGTTCCCTTAATATTTTTGTTTTTAATGTAGGCCTTGTCATACAAGATTCCGAGACCATTAGCAATGGCAATAACTCTTCTACAAATCGCACAATTTGTAGTGGGATGCGCTCTTCACATTTACGCCGCCACAGTAAAATGTGAGACCTTTTCTTTTTAAAAAGGACGATAAAGCTGACATGTTTTTGCTTCCAGGGAACGGTCAGGAGTGTGCCCTTTCGTATGAAAGCAGCAGAAATGGGATGTTCATGTTCGTCTCTTATGTGATTCTTTTTTCGCACTTTCTCTACGAAGGATACATATCTCGGAAAAAGAAATTGAACTAATAGTATATTTCCCGTATAGCCACTGCATTATGAAATTTGTTTATGTAATGCAGTACAGATATTCTTTGAAAATTTTAAATTTGGAAGCTAAAGTAGCATAAAATAAATTGTGATATGATTTCACTGACGAATTACTTAATGCAAAAATCGCGATTTTCTTGACCCCCTCCATCCCCCCGTTGTGCATGTGTAACATTGGCCCGATAGCATTGGAGCCATAACCCTATCGCGTTATATAATTAATGGACGGCCCATATCCAAAAATGCTAAAATTAACGGATACTATGAACAAGGGATATTTTACACACGCGTTTACATGAAAATCAACTTGCAGACAGGGGAAAAGCGAAACGAGTAAGAAAACCGTGAAGGAAAGTTCTCTTTTTTCTATAAATAAAGATTTGCATACAAACCTTTAACTTCATGCATGTTATACTTTACATATGAACATATTTATACGGACAAGCCTTGCATTTCTCCGTAAGAAAGTTTCTTATATAGTGCTGCATTATTGCTCTGTTTTTAAGCCAAGTTTTGCTGTAATGGTTACCATCTGTCTTTCATTGTGATTAGTTAATTATTTGGTCCTGTTATTTATGTACAGCAAAGTTCCCAAGGAGTATACCGACTAAATAAACGAACTTTTAACCCTTTCCTCACTTATGGTTTCTAACCCAACGTTATTCATTAGTTCCGTAAGACAACTCAACTGAGGTAAAAATATGTCTGTAAATCAGACAGATTAAAGAGTTTTACATTGACTTTTTTAAGCTTGCTCCATATACTTGACAACTTGGTACGTACATATGTTTCTTTAAATTATCTGTATTTAAAAGATATGTATGTATGTATGCACATACGTAACAACGCATTTCATTATATCACCCTCTTTTAGATTCAGATCATGGATATTTCACTTCTCATCACTGAATCCAACTTAGAAATATGTGCAAACATTCAGTCATCAATGGAAGCATCACTGGCGAAGATTGGATTAGATTATCAAGAAACGATAACTGGCGTTAAACATTTTGAAGACGTAATCAAAAAACTGATTGAACTCGAATTATTCCAGAAATCCAAAAATATTTCAGAGTTCGTGCATAAATTCATTTTGATCCCTTTCTTAGCAAAATTATGTCAGGCACTTAACAGGAAAAAAAATAACCAGTGTTCTTACATATGGAACTACATATATATTACGAAACATTTTCTCACAAATTTGCGAGTTTTTATCCCATTCCAGCAATCAGGACGTCAATAAAGAATTGGTCTCAGTTTTGACAGCACTGCACAACTTGTTGCCTGAAAACTTTTGGCACGTGGATCATTTTCCTGACGTCAAGTTACCACTTATCGCATGGCAAGATGTCCTTGGTTGTGACCATTTTCCTAACGAAATGAAAATGTGCGACTGTCCAGATGACAAGAAATTTTCTTTCAAACTCAAATTGTCTGACTTAACGTTAAAGCACTGCAGTACTAGTGACGCCTTGCGGAACATGTTGAAGGATTCAGACTCCATAAAATTCATTGCAAAAAGAGCCGGCCAAGAAGGCAGATATTTGTCCACAAGGCCTTATCTATTTTGGCGTTGATACAACTTCAATACCTGCAAATGTGAGAAGTAAATATGCAAAAGAAAACCGCTACGGAGCAACCACAATTTCTGTAATGCTTCGCGATATTACTTCCATGGATAAATGTGCACTCGTGAATCTTGGCACGAAAATATAGCTCCTTGCCGAGGAAAAAACTTGGCGTAACGATAAGAAAGAAGAAAGCAGTCGGGTCGTCAACCTACATAAACTTGAAAGTGATAATTCCGACTGTGAAATATCTCACTGTGAAAATTGTTCGGCATGGACACATCCAGAAATCGTTATCCCTGGAAATTTGGACATTCCTCTGGAAAATGTGAAAATATTGTTTGAAAATCACCACGTCTGTATTGTGACGCAGGATGGTCGCCGAGAGAAATGTATCGAATGCCAAATTAGAAAGGAAAAAGGCGAGTGCAGTGGGAAGCTCGGCGATTTCTCTAATAAATGGAGAAATTTTAATTTTTTATTTGACAGTACTGCCAATTTAGCTATACAAATGTTTGCCTATAACTACCCAATTGCTAAAAGACAACTATTAACGAAGTGCCAAGCCTGTTACAGTATGTTTACGGGGTCGCAGTTCGAAAAAATTGAACGTTATTGGATTGAGGAATGCACGGATTTTGAAATACTTGAGTGGAAAGTTGGCCATCATGAAGAAATACAGGTACATGAATATGTACCTGTACTGGTACATAACACATATTTTAAAGATTAAATCACAAAATTTTTGACTATGCCAAAAACACAATTACTCATGTATGTATTACGAATATGTGAAATATTATATTATATTAAATATTACCACGAATGATTTGCAGGACGAGAGCAGTCCAGCCAAGATACACAAGGCAGAATGACTTCAATACAGACATGCCACAATAGTGTACGTTTATAAATTATAATTGACTTGTATTAAATAAATATGTGTATGGGGCCCTATTTAACTCATCGTAATTCAATTCCCTTTGCGACAATGGTTGATACTTTTTTCCCCGAATAGATAATTTTAATGAGGATTACATCGCGAGGAGTATATTAAGGGTAGCATAAATATTAAACGTAATGCTGTAAATTTCCTATAAAGTCGCAATTTCTCTGACATCCTCATTACATTTCCTAAGAAAAGCTAAATGAGTAAGAACCCCATGACACATGAAGGAAACTTTTTCTCTCTGCCTATATAAGTAAAGATTTTCATACAAACCTTTAATGCGTTGGTGTATATATGCATACATATACTGGCAAACATTGTATTTCTATCCAACTACATATGTACATATGTATGTATAAGAAAATTTTCTTATGCGTTGCATTATTTCCCTGTTTTTAAGCTTACCATTTGTCATGCACAGGGGCTGGTTCATTATTTGGCCCTTACAACAAAGTGCCTAATGGATGGACCATATATGAATGTAAAAAAGAGGGACGGAATTTCAACCCTTTCATCACTTAGGCTTTCTTACGCAACATTAGTTCAGTATCACACAACTTCTCAGCTGTACTGTAAACATTTCCACCGTAATCGGATTAAAGAGTTTGAGTTAAACATACTTTTTCAAGTTTATGTACTCCATATAAAACTCACTGCCTGCTACATAAATGCTGAAAAAATAAAACAACAAAATACAACCCTGACAGCTTGGTAGTTTTTTTTCAAACTGGTTGCAACAGATACATACATACAACAATTAATATCACCCTATTTTCAATGCAGATCATGGATTTGTCATTTCTCGTAACGACATCCAACTTAAAAATATGTGCAGATATAAAGTCATCACTTGAAAATTCACTGGCGAAAATTGGGGCAAATTATGAAGATACGATAGCCGGTATTAAAGATTTTGACGCCGTAATTAAAAAACTAATGGTACTCGAGTTGTCCAAGGAAATCGTACACATTTCTGAATTCGCACATAAATCCATTTTAATCCCTTTCTTAGCAAAATTGTGTCAGGCACTTAACAGGGAAAAAAATAACCAGTGTTCACGCATATCCAGCAAAATATTAGGAAACAACGTTTCTCTAATCTGCGAGTTTTTATGCAACAACAAGAACCAAGATGTCAACAAAGAATTAGTCTCCGTTTTGACAGCGATGCACAATCTGCTGCCTGAACACTTTTTTAATTTGAATCATTTCCCTGACGTCAAGTTACCACTTATCGTATGGCAGGATGTCTCTGGTTGCAATCAGTTTCCTAACGAAATGAAAATGTGCAACTGTCCCAGTGCCAATAAATTTTCAATAAAACTAAAGTTATTCGACTTAAAGATTAAGCACTGCACAACTAGTGTCGCCTTACAGAACATGCTGACAGATCCAGACTCTATAGAATTTATTGGAAAAAGAGCCACCGATCCGGTCAAGAAGTCAGATATTTGTCCACAAGGCCTCATCTACTTTGGCGTTGACACAAGTTCGATAAGTGACAATATGAGAAGTAAATATGCAAAAGAAAACCGCTACGGAGCAAGCACAATTTCCGTAATGCTTCACGATATTACCTCCATGGAAGAAAGTACATTCATAAATCTTGGCACGAAAATATATTTCCGAGAGCATTCACAGCAAAGGTTATTATCTGTGGATGCTACGGACGAGTGGTGGCTCCTTGCCGAGCAAAAAATATGGCATAACAACGAAAAAATCAATCGTGTCTATAACCTGAAAAAACTTGAAGCTGACAGCTCCGACTGGGACGTATCTTACTGTCATCAATGTTCAGCATGGACACATCCGGAAATCGTTTTCCCTGGAAATTTGGAAGTTCCTCTGGAAAATGTGAAAATACTGTTTGAAGATTACCACGCCTGCATTGTGACGGACGATGGTCGCCGAGAGAATTGTATCGAATGCAAAATTAGACAGCAAGGAGGAATGTGTAGGGGAAAAATTGGCAATTCTGAGGAATGTAGAAATTTTAATTTTTTCGTTAACACTGCCGATTTAGCAATACAAATGTTTGCCTATGGCTACCCTATTGCTCAACGACAAATGTTAAGGAAGTGCCAAGCCATTTACAATATGTTTACGTGGGAACATTTCGAAAAAATCGAACGTTATTGGATGGAGGAATGCAAGGATTTTGAAATATCGGAGTGGAAAGTTGGCCATTATAACGAGGAGGAAATGCTGGTACATATATACATACATAGATACTTAATTATGTTTTTAGCATGGTGTAAAATTTTATGATGTAATCGTGAAAATATTAATATAAATATTACTGAATATGTGATATATTACACTAAATATTACCACGCATGATTTGCAGGACGGGAGCAGTCCAACCAAAATGCAGAAGGCGGAATGACCTTAATAAATCCGACGGAATGGTTTGAAGTAAATAATTTATTGGCGTATTTATCTCGTGATTTTTTTGGTAAGCTCATAGTTAAATATGTTATACCTGCTCAACCCATTGACTTTCTATTATAATTACAACATAAAATTTGCTCTTTTAAGGGGTGTTTGAATAGCGTGATTGGGTAAACCACCTGGGCTGGAATGCATTTTTGAAGATTTCAAATATTTTTATTTCGCTACGATAATTTGTGTGCAATAAATGACAAATATTTCAAAACTTCTATCAGATAAAGGTTGATAAAACTGTGTAATATTATTTGATAATAATAAGTGAAGCTATAACCCACGCTGTTTTGACTTTATGATTAATAAGTTGGCCAATATTTAAGTAATTGTAATTTTTAATTACGTAATAAATAAGCATAAACTTTCCAAATTTATGTATGTATTTCAAACCTAACTACTTACTTTCTGATAAAGTATGTACTTGGGAAATATGATTACTAAATTTTACTAGGAATAATGCATTTGATTATGTAATGGGTAGGGTTGCCGCGGGTAACGGGTCGGGTACCCGTTACCCGCATACCCGCACGATTCTTGCGGGTACCCGTTACCCGCATACCCGCACGATTCTTGCGGGTACCCGTTACCCGCATACCCGCACGATTCTTGCGGGTACCCGTTATCTGCGGGTAGCGAGAACTACCCGCACGGGTATCGGGTAGTTCAGTTTTTATTTAATTTCCGACATAAATCAGTTCACAAAGAAAGTTAGCAGCAAGTTAGTGCATTTACCAACAAAAGCTTCAATTTAATATTTATCACTTCAAAATTTGCCATAAACTAGCGCTTATAGCGAGCGTGTCTTTTTCGAAACCACAGAAGCCTACGGCAGCCTCAAATGCTTTTCACGTTCCGAAAATGCGGATAAATTATTGTTTCTCAGTAATTCTCAGGTATATGTAATTTACCTGCTGTAAAATATCAGTTGTCATAATAATTTGACTTGTGTTTGTGTGTATGTATTTTGTAAGACCAACGAGATTTTAATTTATGCTTTGAAGATGAAAATTCTGAATCAGATTGAAAGCAAAAATTTTATTGGTAGCAATTTTTTTAATGAAAACTTCATTGAAGTCAAAATTTCAAAAAATCAAACTAAACATTGACCTTTTTTCAAGGTACACCAAGATTCTCTAGCGAGTATTTATATCAGAAAGTCCAGCAAAAAATTAGGAATCGCGTGATACTTTCCGTTGAGTGCCCACTTTGAAGAAAAATATTGGCTGCAAAATTCAATTTTTAAGTAAATGTTCTGCTTCTTTTTCCTCCACTTAACGAAAACTAAGGCTAACTTTGAACTCTGCCACCCAATAGTTTTCTTTAAACGGGATATTCAACGGGAAGATAAGTGATAATTTCTAATTTTTGGCTTGATTTTTTGATATAATTTTGATATAAGAAATTCAGGTGTAGCTTGAAAAAGGTTCCATTGTAAGCCAAAAAGTTTGGTTTTAGAAACATCTAATGACATCTAGCAAATTATCGCATTCATTACTTGCACAGCATTATCTCAAACTACTGAACAACCCAAATGAGGAAATAATTGATTAAATCAGAGATATTATGAAGGTTGGTTAGTTTTTAACTTAATTCTTATAACGGGTAGCGGGTAACGGGTACCCGCACGGGTACCCGTGCGGGTACGGGTAGTTGGGCAGCGGGTAACGGGTCGGGTAACGGGTAGCATTTTCGCTACCCGCGGCAACCCTAGTAATGGGTGATCAAAAACGTTGCGAATTGTTTTGGCCTAGCCGATAAACTTATACAATACTTGCATACAACCTCATAATCAAATACTTTAGGTGAACCTTTAAATAAGGAAGGCATTTAGTACTACACGTTAAGAACATTTCTAGGTAATAAGCGATTTTCAGGTATTCAGTTTAAGAATAGGTTTTGTCTCCGCCCAATTGCACAAAATTCACTCTACTCTAATATTTTACGTAAGGTTACGTGTTCAAGTGGACGCATTTATATACAACAACGTGCATACTTATTTCGCGTAGTAATACAGTTAGGGCAATATTCTAGATAAGTAGCAACATGTCAAGTTACTATGTATTTTGTTACTAAATCCCATGGATTTCTAAGAAAAAGTTTTGAAAAATGTTGCAAATTTAGTAAACATTCGTAAATTTTTGATCGGTACGCCCATTACGTACGAGTACATGAGTATTTTATCTTTTCTAAAGTATGAATTCGACAATGTCTGACAAATTCTGAAAAAAAGACGAATTTCTTCTGACAGAAGTAACATTCATGACTAGCAGCCTTGTGCCTTCTTGTGTGATTAGCCAAATTGTACTTCGAGAAACTTTTATACTCGCATTTGTCGCAGGAATGGATCATTTCATTACTCGTAGCATGTTTCACCTCCACGTGACGCTTCAATTCGGATGAGATGGAAAATCTCTTGTCACAAAATGCGCAGGGATAATTCCTCTGATTTTCATGCGCAACTCGGATGTGGCGTTGTAGACCACGTCTCCATAAGAAGGTCCGGGGACAGAGGTGACAATTTGATTCTCGGGCAGATTTTTCCAAATGCATCTTCTATAAAACCAATATGAATGTATGTATGTATTGGTAATTTTTTACCCAGTTTCTGACATATTTATTTAAATACCTCGTGGCTTTTCATCTTCCTCATTTGGGCGAAACTCATCCCACACGTGGCACAATTGTAAGGCTTTTCGGTCGTGTGGGTGGAAATGTGTTGCTCAAGTTCAAACCTCGCTTTAAATTCGTTTCCGCAAAGGGTACACGGAAATCGGACCGGATTCTGGGCGTGTTCATAATTTACGTGTCGCGAAATGTGTCCCTTATTTAGGTAGCTTTTCTCACAGCCGGGAAACGTACATGGGAAACGAGGTCGCTCCTTCGTGTTGTGGGCGGCTTTAATATGTTCCCGTAAGTTGGTCGAATTGGAAAACATGCGATGGCACGTGTTGCAGCTTGGTCGCTTCCGGTTGCTGTGAATCCTCACCACGTGGGAAGATAAGGCGACTCGGTTTTTGGAAAGCAAGCCACAAACCTGGACAAGACAGCAGTTGACAAATACGGATTGTAAAATTGGTTTCATTTTTGTAGATTGGCACGCTTACCTCACATTTGACGTTTCCATCAGGATCGTGCCTGGCGATATGTCTATTCAAATCGCCATGGGTTTTAAACGATTTCGAGCACTTTGGACATTCCCACTTCCTTCCTTGCTTCAGATCCATGCGGATTCGGTATTTTTTAGTTTGCAGATTTGTGCATATATATTCACAAAAAATGATTGGCGTCTGCGAGAAAAAATGCAACCGTTTTGACAGAATTCAGGAACATGAAACACATGTCTGGCAATTCTTAAAGATACGTAATGTTTACATATCAAGAAATAAGTTTTGTACTATTTGGTTCTTGGCTTTCTTACCGTGCGTTGTGTAGGATTGTTTAAATAAAGTAATCATTCAGGTGCTGCTTCAGGTGAGTAAGTGAATACGTGAAGTTAATGTTGCTTCGTGATTGGTATGAAAAAGGTTACGTTTTTCAACCATAGGTTTTAGTATAGAGTGGAAATTTGATACATTCCTGTATAAAAATAACCAACCATCCCTTGGGACCTTGCATAAATACTGCGATCATTAATAATTTTAAGAATCTAATTTTTGGGATGAGTTTCGCACACAGGAGGAGATCCAATCACCAACTTTATTTCGTAAAATTATACAGAATACATATCTACATACATACAGGATAAAACGCGTCTTAAAGTTGGCGAATTTTACACTTTCTAAATTTACTGCGCATTTTTCTCCTCCTTGGATGGAAATATCTCTGCCAAACCTTAGGATTGACAGATAGTGACTGGCACCTGGTGCAAATTTCATAGCAATTATATTTGTGATAGATTGACACTAGTCTGATCAAAATTTGGAAATGTACACTCTAGAAAGTACGGTAACAAACAAACACGACTACGGATCACTGGCCCTGGGTAGCGAGGTGGTTACCATTCCAGTAGTAATATTTATGTACGCTTCCGCTTGGTCATACACTGTCACCGAGCCAGTGACATATGATCACCATCCGGTAGAGTCAGATGTACTCACCGGTCGGTGATAATCCGGTGTCAAATTTCTTTAGTGTAGTCTTTCTCGAGTGTAGCCTGCTACTTGTGTTGTCAGGTATTATTAAATGCACCGTTTAAATATGTTTACTTACATACCTTATCAATACTAGACCAGCAATTATGTATGCAAGCCGTATATACAAAACTAAGGTTTAGTTGACCTATGCATGTATGTATGTAAATATTTACCTGCATCGTCATCATCATTACCTCTAGCGAGCGACTATTAATCGCTATTTTAATCTGAGCTTTGTGTACAAACTCATCCTTCGTGAATTATAGAAAAGGGCAAAGCTTAAACGGGGTTTAAACAGTGCATTCCAGTGGCCTCGGACTCGCGGCCACATTCACATTGTTGGATAAGGAAGGGATGGGTTTATATAAGATGGGGAGTTCGAACAACCGTGTGGATATTGTCCCTCCGTCCCCACGCTTCCGCGGCCACTGCTGGCAAGAGTTTCACGGTAAAATTTTGTAACACCAAGGCCACTGGTGCATACAAAGTGATGTAAACTTGGATGCATGACCTTGTGGTATATAAAGTTGAACTGTACTCCACGGTACATATTTTTCATCAGATCACTCAACAATTTCGTACGAGAATGTAGCAATGTTGTCCAAAGGACAATCCTACTTCTTTTATTGGGTGTACCCTACGAACTTGTGCAACCTTAGTTTTTGTATTCCGTACAAATACGATGAAAAATCTGAATCCCTTCAACTACTTGGTTCCAGGTCGAATCGAGTTTATAAAGTGACCCTGCTATCCAACGTAGCTTATCTGTTTTTAATGTGCGCACATTTACTACTTAATCGAGACAAAATCACACTTCAGAATATGCTAGTCGGTGCAGTTATAATCTTTGCCTACTTTACGGCGGGCGTTTGTCGATTAACATTTTTTCTCTGGGAAGACGACGGGCTCTGCCTGCTCAATGGATTCTTACAGTTTGAAACGAATTTGTTGGGAAGTTAGTAAGCTTTTACTTAGAAAATTTACAATTATACTTAGAAAATTTAAACATCTATGCCTGAATAATTCGTTTTTTTACAAATCAATTTAGGGTACGTGAAATTACAGTTAAAATTGAAATCGTGTTCAAAAATTAATTTTTCCTCATATTTAGATGTCGACAACTTGTGTGACAAGATTCGAAATGGTGTCACGTATGCAAAAGTGGTATTTGTCTTGGCAAACGCATCCTGCATGTCGATGGGAATCCTTGTGGGAGTCCAATTATATTTTGCTCCTTGTACTCCGCCATACCTTGGATCGATGCGGTCTGCTTGCTTAAATCAGGAATCGCCAGGACCGATCGACTTTCTCGGCATGATTGGGATACTAATTGATGCTGGGATGTATTTCCATGCAGCGCCACCTGCAGGGCTAATCCTTGCCAGTTATCTGTTATGCATGGGAATATCGTTACAAGAATATCTGTCTGTAATGTCAGGGTAAGAATATGTACTTGTATGGCGGCAAAAATTGGAAATAATATGTACATATTGACAAGCTTAAGGTTATAAAAAATTAAGGTTTTTTTGCGAAAATTGCAAGCAAAGTATCAGCTGAAAGTCGATAATGTACGCACTCACATCAAAAATGTATTTTATATGGTAAGATCGGTGGCAAAACAGTCTTAGAAGCAGTTAAATTTGCGAAATAAATTTTTCAATAGAAAACCTCCCGGGTTTCTAGCTCAAAGTTTTCGGCATACAGCCAATTTAGCAAAACTTTGCAAGCCATTTTAATACCTTAAATTTGCCATATTTTAAACCATGCGAAAGTTGTCGTGAATGTGCCCAGTATTTTCATAGTGAATTTTTGTTTTTTTTGTACATCTAGAAAATTGATGCTACATAATGACGTCTTTTCTACACAAGGCCAGAGTGAAACTCGAGCAATCACGTCACTCCGGAAGTACAACGCATGTCGCCTTTTGGTCGCACAGATGAACATCATGTTCAGAAATGTATTCATTCCCGGGCTTTACTGCGTCGCCTCGAACGGGATCGTTTTCGCACTTTACGTCATCATCCGACTGCACGAAGAAATCTCGTTGGCCGGCTTGTCATTTTTTATCATGATGCTCATGGATTTTCTTCTCACGGTGGGGGTTGATCTCGCCTCAGTTGGCCGCGTGTACTCCGTTTCGGTCGAGGTGACGGAAACGTGGAGGAAGATGGAAAACCTGGGGAGGAAAAGTGAAGCGAGGAAGATTGCGAAATCATTTCCCCCGTTAAAGATTCGATTCGGGGATAATTTTGTGGATCACTTGACCTCGTTGAGTGTCCTGGATTACTGTTTGAACTGGACGGTGTCGCTTCTGCTGATGACATAGCGTAGTAAATTGTCACAATTGAAAATGATGCATGAATATGAAACACATTTCCAGAAATTTTACGCGATAAAAATATTTATCATAATAATAATATTGCTCATAATAACACAAATTTTGTATTATTTAGTTGTTTTGTTTACCGCAGTGACAATTTTTTACTGATCGTGTGTTCTGATAGATTACATACTTAATTATTACTTACGCAGGTACATACATATTTGTTAAGACGAAGTTATCACGTTTAAGTAATTAAGGTTGCATTTTTTAACAACCAACAAACGAAAAGTTGTCAAATTCCTGGATGAAAATAACCAACCATGTACACATAAATTATATACATGACTAATTTTGAACTTTGGAAGAATTGCTGAAAAGTTAATTCGTTACATTTGAAAACCATACTTTTCTGCTGGCCACTTTTTTATTCATGCATAAATCAAGCCAAATAAATAAGCTCTGATTTTCATTGTACGCACAATTGATTTTTAAAAATGTAGGTTACCAATTAGTTACTTATTTCCTTATGAATTGTTAAATTTAATGAGTGGCACGCGTAAAGCTTCCTTCATAATTTTCACCTGGACTAGATTTTTTATTTGTTTAGAAATGTTGACAATAAACATCCCGTCCTCCAAACCCGGTTATGACACACGCGTCTGAATTTGTTCATTCACCGACCCACTTCTCCTTCGCAATGACGCCAATAATGACGGGAACTGTCAAACTGTCCATATTACTGGTGGGTGTGGTCCTCCTCCTCGCCCTACCCGGCGGTCACTTGGCGGATGAGGATAAACCCCTCACGCCCAAGGAGCTCGAAGCCATCGACAAAGAAATGGAGGCAGCCATCGCCAAAACGGACAACACAAAGGAAAAGTTCGCCAAGGAGGATGCAAAGTATCTCAGCCTCAATGTGACAGAGCGATCTAAAAAAACCGAGGCTGCCCGGGGTATAATATATCAATTTAAGGTGGAATTATACCAGCATAGATTTTAAGTCCCATTCTACATACCTTTGTTCAATGTCTTTAAATACAAAGTTCTGGAATTGTATCAATTTCTTGAGCTAAATGCAATTTTTGAAGCTTTCATGTATGTAAAGTAAAATTTTGATATTGCAAAATATGCAGTCGATTTATAAAAAATTACCAAAATATATTTAATGTGAACAATTTTTTTTTTCAAATTGACTGTCTTGCAGTACCAAAAATTAGCACCAAATATCAAAACTTATGAAATTGGCGTATTTAAAAAAATTTACATTTCCTGAAATTTATAAATTTCAGGAAATGTAAATTTTTAATGTCCGTATATATACGGACATTAAAAATCTATGCTGCATCAAATCGTCGTCCTGCGTAACCTCAAAAAATAAAAAAAAAATATTTAAAAACTCATGTAAAAAAGTATATCAAAATTTCTTTGTTCATGTTTCATCCCTGTACAGGAGTTGCTTCGACACAGTCCGTAATCGGGGACATAGTCAAAGGAGCCGAGACCGTTGTCGGCATCGGGGAGAAGATTGGAAATACGGGAACCTCCGTGCTCGGCGGCCTCGTAAATGCGGCCCAACTGGGCTTCGAAATCGGTAAAGAGCTCAATCGACTTAAGGAGTCGAAGACCGGCTTCCTCAAAGGGATCATGTACGAAGTCCAATTTCAGACCGAGCAGCTCTGCAACGTCCTCGTGTTCAACCTTAACAAGCGACACAAGATGGACCTCCATGGGGTCGTTTACTACAAGCGGTACAACTGGGAGAATGCCTGGTTCGGCGTGTGGGTCACGGAGGGGGGCAGTTTCACGAATCTGGACTGGTTTAAGGAGGATAAATGTGGATTTGCGGGAGCCTACAGTATGTCCGGCCTATTCAAGGACAGGGTCGTCTTTGATCATCGGCCCTGCTACAGAAGACCATATGACAAATAAATTTTTATGTTTCTTAATAAGTGTTTTCATATTTTGCTTGGGTTTTAATTTGAGTTTGTTAATTATGTAATTAAATTGGGGTTGGGTATGCATCAACAAAATTATTAGTATTGGAAGAAATATTTGGAATAAATTCAATTTGGTAGATTCGGTGTGAATAATGTTTTCAGAATTTTAATTTAAAAAATGTTCATGTCTAAAAATATCGGAAAATTGTGTATGCACCCACAAAATTAAAAAAAAGTTTTATATACTCAATTTCCTGGATTTTGCACAATTTCTGCACACTTTGGCTCGAAATGGCGAAATATTACGCCTCCTAACACTGCTTGGAACGGTCTCATATGGGTAGGTGCATTATTTTCCAAAAAGGTCGAGAACCGCCTACTTTTCTGTTCCGTTAATTACCTCCACGTGTGCAGGATTTCTAATCGTGCTACATATTTAACCTACATTTTTTATTGTGGTCAAGCATAAAAAAACAGGAAGCCAAACTGTGTCTACCATTCGCCATTCATGTTTAATTCGTATCCTGTGACATAGATGATTAACGGCGATTGAAAATTTGTAGTTGCTTGACACTTGACTCCCCTTCTCCCGAGCCGATTAAAGTTCAAGTGTCGACTAACTTTCTTAAAAATGGTGTCCGCAACCGGGAAAGTTGCCAATTTCCTGGGAACGTTCCTCCTCCTGTCATTCTTCTTGGGTGGAGTGGTCAATTCTGAAAACACGACGGTAACTTAATTTTGAAGTTTTTATGCTTTAAGCATAAAAACACGACACTAACAGATGCAGAAATCTTAGCCCGTTATCCGAACCAATTGGATTTCGTAGATGTTGGAAATGTCACCGAGAGTGAAAAAGAAGGTGCGGGGTTAAGGCTTAAATAATTACATAATTTCAAAATTTTGAAGTTTTTAAAACCATTTTAAACTTTACTTTTACCCACCCAGCCCCGGATCCACCACGGACCCAGAATATTGGCGATGTAGTTCTGGCCATTATTGGACTATTCGATCCCAGGAAAGCTTTGGCTGGTTTGGGACTGACCGTGGCCAAGATGGGGATGACGATTGGAAAGGCCATCGAGAGACGGAAGGAGTGGCAAGAGACGAAAAAGGGATTTTTTACCAGTGAGATACGCCCAATTTTAGAAATCATATTTATATCCCGAAAAATTTTGAAACAAAAGTGATTTAATTTAATGACAGGTCTCGGGTATGAAATATTCTACGAGATGGATATGCAGTGCAACATTATCTTATTTAATCCCGTTTCATGCTTCCCACGTGGGTAAAATCTCTCTCACAGGTGGAACACTTGTACACCTTCTCGGTCGTGTGGGTCGCCATGTGTCGCTCAAGATCAGTGTTCTTTTTAAATTCGTGTCCGCAAAGTCCGCACGGATATCGGACCGGATTCTTGGCATGTTCAGTTTCCACGTGTTTTACGACATCCCCCTTGACTAGATAGGTTTTCTCACAGCCAGGAAACGTGCATGGGAAAAGGTGTCGTTCCTTCGTGTTATGGATATTTTTAATATGGATCCGTAAGTTGTAGGGATTGGAAAACACCCGGTGGCACGTGTTGCAACTTGCTTGTTTCGGGTTGGTGTGAAATCTAGATATGTGGCTAGCTAATGCAAATCTGTTTTTGGAAATCATGCCGCAAACCTAGTGGGAAAAATGTGGATTGTAAAATTAGTTTCTCTACTGCAAATTTATACCCTCACCTCACATTTGACCTTGGCATCCGGGTCGTGTGTGACGATGTGTTTAGTCAACTCGAAACTCGTTTTAAACATTTTTGAGCACTTTGGACATTCCAATTTCTTTCCAGGCTGCAGATCCATGTGTATTCTTTAATTGCTGAGTTTATAAATTTCTATTCCCCAAAAAATTGATGTGCTGAAGCGAATTAAATTTTTATCTGTTTTGTAGTCAAAATTCGCTTATATTCATGCACTATTTGAACACTTTTTTCCCAACAATTCACGCATTTTAAAACGATTGACCAACATTAAACCCGATCCTTTTTATTGATGATAATGTTTATTATTACAACAAATAAATTGTATACTATTTAATTATTCATATACTAAAGAACGTGACAAACCACGTGTCAAATTTCCATTTCTTCCCGTATGTTATTTAGGGTTGCTTAAATATTACTTATCCTGGTCAGTGAACACGAAAAGGGAATGAGTTCGTGAGAAAGGTTCCGTTTTTCAACTATATGTAGGAGCGAATGAAAACGTGAAAAATTCTTGGGTAAAAATAACCAGCTCCCTGAAAGGCCAAGGAGCATACAAAAATAAGTAAATCATGCGAATAGCTTTGAAATTTGGGAGGAGATTCACTCACAGAAAGATTCAATCACGAGGTGAATACGTATTTAGCTTTATTTATTTTTCACAATGGATTTGAAAATAATTACTACAGAGATTTTTTTGTTTTAACTTTGTGCCGTGAATTTCTTAACTCATATAACGGGATCAAATTTCAAAATGAATAACTATTTCTTTAAATTGCTTACTTTCGAACTATATATTACATGATTATTTAATTAGTTATAAATAAATAAATGCATGCAACTTTTTAAGCAAGATTAACTTAATCTGATTAAGACCTTTTTTGACGTATGCAGAATGCAGAAACACTTTACAGAGCTTAACACCTTTTAGTTTCTATTTTATGATTTCCGCATTCATGACAAATCGAAATTCAAGTTGCTTACTATGAAAATAAAAACTAATTAAGCATTATTTCCACTTTGGTAACAACTTGCCTCAATGTATTTCATACCTGCTATTATTTAAGTGACAATTGTATACAAATTCCAACATACCTCCCTTATCGTACAATGATAACGTCCCCACGGTTTCTGCGGCCACTGCTTAGCGGAGATATTTAACCGTGTTAATTCAAACTTGCACTACTATTTCATGCATATTTAAATATATACAAACATCCATCCACGCTAAATATAAATAGTATTATCTGTAATTTCCATACGATATTAAATACTAGCCTTACGAAACATCAGACAAAATTGAAAAATATTACATTTATTTTTAATACAAGTTACCTTATTCCTTACACGATGACATTACAAGATTTTCCAGCAACACAAAAATAGAAAGGTGCATACATATTTCCAGGAATTTTATTTCCAGTGTCTAACCTGAACCCTTCGCCACTGGCCAAGCCCTTCCTTCATAATGTGCATGTTTCTTTACTTAAGTTCTCATTACCACTCTGCATTCTGGACTTCAAACATCTTAACATCTTCAACATCGCTTAACAAGTAGATTTGCGTAATTAAAACTGCTTTATAAAAAACTAAGCCAAACTTCAATAGTTGCCAAGTACATAATACCAGCCTGTGACAGTACTATACAATCAATTAAGATGAATACCTCTTCTGCAATGGAATCCAACTTCACTCTGGACCAAGCAAACTATGTTGGACGTTTAGAGTGAGTAATTTTTTATGATTTGCATTAAAAATTTCTAAAATGTTAACTGTAATAGTAATTATTTAAGACAAATTTAAAACATTATTCCTTCAATACTAAATAATTATTGTATCTATTTATAATTCTTAATTCAGATCCAGCTTCCTCGCTGAAGTTTGTCGGATGGAGGAAGGAGTTTTGCAATCCGCTCGACTGATGCCTTACCTGCGCGTCATGCTGACGCAGGATGGCGGAGCGACAATTATGGATGCTATAGCGATCGGGAATTTTTACCACGTGGAAAAATATGTTTATAAGGTACATATTTACATACATAAGAAATTGATAAAACCTAAATGAGCAAAATAATCGTGGTTCAAATTTTACAAAATTTCGAACAGAAGTTAAAATTTTATGATATTTCTGTTAGGTCGGGAACGTTTACCGTTTTCCACGTGGCATGTTTGAGATCCGTCCTCGTACATCGCAGGACTCGTTATCAAGTTATCGATACGACTTGTGGTTTCTGAACTTTTCTGTTGAGAAGGACTCACTTAAAAAGATTGATCGCTTATTTAGGTATGTAATTTCTGATGAAATTTTGCTTTGTCTTTATAACGACTTGATATTTATTCTGGTAGTCACGTCTGATGAAACGAGCCCCTAAATCCTGCCGGACTTCAGATTTGGAATAGACGATGAAAAATATGAGCATATACTAAATGTGTACACTAAATTAAATTGCATTATGTGCTTGCATATGGCAATATGTCGTTATCTACATACATTCACAAACATCGTATTGTATTTTTTATATTATTTAGTATTTAATAAATATTGTGATTTTATGCTTACTTATAATTGAATACTTGTATTAATTATTCATACGACTTCACAATGAAATACATACTCATGCTAATGCATTTGATTGACGTTCTATAAAATTCCCATGCCAGCAATTCTACAAATTCTCTTACTATTCTTAATAATCATATTTACATACGTACGTAGACCGTACTTGCCTCCATAGGTACATACACATGCTGATTAAGAAACACGAAAGTCAAAAATTACAAATCTGATATGTAATTGATTATTATAAACCATGATAATGATAAATTGGAATAAATTCAAGTGTTTTGTTGAAAAAAAAAGAAAGTCAAAATTATTATTTGCCTAAATGCCTTTTTATTAAATAAAATAATTAAGTCATTTGCAATTTTACATCATATTAAGTGAACCTACTCATAATATAACGCACTTATGCAGTTCGCTTATCAATAAGGTTTGTGAAATATTCTAGCAAAGTAACCAAATGCCCAGCTAGTACGTATTTACACACATAAATTTGCAAATAAAATCCCATAGCTTTCTTCTAATTTTAGCCACATGGCGCAAATAAAAATTCGCAAATTATTGCTACATACATATGCCCGCTTCATAGATAAGTATTTTAACTTTCTAAAGTATGAACTGAAAAATGTTTGCCCAATTCGCCAAAAGAGAAGAATTTCTTCCTACAGAAGTAACACTCATGCCTCGCTGGATTGTGACGCATTCTGTGCCTGGCCAAATTGTCGATCAAGTAGCTCTTGTACTCGCATTTGTCGCAGGAACGGATCAGCCCCTTATTCATGACATGCATCACTCCCACGTGACGCTTCAAACTGGCCGGAGTGGAGAGTCTCTTGTCACAAAATTCGCATGGATGATCCCTCCGACTTTCATGCACAGCTCGGATGTGGTATTGTAGGCCACGACTACTTAAGAAGGTCTGCGGACACACGTGACACTTTGACACCGGTCGGGTAGACTTTTCCAAATGCGTCTTCTGTGAAACGAAGATTCACATTAGTAATTTTTCACCCAGTTTTTCCCACAAAATGTTTTTTACCTGGTGCGATATCATGTTTCCCCTATTGGCGTAACTCCTCCCACAAGTAGCGCAATTGTACGGTTTCTCCGTCGTGTGGGTGGGAATGTGACGCTCAAGTTCAGTTCTCGTTTTGAATTCCTTCCCACAAAGTGTGCAAGGAAATCTGACCGGATTCTTGGCGTGGTCAATTTTCACATGTTCCAAGATATGTCGTTTATATAGGTAGGTTTTCGAACAGCCGGGGAATGAACACGGGAAACGAGGTCGTTCCATGGTGCTGTGGATGACCGCAATATGTCGCCGTAAAGTGCCAAGGGTGAAAAAAACCTGGTGACAAGTGTCACAACTTGGTTGCTTATCATTACTCGACATGTGGGAAGATCATGTAGTTGCGTGTTTTTTGTAAATTAGCTGCAAATCTAAATAAGAAAACAAATTCTTTCAAATTTCGGCAAATTTTTGGTAACGCATACAATTACAAATATCAAACGCAAATGCTTATCGATATTATAATATTTATTAGAACATGAAATAAATTGTGTACTATGTATTTATTGGCTTGACACACTGCTGTAATCTCAGTTCGTTAAATTTTGTTTCTTACCGTGTGTTGTGTTGGACTGATTAATTATCAAGTTTGTACATGTGTAGGAGTTTCTTAAGAGCAGGTGAAAACGTAAAGTTGATGTATTAGTTTTGTGTGATGTGGAAAAGGTTGCATTTTTTACTACAAACGAGCAAAAACTTGACAAACTCCTTGATAAGAGAATAAATTAATCATGGGTTAATTTTGAGAAAATTAAATATGAAAATTTGTTTAAAAATGTGAAATAATATGTTTTACACACATGGCTAAATATATAAGCATTTATCTGTATTTCCCGTTTGATCTTATTTGTATACTGTACTTACTTGTATTTTTAGTACTTGCACGAGACTACATGCATTTTTGATATACCCAATTTTTCCATGGCACAAAAATAGGGAAGAATTTCCAGGAACTTTATTTCTATCCTTTCCAGTGACACTAAACCCTCGATTTCAATCCATTCCCAATTCCCATACATATTTGATTCCATCTTAAGTAATTCCAGTCTGCCACTTTAAACTACCTATGTATTCACAAGTGGGTATTTCGACACCGATTTTTGCTAGGCTTTATTACGCCGTAAATAAAAACCCGACACGTCTTACGACCGATATGTTATGCGAATTTGTGTTTCTATGACTTCAAATTCAGTATCCTGTTTAACTGTGTGGCTTTTGATGCGTATTTTTTCTTTGTAAAGATCTCCCAATCTCCAAATACACACTAATCCCACTGCAATTGATATTAATTTCCGTAAAATGCATCCAATAAAGTTACTAATATCGAAGTAAATTAGATTAAATAATAATCACGGATTCTTATTTCGGATCGGATTAAATAATATTTTAAACAGCCAGTAATTAAAAATTATGATTTTAGTCAAGATTAAAATCATGATTGTTGATTAAAAGCTTTGAATACTTCAAGTAAATAAAAAAGCTATAAATTTAATTGTGGTTTACTTATTTCGGCAAATTTAGAAATACACTTATGGCTATAGGTAAATCTGGCCAAACTTATTCGAATCAAACTAACGATAAGACCTCATAGAATTAATATGTAACCGTGTAGATGAAAACTTGGACGATTCCACATATTTTTCTCCACCGATAATTATGCTAATTTTAGATATTATTATAACATCGTAAAAATTAATCTCGTAATTATTTCTCATACGATATTAAACACTAGCATTATGAAACATCATAGTGGAAAAATACTACATTAACCCAAGTTACTCATTCGTTGCACGGTCACGTTACAAAAATACTCACCAACACAAAAGAAAGGAGTGAATATTTCCTAGAATTTTATTTCCAGCGTCAAACTTGAACCCTTCACCACTGGCCAACCCTTTCATAACGTGAATGTTTCTCGACTTCTGCTCTCATTTGCACTCTGCATTCTGCACTTAAAACATCTCAACATCTTCAACCTCGCTTAACGCCACTTAAAAAGTAGATTTGCTTAATTCAACCTCCGTTTTAAAGAACTTAGTCAAACTTCAAAATTTGCAACCTACATAATATTAACCTGTGAAATTAAAATTTCGTGAATAATTAACATGGATACCTCTTCTGAAATGGGATCCATCTTCAATTGCTATCAAGCAAACTATGTTGGACGTTTAGAGTGAGTAATTTTTTTATAATTTTCATTAAAAAGTTCTAAAATATTTGTATGTTATCTGTAATAAAAATTATATTTGACAAATTTAATACACTTTTCCATACATGCTAATTAATTATTTTATTGATGATTCTGAATTCAGATCCAGTTTCATCGCCGAAGTTTGGTGGACGCAGGAGAACTTTTTCGAGGAATCTGGTCAAACGACGCCTTACCTGCGCGTCATGTTGGTGCTGGATGAGGGGGCGTCATTTATAGACGCCATTGCATTCGGGAATGCTTACCACGTGGCGAAAAAATTTTATAAGGTATGCATATAATTTATTTATGCAAATGAACTAAAGAATTGTGATGTGAATTTTGTATAAAGCTGAAAATTAATGACATTTCTGGGTTGCTTGTTAGCTAGGGAAGGTTTACTGCTTTCCAAGTGGCATGTTTGAGATCCGCCCTCGTACATCGCGAGCTGACTCTACGTCAACTTATCCATTCGACTTGTGGTTTGTGAACGAATCTGGTAAGAAAGACTCCTTTAAATAAAATTGATGGTTTAATTTCCGATGAATTTTTGCTTTGTCTTTCTAACAACTTAATATTTATTCCGATAGATGAAACGAGGCCCACACCCAGCGGAACAAATTTCGAAGAGTCGATGCAAAACATGAATATTTTCTAAATTCGTGCATTAAATTAAATTTTATTATGTACTTGCATATTTATGTATAACATGTTTTTTTTATCTACATAATGATCATTTTGTATTTTTTATGTTTAATGTATCATTTAATAACTGTTGTGATTTTATGCTTACTTGTAGTTGAATATTTGTATCAATTATTCATACGACTTATTAATAATAATGCATACCGAATGCGAAGGTTGACGTGAGTATGCTCAATAATAAGCGGATTTGCTAATTTTTTCATGAAGAACAATTTCATGCAAAAGTTCTGTTGTTTTAATTTCGTTACAGGGAAAGCTATTTGCGTCTATTTATTTTCTTCTATCTATTTGAAGTCTATCAGACAATTTTTGGTCAATCTTGTCCTATGACCAGTCCCATTTACATCTCATTAATTGTTTAGTTGGCTGGAATGCTCTCGTTAAAGAGGAATGCTTTCACTGGGTGATGGGTAAATATCACGACTACAACACCAAAGTCCTGCAAAACATATTTTATCTTCATGTTTTGTTTAATCCCGCTTAACCTTCAGAACTTGAATAAACTAAATATATGGTTAGTTTACACTTCAATTTTAACTATAATATTAATTTTCAGATTGACGCATTATTGTAAGGTGTTGGTCGTTTACGTAAGTAAATTGATAATCTGTTAGTATTATGTTTTACTCCTGATAATCAAGGATGAGTTTGACGTTAAGGTCAAGCAATACCTTTTCCCACTCATGACCTGTCGTTTGAGTCCAGGGTACCCACTATGTTATTTTGAATCTACTAGGACCCCAGATGAAGGATTCATTCATATTTCCGTGTAAAACTCATATTTGGCGCCATGGCGTGGCGCCAAACTTAGAAATTTGCATTTTCGACCAATTTCAACCCCTCATAACTTTTGTAGTTTATGTCGGATTTTCAAAATTTTATGCTTAAAATGACCACAAAAGTCAAAATTTTTGAGAAAAAAATAAAAATAAAAAATTTCTAATTTTTGAGATATTTTTAGCATTTTTTCGACGAACCCCCATTTCTAAGAAAATTACGAAATTTTTCGAAAAGTTAAAAGCGATAATTTTGGAAAAAATTTCATGGAATACGAAAGTTTAACTCCTTGTCATGATTTTTGCCAAAAATTTTTAAAATCCGTCCAGGATTTCAAAAGTTCTGGCGGTTTCAAAAATAAAAACATTCAAATTTGGCGAATTTGGCGCCACGGCATGACGCCAAATATGAGTTTTACACGGAAATATGAATGAATCCTTCATCTGGGGTCCTAGCAGATTCTAAAAAACATAGTGGCCACCCTGGACTCAAACGACAGGTCATGAGTGTCCCTTGTAAGTAAATTACTTTGTCCTAATGCATAATGGAAAGGATTTGTCTAAGGCGATAAGGCAAGTAAACTATGAAATACGAACAACTATTTGTTTAACCGGGCAATTGCGTCAAATAAATATGAAGCTGAAACTCAAGGTTATTAGTTTGATTCAAAATAGATAATAATTCCATTTCACTTTGCTTTAGTCACTTACTTACATATGCACATCGAAAATATTATTCAGTAAAGTCTAGTAAGTCTAACGTAATTTGTTTTCTATTTACATCTATATTATAAGTACACACTTCGGCTCTAGAAGCTTCTACCTAGTCAATTAAATATTAATCACACTATTTCACAAACATTTGCATAAAATTTAATCCATATACATATATATGTAGTCCTTCATTTCAATTTGAAAGCATAATTTCACCCTGCCAGCGTGAAGTGAAGGATATAAAAAAACTCAATAAAATAATGATTTCCATCCGTGAAATCTAAATTACGCCTGCCAACAATTTAAAAATCATGAGCAAAATCGTTATTTGTCATCGGGTAGTGCGCCACCTCCGAATCGGGAACTATTTTCACTGCATTTTTGCAACGTTTGACACGATGGAAGGAAAGATAAGTTTAATCTCGAAGAAGAATAAGCGACTCGTGTTATCCTTCACAGTTCTGCAATTCCTGGTTATCATCGTTCGAATCTGGTCGATCGCCACGACGAGGGCGGATCTTCTGGAAAGCATCTTTGGTATTGCAATTGCCTCCTTGACAGTTATTGGATTCGTGGTACGGTGCGACCCATTTCCGGATGACGTACAAGTGCAATTTCTGAATTACATATTTTCTTCGAAAGGTGGGTTGGATGCTTAAACGATAATCAGAATATTATGCAATGCCCTGGAGTGATTGTCAAACAATGTGACCTTTGTTCAAAATATGTACACCGGGATTGTCTCAGCGAGTTCAATACATAAAAATCAAGCCAAAAATTAGGAGGCACATGACACTTATCTTTCGGTTGAATGGCCCTACAAATACATTTACATATATAAATTTCTAAAAACCTTACGTACATATGAATAAATAAAAGGTCTGGTTCATTGCGTAATTTTCAGACGAAGTCAGCGACCGCGGAGCGACCCGCTATCTCAATCTTTTGGCTCTCTTCTTTGACGTGGTCGAGTTCACGTACTACAGCATTTCAACAGTTCTTGGCTTACTGGCGCTGTTCCTCCCTTGCCAACCGGGGTTGACCAGCTCGATCATTTGTTCATCGGAGGGAGTTTTGTTAAGCGGGCTCATTTTCAAATTTCTCTACCTCTTCTTCTTTCCCGCCTTAGAGTTCCTCATATACATGCAGGTCGCGGTGGGTACGGCGTACAACTTTGTGACCGTTCTCCTCACAGGCGTCACCTTTCTCTGGCTGGAGTGTGCATTTTTCATAAAATGTTACCAAAAGGAACTTGCTGATCTGGCGGATTACCGGAAAATTCAAATTTTTGAAAAAATCTTGAACTCTTGTACACGAGAGGGTATCTTCTTGAAATTTGTTATCCTCATCCCATCGTTACAGGTTTTGATGTCTTTGGTGGCGATTAAGATGTTCCACTCGGGCCATGATTTGTTAGCTGTTATGTTCTGCTGGATGTACGTGATAATCCTGGGCTCCACCCTGCTCACCTTTTCTGCTGCGGCGAAGGTCTATGGTACGAGTACAAAATGGATACAGGGATGCAAAGGAGGTGAGAGGAAAAAATATGCGAGGAAAATGCACAGGTCTCTGATTCCGTTGAGGTTACACTTTGGGAATAACTTTGTCGAAATCTTGACTCCGTTAGTGGTCCAAGAGTATTGTGTTAGGCAGACGGTGACGTTCCTACTTTTGACAAAATGAGGTAACCATTTCACTTCGAGTGTGTATGAAGATCAAACTTTTTTCGGTTTTTTATATGAAATGTGGAAAATGACTTATTTGTATATACTTACTGCTAAATAAAAACACAATTTTTAAAGCATAATAATTGACATATCGAAATTATGAAAATTTCTTTGTCGGTCCAAAGGGACGGACAGAAACTATCTGTCCCTCCGTTTGGCAGTGTGTATTTGTTTAAGTAGGTATTTACAATGATTTCGTTATAAATACATACATGTATCATTATATTTATATTAGATACATGGGGCAGCCCTGGACATATAACTTATAACTTAAAATTATGACGTATGACTTATTTTATAAGTTACTAGTGTATAAGCCCGTCTCCTGCCGGGCGACGGGCTTATTTGATTTTCGTGAAAATTAAGTACGATTGTTCATAATTCCACCGAGTTATTTTTTTGTATCTATATTATTAACTGGAAATGTCTGTTGGCAGAGGAAGTGAAACTTTCTCCACTTTCACTTCCGTCACGGAAAATTACTTTCACTTCCGTTGCAGACAAACATTTCCAGCTTATAAGATAGATAAGTCATACAAACTCCATAAGGCGACGTATATTAGATACATGGGGCAGCCATGGACAGATAACTTATAACTTAAAATTATGACGTATAACTTGACTTATATGTAAGTATACGTACATAAGTATACGTCGCCTTATGGCGTTTCTATGACTTATAATTTATAAAATAAGTTATACGTCATAATTTTAAGTTATAAGTTATATGTCCATGGCTGCCCCATATCCCAGGCTGCACCAACCGAGAAAATCACATGTATTATTGGTGTCCCCGGTGTCAATTTCGTGTTTGGGGCATTATTCGTGTAAATATTTTTTTAAACACGTTCGTAACACGTATTACAAAAACGACTTTCAAACGGATTCTTTATCACCAATTTTCTCGTTCATAACACATGTACAACCCGAGAATTACAACAACCCGAAACTCGTGTTTTCGAACACCAGAAATTCACGAGAATTTCTAGTGTTGTTGGTCACAGAAACCTAAATGCTGCTCTCTCCGTTGTAAAGAAAGAGGGACAATTCTTTAGTTCGAGATGAGTAATGGAGAAAGCACGATCAAGAAAAATATTCCGAAAAGTAAGGCAAGGAAATTCGGATTTTGCATTAATTTCAGAAAGTGCAGAAAAAATAATACCGCTGCCCTCGTCATCCTTGCCAGAGGCACACACACAGAGTTCACCATCACCCGAATATTTGATTTTTGAAGCAGATGCCATCTCGGATTATTCTGACAATAATTTATCCACGCAGTCAAATCTAAGTGATAGTGATTCTGAACAGTCTAATACGGAAAGTAGTGCAAGTGATTTAAGGGGGTGGGCACTAAAGCATAACACTACATTCTCTGCTTTAGGAGATCTGCTGGAAATTTTGAATCGACATCCTAATTTTGATTTACCGAAAGATCCTAGAACACTTTTATGCACTCCAAGATCGACTACAATTGAAAAGGTGGAGCCTGGCGAATACGTACATTTTGAGTGGATTTCATCCGTCGAAAAGTTAATTCAAGTTACAACAGCAGACTATATTAAAATTCAAATTAATATTGACGGAATCCCCCTCTATAAAAGCAGCACAAGACAATTCTGGCCCATTTTAGCGAAAATTGTAGAATATAATCAGGTCGTTGTAATTGGAATTTATTCTGGTTTTGGAAAACCTACAAATATTAATAATTTTTTGAGACAGTTTGTCAACGAATTCAACACCATAGAGCAATCTTCGAATTTAAAACTTAAAATATCTGCAATTGTGTATGACGTCCCAGCAAGATCATTTATTTTGGGGACAAAGTGTCATAATGGTTATAGTTCTTGTGGAAAGTGTGACATAAAGGGTGAATATTTGGATAATAGAGTTACCTTTCCACCAGGAAATTATAATTTAAGAAATAACGAAAATTTCCGATCAAAATTAGATACAGCACATCATAATCAAGCCTCAATAATAGAATTACTACCCATTGATTTAGTAGAAGATGTGCCAGTCGATTTTATGCATCTTGTGTGCTTGGGAGTGACCAGAAAATTACTATTTTTATGGGTGAAAGGAAAAAAATGTCCAGGTCGTCTGCGTCCTCACCAAGTTGACCAATTATCCACTAATTTGCTAAAAATCAAAACCTCAATACCAAAAGAATTTTCAAGAAAGCCACGTCCAATTAGAGATCTCGAACACTGGAAAGCAACTGAATACAGACAGTTTATTTTATATACTGGCCCCACAGTTTTGAAGAAAATCCTTGCTCCTCAATTTTACCAGCATTTTTTGTGTTTCCACGTAGCCATCACGATTCTTGCAAATCCTAACACTTATCTGAGTAAAAATAATTATGCACAAGAGCTACTAATATATTTCGTTAATAACTTTGGTGAATTATATGGGAAAAAGTATAACAGTCATAATCTTCATAATTTACTACATTTATCCCGGGATTGCATTCGACACGGTCCCCTTGACCAATTTAGTGCTTTCCCGTTTGAAAATAAGTTACAACAAATAAAGAGATTGGTGAGATCTCCATCTCTCCCCTTGCAACAAGTTTACCGGCGGTTAGTTGAAAGAGAAAAAATAGACCTGTCCTCTTTCAAGCAGCCAGTTTGTCAAGTATCGTTTTTCCAAGTCGACATTAATTCACCCGAGTGTTTCAAAGTGTGTAAGTTTGCAAATTTCGAATTATCCAACAAATTAGGGAACAATTTTTGCAAACTAAAAGATGGAACTATAATTAAAATTCACCATTTTGTTAGAGGATCACCTTCAGAATTATTTGGACAGAAGTTTAAAAAACGTGAAGATTTTTTTCAATCTCCTTGTCCTTCTTCTTTAATTGGTGTTCAACTTATCTCCGACTTGAGTGCAGTACGAAGATTTAATATTAATTTAATCGAATCAAAATGTGTAGTACTTCCATTTGAGACTGAATTTATATGCTATCCCTTGATTCACAGTGAAATTCAGTGACTTTTTACAATGCCGTACTCTATAGTTCATTTTGTTGAAACTGACGAGGTAGAAATTATCCCAATCAATTGGCTGTCAGCAAGTAAAAATAAATGTTGGTGGCCGCCGTACAAATCTTCAGAACGCCAATCGAAGGCCGTCATGAATGGGGACACGCCAAATCAGCAAGTTTGGTTATCGTTTGACGTAAAAGTTTTAGGCGGAGGCAAAATATTTGGTGAGTCTTTTTTATTGCATACATTGATAAAGTTATTTATAAGAAAGAAAAATGCTGTTTATTTGTTTGTTAAGGTTCTTATAATCAAGCAAAAAATAATGTTGGAAAAGCATTGGAAGAAACTGATCCGGAATTTGAGAGCGACTAGGAAGTAACTTGTCGAGGGCAACGACACAAGAAAACTGTTCATCTACCACCGCCCGGCGACTCCGATAGTGAAGAAGAACCGCCCAAAATGAAGCAAAATCGTTCTATTCCCACGAAGACAATACCGCCACCACCACAATATTTTAGTAAGTTAAAATCGCGCATTTTTTATATTCCATTGCACCAAAAAAGTAGTATAATAAATAATACTGTTTATCCAGGTTTAGTGGGAGAGGGCTTGCAATCAGAAAAGGAAGACAGCCACGAATCAAGTTTACCAGGACCGAGTGACCCCCCATCGCCAACTAATTCACAGCAATACCAAGGCACACTCTCTAGCGAGCAAGTTTTATCTAGCTCTCACGAATTGGAAAGCCGTTCGATTCCTCAGGCAGAGGACATTGATACAACTTTCGGCAGAGATAATGGCACGTCACCAAACGCAGGAAATTTAGGTAGGTGTGTGACAATTTATGTAATGTCTCAGTAATAAATAACTTGTATTTTACAGAATTCCAAAAGTGGATGGTACGTCAAATGAATGTGATGAAAGCCCAACTGCGACAACTACAGGAAAGCGTAGACGTTTTAGTGAGCAATTACAATTGGGGGACCAAGACGGGTGGTCAAAACGAAAAGTTTCCAGTGGGTTTATTACCAGTGGATGATGAGTCTGACTTGAAGAAACTCGAGGATTTCGCCAAGGCATCAAGAATCACATTGGTAAAATATTTATCAAATAATATTGCGAATTACCATGTGGCGTAATATAAGTATTATAATATAAGTAATAATATAAGTATTTATATAAGTATTATTCATGTTGCTATTTTTAACTATGCATATATTAATTGTTGCAACTTTGACAGATTACAGAACTGCAGAAAGGCATACGTGCGACCAAGGATGTAAAGATTGCTACACAGCGGATACTAGCCAAGTTGCTGACAGATAAGTATGCATCGTCATACAACTGGATTGGTTCAAGAGGACCGAAGTCACCTTTTTCAAAATCATGGATGAAGCACATTATATATGGTAAATTAGTTGTATGTGAATTAATTAAATATATAATGCGCTCCTTTAAATTAAATTCACCAATGAAATTGCTGTGTTTTCAGAGGCAATTCAAGGACTGGAAAACTTGGGCAACGCTGACGACGACGAGATTTGGGAAGCAATTAAAAATTGGCTCAAAAATTCCAACAAGCGTATTGAATCGGTAGGACAAAATGCAATATTATTTGTACCTATTTATAAAACTTTCATAATTTTTACTTTATTTAATTAGGAAAAAGTTGGAGAAGTCCAATGCAGCTCTTCCATTAAGAAATACTGGACCAGAATCAGACAATTGATTTTTTTCACAATTTTTTATTGTTATTTGGATTTAAAACTTTATGTAATGTTAATGGTCAGTAATAAATCATAATTCCCGCATCTAATTTGCAAATAAATCTCGTGTTCTGAACGTATAATTTCACTTTTTAATACGTGTTTTTTTGGGGTTATTCTCGTGATTTGGTCGCGAAACTCGTTCCTTCAACACGTGTTTAGAACGAATAAGATACGTTAAAAATCGCGACACTTGCACCCAGTTGAGCACCAAATCTATACCAGTCTCCCACGTCGCTAACACGAAAACTGGGGTCGCCAGATTCGTTAAAAATTGGTGATAATCTCGTGATTGTGCAGCCTGGGATGTATCTATTATGTTTTCATAAATGGCTAAAACTCAACGCCGTAGTTTCCTTTGACACGTTGACGTTTCCATAACATGGAAGAAAATAATATCTAAATAATTCTACTGCACACAGCCTGAAGTTTTGCACATGTACTTAAAAAGTTTACTAAAAGCCTTCAGTAATTTATTACCGGAGTACATATACATATCTATCTATGACTTCATCGGAACGGTAATAAATGGCATTGCAGCATACTAACATTATGGTAAAAAAACCTACCACTTAGGAACAAATCCATAGAAACAAATTATTACCAATCCAGTAGGAATTTATTAACAAATCAATACCAACACGGAGTGTAAATATTTATTTATGTGTGAGTCAACCAGATTTTTGACAATCTACGTCTACGTCTATATCATGATTACAAACTTCTGCCCCGGAAATGTCTACCTAGAAATTAATTATGCATGATGTGGCTTCCTGTCTGACAAATATTTACATAAAATTAAATCTAAGTATTTCATTCTAGATTGAAGGCGTCATTCAGCCCGGTCAGCTATCATTGAAGTTTGTCAAAAAATTAAATGAAACAAAATTTTCAAATAAATTGCTTCCAACCAATCTAAAAATCATGAGCAACGCCGTTATTTTCCGTCGGGTAGTACGCCACCTGAGAATAGGCAACTATTTCCATTGCATTTTTGCAACGTTTGACGCGATGGAGAAAAGGATAACGCTAATTTCCAAGAAGAAAGAACGACTCGTGTTATCCTTCACAGTTTTGCAACTCGTTGTTATCATCGGTCGAATCTGGTCGATCGCAACGAAGATGACAAATCTTTTGGAAAGTATTCTGGGTCTTGCGATTGCCTCCTTGACAGTTATTGGATTCGTGGTTCGGTGCGATCCATTTCCCGATTATGCACAAGTCCAATTCCTGAATTATATATTTTCTTCGAAAGGTGGGTTCCAAAAAGTTGGCAAAGTCAGATCTATGAGTATTACTTATCATGCGCAAGTCATTAAATTTATTATGCAAATTTCATGAAAACTTAAAATATTGTTTATGGGTATACTTGACGCCGCCTTAGATTTTGCAACGGCGTGAAGCTCTGATTGCGAAATTCTTTGTAATGAGTGCTTAGATATATGCATATGTATTTATCCAAGCACTACTAAATTTATACGCTTAACAAATATGTAAATGCACCCCAAATTCGAAATCAAGTAAACCAAACCATTCCTAAATCAAGAGTAGCATTAACTTGATAAATTTTGAAGTTACTCTGGATTTAAATAGTACAGTTTACTTGTTTAATATAGACTTCAGAATACACATGTCGAGAGATTTGCATGATTTTTAAGAGTATACATAATCATACGCAATGTGACGAAATCTGCTTTACTGGGTCTTATTTATTGTGCAATTTACAGGCGAACTCTGCGACCGTAGGGCGACTCGCTTCCTCACGTATTTGGCTCACTTTTTTGATGTTATCGAGTTTGGGTACTACAGCATTGCAACGCTTCATGGCTTACTGGCGCTGTTCCTCCCTTGCCAACCGGGGTTGACCAGCTCGATCATTTGCTCGTTGTAGGGAGTTGTATTAAGTGGGCTCATTTTAAAATTTCTCTATCTCTTATTCTTTCCCTCGTTGGAGTTCCTCATATTCATGCAGGTCGGCGTGGGCACGGCGTACCACATTTTGACCCTTCTCCTCACAGGCGTCACTTTCCTTTGGCTCGAGTGTGAATTTTTCATAAAATGTTACCAAGAACATCTTGCTTCTCTAACGGATTACCGGAAAATTCAAATTTTTGAAAAAATATTGAACTCATGCACGCGGGAGGGCATCTTCTTGAAATTTGCTATCCTCATCCCATCCTTGCAGGTTTTGTTGTCATTCGTGACGATTAAGATGTACCATTCAGGTCATGACTTCCTAGCCGTTATGGTTGGCTGGATGTACGCGGTGACTCTTGGATTCACTCTGCTGAATTTTTCTGCAGCGGCGACGGTGTATAATATGAGTAAAAAATGGATACAGAAATGCAAAGGGGGCGAGAGGAAAAAATATGCGAGGAAAATTCACAGGTCTTTGACACCGTTAAGACTCTACTTTGGGAACAACTTTGTCGAAATCTTGACTCCGTTGGTAGTTCAAGAATACTGTTTAAGGCAGACTGTGACGTTACTACTGTTGACAAAATAAGGTTGCCACTGGAAAATCTTTTTTTTTTTTAAATATGGAAGATTAGTATTTAGTTAGTTATATTTTTCATATAGGTATGTGTATATTTCATTAAGAATTTTGTATGCATGCAGAATTGAGATGTTTTAAAAATAATATGACCTGCTCAATAAATTTTGTGCAAAATGTGTGTGCAAAAAATAAAAATTCATAAGGATAATCAAAAAAGAAAGCGCATAATCCACACATTTCTAAATATATTTACTTATTTTTTAATTATGGCGAGATAAGTATTTAATTCATAATTACGAATTTCGTACAATACCAGAAATTCGGAAATATTATATTTCCGAATGTTTCTCTTTTCCGAATGTATAAATATATTTGAAATATATTGACATACAAGAATTAAACTGTTCTTTACCCATTTTTTCACGATGCGTCAAGATATGCAAATGAAGCAAATATTTGTAAGACGTACATATCTAATCTTGAAACCTGAGGCACATAGACCAAAATACCCCTGAGCATGCGGCGAACTTAATTACTTTACCACAAGGCTGGCGTACATTTATTTTTAGTACTAGTCTCTTAAGCCCGCAGTGCGGGCTCTAAGCAAAACGATTTTATTATTTTATTACGAAAAACGTTCACTCACGACCCCATGGGCGTGACCACGAAAAACGTTGTCACGACTGTAATTGCGTGTGACCACGAAAAACGTTTAGTCACGACTCTAAAGGGTGTGACCACGGAAAAACGTTGTCACGACTCTAATTGGGTGTGTCCACGAAAAACGTTGTCACGACTGTAATTGAGTGTGACCACGAAAAACGTTTAGTCACGACTCTAAAGGGGGTGGCCACGAAAAACGTTCAGTCACGACTCTAAATGGGGGTGGCCACGAAAAACGTTCAGTCACAACTCTAAAGGGGGTGGCCACGAAAAACGTTCAGTCACGACTCTAAAGGGGGTGGCCACGAAAAACGTTCTTCACGACTCTAAAGGGGGTGGCCACGAAAAACGTTCAGTCACGACTCTAAAGGGGGTGGCCACGAAAAATGTTCAGTCACGACTCTAAAGGGGGTGGCCACGAAAAACGTTCAGTTACGACTCTAAAGAGGGTGGCCACGAAAAACGTTCAGTCACGACTCTAAAGGGGGTGGCCACGAAAAACGTTCAGTCACGACTCTATCGGTGTGACCACGAAATTCGTTTAGTTACGACTCTAAACGGGGTAACCACGAAAAACGTCCGGTCACGACTCTATGGGTTGACCACGAAAAACATTAGGTCACGACTCTAAAGGGGGTGGCCACGAAAAACGTTCAGTCTCGACTCTAAAGGGGGATGACCTCGAAAAACGTTAGGTCACGACTCTAAAGGGGGTGACCACGAAAAACGTTAGGTCACGACTCTAAAAGGGGTGACCACGAAAAACGTTAGGTCACGACTCTGAAGTATGGCATTGTTCTAACGTTTTAAGTACGTTTAGGCACTTAAACCAAAAGCCCGCCCTCTAGCGCTGAAAAACAGCCAACATCCGATAGATGGCGCTGGTAGGTAATTAAAATTAGTAAGGCACAGGTCAAGTGTCAACTTTACCGTGGGGCACAGAGGTCACAGGTCAAGTATAGTGGATGTGCCCAGGTCACAGGTGAAATGTCAAATCTAGTGGGTGTGCCCAGGTCACAGGTGAAATGTCAAATCTAGTGGGTGTGCCCAGGTCACAGGTCAAGTGTAGCGGGTGTGCCGAGGTCACAGGTCAAGTGTAGCGGGTGTGCCCAGGTCACAGGTCAAGTGTAGCGGGTGTGCCGACGTCACAGGTCAAGTGTAATGGGTGTGCCCAGGTCACAGGTCAAGTGTCAACTCTGTAAAGTGTCAACTTTATGGGTTGTACGCAGGTCGCAGGTCAAATGTCAAGTCCAGGGGTGTGTGCCAAGGTCACAGGTCAAATGTCAAATCTAGTGGGTGTGCCAAGGTCACAGGTCAAATGTCAAATCTAGTGGGTGTGCCCAGGTCACAGGTCAAATGTCAAGTTTAGGGGGTGTGCCCGTTCATTTGATCAAGTCTCGGCAGATCTAAAGGGTGTGTTTCGTTGTTATCGTGTTCGTCAACGTTTTGGACACGTTTTGACACTTTAGCGAAAAACGCCCTCTAGAAACGAAAAATGTAACATAGTGCCCCACCTGCCGCTAGGTGACATTAGCTTGGACAATTTGAGACACGTGTGTAATCAAGCGCCAAGTTCAACTGGTAACACACACCACTGCACAATTCTTGGTTCTGATGAATTGAAGTTAATTACCAATTTTGAAACTAACTTTGCTGCTTGACTAAGAGAAGTCGGATCAAGATCTGCTCGTGATTTACATACGGAAGAAAATTAAGAAGGTCTGAATTGAATTTATGGTGAATAATTGTTCTGTATATGAAATACATGAATTATTAGCAATAAATTATTGCCAATAATGTGATACTAAATATTCGATATTTATTTCTATTTTAATCAACGCTGACAATTTGTCATTAATAGCATATTTTATTTTTTAGGTGACACCAATATGCAGGCCCGGGTTGACCAAGCGGCGACAAAATTGGAGAATCTTGACCTTGTCACTGAAGTGACGATGGAGGCTCTGCTAAATCCTCTGGTATTCAATCAATTCATAATTTATCTACACTTAGCAATTTCAACCAGTTCATTGAACTTAAAAAATTGCAATATTTAATACTGCCCAAAACAAGTCAGCTTTGAACATAATTTGTCCAAATTATTGTTTCAGATCCTAGACAAAGTCTTCCGCTCCATGGACGTCCCCACTTTAAAGCGTGTTCGCCTCGTCTGCACCGTTTGGGCCGACGTGGGCGCCACATTTCTCGGCAAGAAGGCTCACCTCACCTTTTCGACATGGCCAGAGGACACAGGGTTGACCTCATTCCATCACAAATTGGCCAATAACATTCAATTACGATTCAACATGACCTGTTTTTGCTACCACATTTGTACATGTTCCCCAAGTTTGACCAAGCTGCCCTCCAACTTTGCCATAATTTTGCCCAAGATTTCCGAAAAGTTGGAAACACTCGAGTTCTTCGGTGTCCGGGCGTTTGAACCAGCACAGGAAATTTGGAGCACTTATTATTTCCCGAACTTGACTCGCATCTCGATCCTTGCCGATGGAGACGATCTTGATGAAAAGCAACCACCACGGCCCGAAATGGCAGAATTTCGACTCCTCCCAAGCCTGAAAGTGTTCTTCTTGGAAGTCTCACCCGTCTGTAGAAAGCCCTCGTCAAGGGCAGTGATGTCAACCATTTGCCAAAACCTGGTCAACTCAGCCCCCAACCTGGAAGAATTCCACCTCAACACAAATTTCTACTTGGACTTGACGGCATGCAAAAACTTCAAAAAGTTGACGATGAAACATTTCGATTGGGGTAGTGATCAGTTTGAAATCTCCGAAATGACAGAAATGTTAGAAAGTTGTCGAACTACTTTGGAAAGTTTGACCTTGGATTATATTGGTTGGGACGATGTCCCGTACGCGATCATAGAGGTAAAATCGTTGCAATTTTTTATTATTTTTTTTACTCAAGTTTAATTAGTGTATTTTATTTTCAGCGGAATTTGTACTTCCCGAATCTCAAGCACCTCAGACTTGACGACTACGATGCTGGCATCATTAAGAACTCGCTGAACGTGACCAATCTACCAAAATTGAAGCTTTTCTCCTTGTCGAGCCTGGATATTGACAACATGTGCATCATTTTTGCAATGCTTGACAGCCACCATTTGCGTCACACTGGGACAACGTCGCTCGATATTGATTGCACCCATTATCCAGAATTTGGCCTGGATGTTGAAGCTGGCCGAAAAGTGGTCAATCTTTTCCCGGCCGTGAAGGAATTGAAATTGAAGCTGACGGTGGAATTCATCATTCCTTACGATCAGTATTTTCTCGCTTTGAAGGAAACGATGCAGTCCTTCGGCAATTGGGAGTTGGCGTGTGGACAGGTCGAGTTTGAAATTGGATCTTATTCAGTGTACGGAACGCATGGCCCTTACGATCATGAGTTTGGGTCGCTGATGGTGATTGCCGTATTGCAAGGGATGGCAGGGTGGAGAGGTTATCATTGCACATATTTACATAATTATGGTAAAATGAATATTTAATGATATCAATTAAACTTGATAGGCTTGACGAAGACGTCGATTGAATTTACTGGTAATCTGTGGCATGCAAGATTTAGATTGTTGGACGAGATGCGAGAAGCCATCCTGTCTTGCAGGACGATTAAAAGCTTGACTTTTACCGGATTTCAGGTATATAGATACATTTTTGTACGTTGGGGTTGGAAAAATGTGAGAGCAATGTGTGAATTTTTATTTTCTTAATTTACACAGATGGACGAGGAGACTAAGGATAATTTTCAGACGTTTATTGGAGAGCATAATTTGCAAATTAGTGCCACTGACTAAATAATTTTTTAAGCGATATTTACCCGTTAGGCGGTATGATTATTTGAATTATAAATTTACAGATATAAACATATATAAAATGTAGATATAAACATACATGTATTCGTTACTACTGTACTACTTCTTTGTTTTACATTGCAATGCTAAATATTTTTGCATTGTTAAAATGTTAAGTTTAATTATCCGTGTGTAAAATAGCTTGCACAGTTTCAAAATTGCTAGGTCAAAATTGTTGCAAACAAGAACTCCAAATTTTACTTCAATTACAAATTACTTACATCCTGATTTGATTAACATTCGAGGGTAATCTTCAAATACTTATATAGATAATTTCATCTTTAAATTCGATTAGATTAGATTTCATGTATTTTTTTAAATTTAGTCTCGTAAGATTTTCTGATTTAAAATATGTAAAAAATAAATAAGGCATGGCTTATGAAATATGCGTACATAAAACGCTAACAAATGTGAAATCGATTAGATATAATGTTTCGAAAAACATTTACGCTATACTCAAAGCCATTTGGATTCAGAAAACGCATGATTTTGATATTTGTCAGCATCTCCCTAATTAAATTAATATCCCCTATTTTCTATCCCCTTCAAAAAGTAGTGGATCATCCCCGCCATAACGATCCTGCCTCTACACTTCTCCCCATAATTTGACCTCTCCAACCCAAAAACTACCCCCGCGACGACCGACGCACCCGCACAAAGTACCAAAGCCATATACAATTTCGGCAAATTAATCACTTCCGCTTCACTATTAAAATCCGTATCCTCACTTGAAAATAATTTACTGTGGAGATTTTCCACCTTCACGTCCGACAGGGCCATCTCTCTTTTAATGTCCCTCCACAATTTATCTCTTAACCCCAACTTTATCCACCTATTCTCAAACCCAGCCTCCACCAGGCGGAAAAATCCCTTTTTAAAAATCCCGCTAAAAAAGTTCCCATCAACCGTCCATGGCATAAACATTTTAAAAATTCCGACACCCTGCTTCCTATAAACCCTGTATTTTTTAAACAATGCAAAACTCGCGGTTAGTCTAGGTACTGTATCATCTTGCCCCCCAATGTATGCAAACACTTCGGGCTGCTCTAACACTTCGCCATCCTCCATCTCCACCGATATTCCTTTCGATAGGTTGGCGGCAAACCAGAAAATATTTAGCGGTCTTTTGAACAACGTTTCTTTAAACGCTTTCGGGAATCTTTTGTAACTCGGGGCCAATTTAGCCGTATCTGATGCAGTTAGATAAATTTCTTTCGCGATTATCCGCTTAAAGAATGAATATGTTTTCTCGCCTTCGTGAATCGCCTCAAAACTGACTTTCTTCACTGAGCTCAAATACAAGTCGCCAAACGTCGTGGGAATATCGGACGGCTGTTCTCGATACATAATTAGCGAGTAAAGATCTCCCTTGTACAAATTGTTGACGTAAAGGATGGCAAAAAAGTAGAAAACGGAGATTACCCGAAGAAGGCTTAACATATTGAATTTTCGCCATTTCTGTGGCGTCTTGATTTCCGAGAATTGTTCAATCAGGATGGAAAACGCCCAGAAGATCGTGTCAAACCGGATTATTCTGGAATATCGAATCAAATCGAGCGCCACACAAGTTACTAGGAACGTTCCACAAATCAGTACCCAAACTCTGACCGAGTACGGTTTGACTAACGCGGTATAAGAAAATGTGACGGATTTCGTATAAATTTGAAACGTGTAAGGTTCACCATCCTTTTCCGATGGGACTAAAACCAGCCTTGAGTTATGTGACGTCATGGAAAAAGCGCGTTCGAAGCGTCTCCGAAGTCTTTCAATTTGGAGGCGTTGCATGACAGTGGATGCAGTAAAGAAATATTTCCGAGCGGGAGTGTAATTAAAGTGGCGTGAAAGTGTGACATGTACACAAGTGGGTACCTTGTAACAGTTTGATTCTAATGAACCGGGGGCAAAGTACTTTTTCTGAAGTCCGGGTGCATAAATAGGAACGAGATTTAAGTTTTTGTAGAGATCGGTCCATTTTGTGGAAGCGGTTTCCAAGAAATTTTCAGAGGTCGAGTTATCTAGTGGGATTAATGAGTTCTTAAATCTTTTGTTTTTATAGGTCAAATAAACCATGGAAATCTGAGTAGCTTTTTCAACTTCTGAATCCCGCAGAATGACACCGATTCCACAGGATAAGGCGTACTCATGAAAGTGGAAATATACCAGGAACTTAATATCATTTCCATGGATGAGCAACGCGTCAGGATTATTTCTGTTGGTTAGAAGAGTTTTAATCATGCCGTCGAATATGGCATCCTTCTCCTTGGACGGCATTTTTTGGGGAAATTGGAAATTTAGCACAGCCATCCTGCAAGAAGATTTTACCCTCCAGGCGTAATCATTTTGTCGATTAAAGTCTGAGATTAGTTCGATTAGTCGTGGGTTTGCCATGGTGTCAATATTTAAGAAATTATTCAAATTTCCGGCTGTCGAGGAGACTGTGTGAATTACGCAATGCTTGGGTAACTTAAGGCTTAAGGAGTATTTTTCCACATCAGACTCTACATAGGGTGTTTACAGATTTTGTGGAAAGATAATTTCATGGGTAAACTGCGAACCTATCTACCACTTTGGCGCCAAATTTCGAACACGTAATCCTCAAGGTCACGGTCACATATGTACCAAATTTCAAATTTGTATCTTCAAAAATGAGCTCAAAAAGTGACCTCAAAGTAGTGGAATTGGTGAAATGGATTTCCAAACAGCAGACATTTTTTATCTCTGCCATTGAAAAGGCTTAGTTCTAGGCATCCAAGCCCCAAAAAATTCATCGGCCTGGTGTCAGGTTACTTAAGATGTACCCCTGAAAAGATGTCGAGGTCATTCCGGGCTTTTCCTTTAAATCTTGGCCGTCCGGTTGGATAATTTCGGCCGTATACGAAAATGTAGCGTCGTGATGGATGCAAACTTTGTCAGGCTCTTCAAAATGCTTCTTTGCAATTTTGACCTCGAACAACTTATGTAAAACATTGTCCATAAAGTGCTTCGAGTTTATTTTTGCATTAGACGCAACAGGTACCAACGTTAGCACTCCACGGTCCATCGTTGCATCTACCACCAGAAATCAGTCAGACAACTTTTCCTTCTTTTCAGACTCGTGGTTTAAAATCTGCTTTCGGTCCGTTTTGCAGCAAATTATTTTTGTCCTGTTATAGTTTCGAAGGTAGCCGAGTGCCCCGGTCAATGTGACGACAAATTCGGAATTTTTATTCCCAACATGACCTTCAAACAGCCTCCGACTGTTAGTTTTTTTGTTAACCATATGGGCAAATTTAAGTGCGCGGACTTTCGCCCTCCTCTGCACGGCTTTTTGAAATTGTGACATAAAATACGAATAACGTGTCCAGGAGACATCTGGGATTGCAATGTGACCTGTCTTTTGGTTTTAGGATTCTGATTGCCATCGTGGCGATCAATGTTCTTGAGGGTGGCAGAATTCATCGTTTTGAGGGGTATGCATTTCGTGGTATACGTTGGTCGGATGAAACTAATTACCGTCGTTTTATTACAAAATTAATACAATTATATGTGGGGGACACGATAAGATGGGTTCCAGATTTTTGGATTATCGTTTGGGCACTTTTCGCGGCCAAATTAGCTTCGGAAACCGCTTTTACGGTTCGTCCACTTTGGGCTAACTTTTGGGCGCCATCTTTGAAGGTAGAAATTTGAAACTTTGGGCAGATGTGGTCGTGACCTTCGAGATCGTGTGTGCCAAATTTGGCACAAATTGGATCATGCGTTTACAAGAAATCCATGTAATTGTCTTTCCACAAAATCTGTAAACATCCTGTAACTTGTGACAAAGGGTTGAATCTAACAGAAAAAATATGATGGATGGGAAATAATTTAAATATAGGGTAAACATGTTTGATGTTGCTAAACTAATTTTGTTAAGATGGATAAATTGTTAGTTCCCCAGGGCGTTAGATACGAATGGATTTATTCCGATTTATGTATGTTTGTTATCTTGTTTCCATGACAACTTAGGGGTTACCGTTGTGTTTTAATACATTTCGTAAGATTAGTTATTGCGCCGTCTTACAATTTACATTAATACATATGCAATAATGAGGGTTTATATATAAGTAATAAAATATTATAATTGGAATATCGGAGCTAATTTCCGGCATTATGCATAATTTTGGCAGAATATTCTTTTCACATATTTCCAGGATGCATGCATGTTTGCATATAAATTGCTATTTATTAAGTTATCATAGCCATCGAAATTAAAATATTACCTAATTGCAGAATAATATCCAAATTTTAATATGGGAACACGTAAATACATAAATTCATGTTTTATGTAAGTGAGGAAGACAATAATTACTCAATTGTCTCAATTGTCAAATATTGAAACAATAAATTGTTGAAAAGAAGCCAACATACGATATCCATCTCAACTGCATAATTCAAATTACGTTTTAACACTAAGCTACCTAAATAAACATTCTGGAGGTAAACTGGAAGAAAAATTTTCATGGATTGTTCAAACGAGTATCTATGTACATGCGAATTTTTTACGGAATTATTGCAAATAAACTAAAATCAATATAACCCGAATAACCCGAAAAAATGGGCATCCGACTCAACAACTCTGATGCCTAGCTAAATATTTCTCAAATAAATAGCTACAAAAATGCCAGCCACCATATTTATGTACTATTTTTAGCTACAAACTGGATGATTCAGCAAAACAAAACTACAAACGTGGCAATTTTATCACATTTTATTAAATTCAACACGCTGCGAGAAAACGTGTACTTTTATTTTATTCCATCCGTAACGCCGATATCTCATTTATTAGTTCATCAAATATGTACTTAAATCCATAATTCCATTCAGTCATTGCTCAATTTTATGCAAAACTATAGTTTTCAAAATTCATTGTCGTTTTGTCATAAGCATTGAGAATTCATGAGGACAAGAAGTCAGCCCAATGTGCATGGCCAGTTTAGGCTTCGGTTCTCCAGGGACGGTGCTCAGTTTGTATTTTTTAATCAAATTCATCGCCATTAAGAAAGCTGTCACATCTGCGAATAATTCTCCAGGACAGCCTCGCTTTCCTACAATATGCAAACATATAAAGATTTATTCCGAAAATTGTTTCGATTAACTCTTAGCCTTTGAATGCAGTGGCCACGGAAGCGTGGGGACAGAGGGACACAATGTCACCATGGTAATTCGATGCCCCCATATTATATAAACCACTCCCTCCCTTATCCAATAATGTTAATGTGCCCAGACGTCCCCCCTACTTCCGTGGCCACTGATTGAATCATTCAAGGGCACGATACATACCTACGCTGAATGGAATCACAAGCTTATCGTTGACCAACGATCCATTTGGATCAATAAATCTCTCTGGATTAAAACTCAAAGGATCTTGAAAAATACGAGGATTGCTGAAGAGAGAATTCATATCAGCCATAATAATGGAGTTCTACGTACGTACATATTTAGCAACATGTGTAGCTAGGCAATTTTGCATTTTAAGTTCCTCAATATTAATTTTACCTTTTTTATTCTATAATTTTTGTAGTGAAAATCATTTATAGCCCTTCGTGGGAGAAGATGTTGTGTAATTTTCGCCATTTTCGCCACGCGATGTGCTTCGAGGATCACTGCTTGTGCATAAACCATTCTAAATGCATAGACGAAGAAAAATTAGCTCAATGCGATAAAATTATACTATTAATGGAGGTCTCTCAACGTCTGCTCACAGATGCACAGTGGGCCAGATTTAATAAATTTTGGCCAAAAATATATAGGAGCCGTATCTGAGGAAACAAAACTTAGATTTTGGTGTGCAACAATAACCCAAGGCATATATTATATGCGGAAATTTTTAATAGTCACATGGCACACCCCCAGTGGGTGTGGCCCTCGACGACTTTCCGATTTTAGCGAGACCATGTCATGTGATATATCATTTTTCTCAGGTCGACAAGGGGGTTTCGATAGAATCATCGAAATTTTGACACCACACCCCCAGTGGGTGTGGCTCCAAGCAAATCGTCGATTTTAACGAAACCATGTCATGTAATATATCATTTTTCTCATCTCGACAAGGAGGTTTCGACGGAATGCTTAAAATTGGGAAACCGCACCCCCAGTGGGTGTGGTTCCCAGAAAATGTTCGATTTTAATAAAACCATGCTATATAGTATATCGTTTTTCTCAGCTCGACAAGGGAGTTTCGACGGAATACCTAAAACCAACGTTCAGCGACTTTTCTATTTTAACTAAACCATGTCATGTCATGTAATACATCGTTTCTGTTAACTTAACGACGGGGATTTCGACAAAATAATTAGAATTTCGTTACGTAAATTAAGAAACTACCATTTTCAAAAATTATAATTTTTCACAATTTCTTGTTACATTTTTCAAAATTCCGAAATAGCATGCAACTTTTAAATTTATAGAAATGCATTTTTATAATTTTATGTTTAGTAATTTTTGAGAAAAAATGTTTTAGTTCTTTCGTTTTTGATATAGCATTAAAATTATAAGACAAAAGTTCTTGACAAATTTAAATTTAAGCACTAAAAAGCACCGAAAACACGAGCCTTCATGGAAACGCAAAAATACAGGTGGTGCTATTTCGGTGTGGGAGAAATTTAAAATCAGAGAAAACAACTTTAAGTCGCTGAATGCCACACCCACTGGGTGCGTGGTTTTAAAGATCTACTAATTTTATCGAGATCCCCTCGTTGTGCTGGGGGTGTGTTTCGTAAATTTTAAGTATTAAATAATAATGTCCTCATAGTCCTAAAAAAATGATATATCACATGACATGGTTTCATTGAAATCGAAAAGTCATCGAGGACCACGCCCACTGGGGGTGTGGCTCGTAAATTTTAAGTATTTAGTCGTAACGTGCTCATCGTTCTGAGAAAAATGATAGATCACATGACATGGTTTCGTTGAAATCTAAAAGTCGCCGAGGACCACACCCACAGTGGGTGGGGCATTCGACCCCTTGAACTTTGCGTACAGGATCGTCCAGGGGGTCGAGGTATTTTTTCGACATTCTACTCGATTTTTGTGGTTTCAAATTCCACTGTATGCACTAAGTATATTTTATTTAGTTTTTGAACTTGTGACCTTAATTTCGAGGGGGTGCGGTCGAATATCAAAAATCTGGAAATATATATTTCGCCAATTGACCTGAGGTTTCCAAAACCGTCGCCATTTTGAAAATCGGTCATCAATTGGTGAAGTAATGCAAAATTTAGTCAACAATGTTACTAAGCATTACGAGGTCGGGCAATAAGGCTCTCAGCAAGAAATGTCTTTAATTTTGATTCCTCTACAATAGGGGGTGTGGTTTTTACAGCCAAAATACTTTCCAGCTACCACCTCAGTTTGCTGAGAAAGTCTAACTGAGTATACGTAAGGCATACTTGAGTAAAAGTAATTCAACTTAAATTTGATTGTTTTTAAGTTTAATGACTAAAAGTGGGTGTGGTTGGAACAAAGCTTGATGGTCGCAGACGGGCGCAGCAGGGTATACTCAGCACACCATGGTCTCTATAATGACATACGTTTTGAGTCCGTCAGGCGCGAAGTTTTACGAAGTTTTAGAAAATGTATCCGCCCTATCTTCGTAATGTGTTACAAAAAGTTTGCCCCACTGGTACGCCTGTGTGGGTGTAACGTTTGGTTTTATATTTTGCATGGAGGACAGGTTGGGTCTGTACTACACATTGAAATATGTGAATAGTCAATTCAAAATACCGCCTTAATGGCCACATTTTTAGGCACCTGGCCCATTGTGAGATGTAAACCACAATCGATTACAAATACATTTAATTCGTATGAAATTTGTAAATGACGCTGTCTCCCAATGCGCAGGTTTGACAGAGATATTTGCATTCAAATAAAAGAAATTTTTGCAATAAAAGAAAACGAACCCTAAGGCTGGTAAATTTGGCACCTTCCAAATTCGATTCTCATTTTCCCCACTTTTGATGCAAATATCTCCAGCCAAACCTAGGGATTGGCAGCTATCGCCTTTTGCAAATTTTATACTAATTTGTATAATTGTATACATAATTTGTGATCGATTGGCACTAGTTGAGCCTAAATCTTCGAGAATACGTTGGGAGACCTCCATTGTTAGTGATGATCACCTATTTTTATCCTGGTATGTGATTTCATGTCCATCCGGAATGGTATCCTGCAGCTCGCCGAACAACTTTTCTTGTACGTTTGGGTAAAGAATCATGAGTAGAAAGAGGGACTCTAAATATGAAGCAGTAGTGTTGCTCGATGCTTGGAAAAGATCGGCGAACAGAATGTCATGGTTCAAGTCTAGAAATTTAGGCATGTCACACTTGTAAAATCCGTAGTAACTCATGTTATATAATTGTATTGTAGTCACCAGTAAAAATTCCAGAATTGATGTTTGACTTAGATTCTTCTTTCATTTGCAAGACAAATTTTTCCGTTAATGAGTCAGCTTGTACCCCATTTTTGGACATTTTATCTTTAGCTACTTCCAGCAATTTCTACAAAATCAGAGAAACCTTTCTAATTTAACTGGGACCCAAAATTATGCAAATATTAATGATTTATCATAATAAATAGATCATCAATGATAGTTAAAAACTCACTCTTGACTCCTTCTGCATAGCTTCTCTGCAGCTTAATTGCACATTTCTACCTGTCCATTCTGGGAAAATAAATCTAATTTGAGGAATATAAATTGCTAATGCTGCTCCCACCGTTCCCGTAATTCCACTGGCTTTCTCCATCTTGTCGGTTCATTTCCACCAGCGTCTCATTTTCGATTTTTGTATCATATCCAGCCATCATTTTGTACATGACGCGGCTCACGGGGACGAGAAAAGTGTGACTTACGGGTAAAATTATTTTGCAAGGATCCTTTTCTCCTTTCTCCAAATTCTCCAAGAAATTTTCAATCTCATTATTCACAGAGGCTTCGAGAAGATGCGATTTTCCAAAGCCGAAATCGCGTAAATTTCGTACCGTCCATTTCCTACTTTTATCCCACATTTCTCCATTGCCAAAAAGCATGCCTAAATTTTGGCCGAAATTTCGGTCAATCATGATCCCACTCACGTCACGACCGAATGACTCTTCTTTGCTAAGAACAGTGTTAACTGCTTCATAGGATGCTAAAACAACTAGAAATGAATACGTGCATGCTTTTAGTTAATATGCTGACAAGTGTAAATAATGGGCGTACTCACGTCAACATCTTATTTCGCATGGAAATTCATTTAGCAAACTTGCGAAGATTAAAAATAATGGCGTGAGGGGATTCGTAAAATATTACTTCGCAAATCTACTAAAAACACCTAAATATTTTGACTGTTCGCATGGAATTCTGTAATTTCGCTTGCTGATGATGGCGAGGATGAGTTTGAAAAATAATTTTGGGCAATCCAATTGCTGGGTAAATTTGTAATAAAATCCATGGTTTCTAAGCACAATTTTTGCGAAATCTTGCAAATATCTCAAAACTTTGGAAGTTAAATTGCTAACCTCAATTTGTGAGATTTGCGAAAATTGACGTGATTACGCTCAGTATTAACTTACACAAAATAAAATATGTGGCAATGGCCTAGAAGACCTTCATTGCTGATGATGTATCTTACCCATTTCATCAAAGGGAAGCTTGAGACGATAAATCTCCCCATATTTCTCGGCAAAGTGAGTGAAGGGATAAGTGTATGTTCGAAATGCGGACATCATTTGCACAATGTTACCTAACATTGGAAATGCAACGGGACCTAGGCACCCATATTCAAAATATTTATTAGTTCCTTTTCCACAAAATAACAATGAAATAATATTCGAAGTAAATATCATACCTGGCAGATCAAGCTTATCCTTTCTTGATAATTGCATCAAAATAAAAGCAAGTGCCACTGCTAAAAATCCGAACCACAGAGAAATCATTGTAAAATGTGCTGTGTATCTCAGCTCAGCTCAAATAAAGTATGAAAAATTTCAGACACCGAGAAGAAAGGTATTCTAAGGAACCTATTCGCCTTGAAAATGCGGTAATTCCTTTTTCATGATCTTGCATGACTGAAACTTGTGTAATACATATGTACCAAGATAATCACTGACAATTACACATTATTAGTTCCGTGTGTTTGTAAATGTTACATGCTACACGGAATTATTTTCAGACTTCAACTTTACAACATATTGCATTTGATGGTTTAACTCTTGGATAAAGTGATTGGTAAAAGTATAAAAAAAATCTTTATTGTCTCGTGTTGCATTCAGAAATCATCACATCACCACCTAGGTAAAGAGGTTAACCTCTTTAGGACTACTAATTTTTTAATACAGTAAAATTTCCCTTCGGTACGATTTTGATTTCATAATTATACCTGATAGCAACCAATTAAAATTTTCTACCAGTTTCCAGGGTTCGAAAAAACCCAGGGTTTTAATCAAAAATTATAAAACCCATGGGTTTTAATGGGTTTTACCATGTTAATTGGGTTTTATTTGGGTTTTAATGGGTTTTATTGGGTTTTATTGGGTTTAAATGGGTTTTATTGGGTTTTATTAGTTTTAAGTAATAACTTAACAAAAATAATTCGGAATTTGTATCTATTCAGAAATTATTTTTGTTTTATAACACTTGAAATCTGTGATGCTAAAGGATGGAGTCAATTGTTGATTTGTTCCGAATTTTCATACATTAGAATAGTAATGAAATAAACTACTTTAGAATGAATTGAGATAACGTCTTCTAACGTATAGGAGATGTATTTAACTTTTAGAATGTGGTTTTAAGGTAAAACTCAATTAAAACCCAATAAAACCCATTAAAACCCAAATAAAACCCAGTTAACATGGTAAAACCCAGTGGGTTTTATTCATTTACAACCCATTAAAACCCATTAAAACCCAATAAAACCCAACCCATTAAAACCCATGTCGGAATACCCTGCCAGTTTCCAATATTCGAGTTTTTGACGAAAAATACGAAAAATCCACTTTTTAACATTGGTCGGTATAGGGAAAATTCCAAAATTTTGGGAGAAAAATGTCGAAAAAAATCCACTTTTCACCATCGAGTTTTCCACAAAATACCAAAGAAATTTTCTTTTTTTAAAAAAACTTTGGTGTCAAGGAAATTTTTGCAGTATACACATTTGTGTATTTCGTCGTCAACGGAAAAATAAATACTACACAAATGTGTGTACTTCGTCGTTAAGAGGTTAATGCCGAGTTATTATTTATGTATGTAATAAGTACATATGTATCTCAACAGACAAACCTTGGTCGAGGTCAAAGAATTTTTTAGCAGTACAATAAAAGAAATGCCTACACTCTAAGTAATTTGGAGACAATCGTCGTGGCACTATTATGCTCTATATTTGGTTTGGTAACGATTTGTGACCCGCCATGTCCCCAATGGGAAATATCACGTCTGTTTGGTACCCGAGTTTTTGACTTATTTTCTATTGGTGACAAATCTTTGCCAAAAAATGGAGCACTATAGTACCCCCGCGGGTAAGGATTTGTCTCTAAATTATTTAGAGTGCGCAATGACCAAAACGGTTGCATGTTTCATAAGATTTTTCCAGGAGAAACGGAGATGTCTCAATTTGGCAGTCATCTTTTTATTCAACAAATTGATTCAATTACATAAGTTGTAAAATAAATGTAGTGACATTATGATAATTGGACAGCATGCAAGTCTAAATCATTAAATATTGTTTGTAGAAAGAAGTCACGAAAGGCTTAAAGGATTTTTGTGCTGCCTACATACATAGTTACATATAATCCATGTTTTCAAGAAACTTTTAACTATTAAGGTATATGCATGAATTTTTATATGTATGCTTGCATTCTTTTATGTACATATTTCTTTTCATAACCACTGTCTGTACACAGGATTTCATGGGTGTGGGGCTAGGGTATTGTTTATTTTGACGAGATTTATGCACGTAATTATTGGTTGACATCTGTAGTGGATAATAGATAAGGAGAATGCTCTAGATATTTCAAACGTAAGAGTTACAGCTAATTAAAATTATTTATGCATAAAACCAAATGTACACTCTAAATAAATTTGACTAAAATTTACTCAAGGTTGTGTAAAATTTGCGATGAAACAACTGGTTGGGTAAAATTTACTATACGAAAGTAAAAATTTAACCAACGTTGTAAAATATCCGTTCAACCTTGAGTAAATTTTACCTTCGTCGAGTAAATTTTACACAACTAAATAGTTACTAGTTTTGTGTCATCGCAAATTTTAAAGCTTTATTTAGAGTGTATAATCAAAGAAAATTAAGTTCTTGATTCCTTGTCTTGCCTTGTGAACAAAGTATAATGTAAAGTATAAGTTTTAACAGCACGAACACAAAAATAATAGGAAGATGACGAAGCCACCGATCAGCATTTTTGTGTGTACATTTTCACGTCCATATTAAACAATTGAATCCAAACCCACCCATTTAAAGAAATTTGTAAAATTTTCGGAACTGTAATTAATTTATTTGCAAAAAGGATACAGAAAGATGAGACGCGAATGATGCGATGACACCACTTGGACTTTAACATAGATTTACAATCTGTACTTGTAATATGTATGGATGTATTTACACATCTGTACATCTATGTGTTGTAACAATCCGTATTGACAAAGGGCAGCAAACGAATGAAATTTAATTGTAATTACACCTTTCTTTGAATAAAATATGCGTAGCTGCAACTGCCTGCGTCCCCAGTGGACGCAGGCCGAAGCTTGGGGACATTGACATTGCAGGATAAGGGAAGGACGGGTTTATGTATATAACATGGGGGGATGATGGGGACATTTTCCCTCTGTCCCCACTCTTCCGTGGCTACTGATCTGTATCGTAATCCGTGACTCATTTCCTACCGCGTTTCTTACATATGTGGCGATATGTATATAGGTATTTGTTAGGTTGGGATTCCTTCTGTGACCTTGACAATTAAACTGGGATATAGGATCAGTAGCTCATTAAACCGTTGTAAATTTCATACATATATTTCCAGACTCAATCGAAGATCGAAATAATTTTGTGAACCATTCAAAGCCAGGTGCTACGTATATGGGGATTAGTCGTAAAAATCGAGCAGGACCCAGAGCCCTACAACGAGATTACAATTTTTGCAGTCGTACATAATTTTTACTATCCAACATAAATTTTGAATTTTTGTCAAGTTTTCAATATGCGAACTCACGACGCAGGGTGACCATTATGGAATTATTTGAAATTTTGTAATGTGTAGTGTAACATTTATGCACGTATGTACGTCTTATCCGTGTATTTCCCACACATCCATAAAAAGATGGATCATAATGATGGTCGTGCTTGTCAGATCCATTTCAATTATGAATAAGTCGAGAATGGTGTGTGATCGGGCTTAAATGATACGTATTAAATTAGCAAAGTTATGTATGTAGAATGCTGATAATGCTTCGCTGTTTGTGCATGTGGTTAATATTTAAATATATATGTACATTGAGAGGTATAAATTGCATACGTAGGTCTTGGAAGTATTGATAAGCCTACACAAAGGTACTTAAAATGAAAGGTTGGTTTAAAATATTATGTTTCGAGTGTAAAGTTAATGCACATACATAACTTACAAAATTAGGAATTCCAAACAAGGCATGTCTGTGACAAAAATAATCTTCTACTTAATATAGAAATTAAACAGTGACCCACTGAACCTTTTTATGATTAAATTATTTAGTCCAACCATCCTAAGCTATTTTGCATACTTATTGTCACAATCTGTTCCTATTTCTCATTCTACCTTAAAGGTACTTTTGGGTAACACAGGAGGAGGATTATGTGTTCACACATGTCTAAATATTACTTGTTAGATTAAAAAGGTTAGATTATGGGCCAAACAATAAAATATGTGCGTTCTATTAATATCACTGCCTCTTAACTTGAACTTTGCATTATTACCTGAGAAAATCACTTGAAATTCCAGTTAGTAGTTGTTCATTGGTCCTTAGGGGAAGTAAAAAGAAATCAGTTTTCCTCGTTAATTTTGTATTAAACAATCTTACATTTCCTGGTGTTTTTCGCGATTGAATCTCGGTATCGGTTTATTTTTCGTTGTGCAAAAAATCCACATGGATAACGGTGACTCACAATGCGATGGTGTGAAGTGTAACCCTCCGAATTGGTCGAAATTTTGAAATTAGGTGGTCCAAGTCAATACAACCAATTTTTCTTCAGCCAGTTTGTGCGATGGTCAGAATTTGGCAAAATATTTGAGGTTAAAGTTGAAAAATGTACAATTTTTAGCACGGGAAAAGAATGGAAGTTGAGTTTGCTTCCTCTGCCTGGTAAAAATTACCCGTTTTTCAACTTTGACCTCAAATATTTTGACAAATTTTGACCATCGCACAAACTCACCGAAGAAACTTTGGTTGTATTGACATGGACCACATAATTTCGAAATTTCAGCCAAATCGGAGGGTTACACTTCACACCATCGCATTGTCAGACGTGAGTTCCATCGATTCTGGGGATGAGTCCGGTTCCGTAGCGAATGTGTGCCGTAAGTAATATTTAACAATATACTAATCCGTATAGAGTAGTGAGTAGTGCAACCGCTTATTTAAAAAAAACGAGGAAAATTATTTATACAAAACTAAGTTATTTCAAGCATGAATTTCATTTTCTAATTTTAGACGAGGCTATCAAGCTTCTTCGCTTCGAGTTATCAGAAATGGAAAATGAGGTGGCGCAGCTCGACCAGAAGAAAATTAGAATGACAGAGCAAATTGACCAGAAGAAGAAAGTACTTCGAAAGCGTATCAATAAAAAGGAAAAAATACGAGATAAACTACAGAAGCTTTTGGAAGGTATGAATTTCTCTTGAATTTCTTATTTTCAATTTTATTTCTAAAAGCGTCCATTTTACAGAAAACGTGATGGAAGTTGACGTTGGGGGCTCAGATTCTTCACAACCTCAGCCAAGTGGTTCCAGCGGTTAGTTTCAAATAGACTAAAATATAGATTAACTGTTTATTTCGATTTTATTTCTTACTAGTCTCAAAGCCCGCCCAGCGGGCTCCCAATGCAGAGCTTATTTTGCAACCATGTATGGAGTCGATGTTTTAACAGCCTATATAACTCTAAAATTTAATATTGCCTTAGGGATTTCGTCTGTCCCTTCTACTATGCCTTCGGATTTACTCACAATTCTCATTTTTACATTCTATTGTAAATGTCAGATCTAAGGAAATCGGGTTCAAATTTAAAACTGGGCCGCGTGCGACCCTTCGGCAGGGTACTGGTGAGATTTTTTATGAGACAAAATAAGGGCCGTAAACTGAAGGGAATAAATGTGGTTTGTGCGAAATAAAGAATGGAATATGGGCCAGTGCATACGGCACTATCTGCATATTCACACGGTGGTGGTGGTGGGCGTACTCCAAAAAATTTAAGCAGTCCGATTTGTTTAAATCTGACATTTACCATAGCTCCATCAAATGAAAAGTAGTGAATATTCGATTTATAATTTTACTTTTATAATTTTACTGATGTTGGACGACAATTGCACAACATAAATTCTTCAAATATCGATAGGTGGCACTAAATTGAGCACTTTGTGAAAATGGGGCAATGTGAACCCGGCCGCTAAATTCAAACCTGTACTATAGTCAGGTCGAACATTTCCAGACTTGTCCAATCCTGTTTACGTATGCCAGCCATAGGCAAACGTTTACGTATGCCAGCCATAGGCAAACGTTTACGTATGCCAATTTCATTCAAGAAACGTTTATAGATCAACACGTGTATATAAGCCTGTAAGCTTTTGCCAACTCCGTACAGTCGACGACTAAACTCAGACGAAGTTGGATCTCCTTAAATTTTATAACTCAGGGATTATATTGCATCCTAGTGTACGACGCAATTCTAGTGATCAGCTCCGAGTTTTACTTCATTGGAACAGGTAATTCCTTACTAATACAATATTTCATAATTACGTTCATTAGGAACAAATACGGACAAAAAACTGTGAGGTTATCTGGCAGAGTTTGTTAGCACAGCACTAAATAAAATTTCATTTAGAAAAATTTAAGGACTTTTGTCTCAATTTTTTGAACAAACAGTTAGTCCATAATAGTGACCTATTTATTAAGTAGCGCAAGCTACTTTATGCGATCGGTTAGTTAGTCTGTCTGTCCGTCTGTCAACACTAAAACTCGAGTACGCATTAAGATAATCGAAATCGGTTTGCGGCATCATACATATGACCCCAGGGGAGGATCCCGTAAACTTTTGGACCACACCCCACCGGCGGCAGGGGGTGTGGTCGCAGTGTGATCGGGGCAAAATGAGATTTAGAGCGCAAATTAATCTATGAATGAAATCCAGTTAAATTACGTGTATCTGAGTTGTGCCACACCCCCTCGGCGGCAGGGGGTATGGTCACAGTGTGATGGGGGCAAATTGAGATTTATAGCGCAAATTAATCTATGAATGAAATCCAGGTATTTTTCGCCATTTTTAAGGCGATTTGCATGAAATTTGGCCAAAACATGTTTTGTGGTGTGGTCTACATGTTGCAGTATAGCGCATGTGGTCAATTAGAGATAATTAATTTGTTTTTAATTAATTCGTTTTTAGGCATTATTAAAATTTGAATCGGTTAATTATTTGCTTTATATTGTGATGCATTCTAAGCATTATTGCGCTACTTATGTATCGTGCTTTGCCGCACTTTATTAGTTATAGTATTAACCTGTTTATTAGTTATGAATAAACCAAATAAAATATTGCTGTAATTTATTTAGCAGAAAATGTCTTTTGAATCCCTGGGAACGTTCGCACCTGGTGCCGTAGGAATTTTCGACCCCAAAGCCCCAAGGGAATTGAAGGGCCCTCATGATCGACACTGTGTTGAATGTGGATTGGTCATCTACAGGCAGGCCAAGGAGCGTCTAGGTAAATTCCAACCTGCTTGTATCATTAACCAAATTTCTATTTCATAGTTAAACAATTTTGCATTGAATTTCTAATTTTAGACAAATGCCCGTACAAAACATGCAAGGCGCCGATGATGTTGCGTGATGGCTTTGATGCGAACAGCAAATGGGGGAGATGCCGAATTTGTGATTCTTTCATCCACAGTAAGTCAGCAAGTTTTATTGAACAATTAATTTTTCTAGGTACGTGTTTATAAGTTGTTTTTAAATTTAGGCTTTATGAGCTTTTGCCAATCGTGTGGTACCTCCAACACTGCTGGAATAAACAGAAAACGGCGCTTAGAGAAAATTGAGCAGAACCGATTGGAGGCCGAAGTCAAGAAAGCTCGGATGGAGTTGCAAGATCCAGACTTTCTTCTGTGGAAGGCTGAGAAAGCTGCCAGAGAAGAGGAAGTTTTGCTGGCTGCTGCTGCTGCTGTTTCAGAAAATAATCCCGCCCTAATGGACACAGATGAGAAGGTAGGCGAAAATGAAAAAACAGGAGAAGGAACAGGAGAGGAAAAAGTAGTAGATGGAAAAGCGGATGAATGGAAGAAAGTCGCAGAAACGGAGACAGCAAGGAAAATAGAAGAGTCAGCAGAAGATCATGGATCAGTGAAAGGGACGCACTAATTTGTCAATTATATTTAATAATTTTGCATTTAAATTCACTCTTATAGTTTAATTATTTCCATTAAAATAATTCATCTTAAGATCACAACTTTTGTACTATTAACTATCGACTTCATAAGCCCAACATTACAGTTATCTTTATATATACCAACTTTAATTTAATCGTATAAAAGATTTACAATTATAACAGTTGTTATTTTAAAGTATACATTTTATGTAAATTTTTAAGTAATAATTCATGAAATAAAGTCAGTTCATACTGCAATAAAACTATTTAAAGCTTTTTCAATCATAATCTCATTTCAAGAATTAGTTTAAACTATTCCATTATAGTGCTTAGAATTATCATGATTTAATTAAGATTATCTTATGCAAACCAAAATATTATTTTTAGTTGTTGCAATTTGAATTCTAAACTAATAAGCCGTAATTTAATTGACGATGCCTCATTAATCTCATTTAAGTAATTCAGATAAAAAATTGAGTTGTATTTAACAGAGACTAATCTTCATATTGTGCTCAGATGCTAGCATTGTTAGGTCATATTTTCATAAATGTGCCTATAATTATGATACATACATGCAAAATTTCATTTCCACTGCAAACAGGAGTTACATTTTTTATTCAAACATAAAATAATAATTCATTCTATTAAATAATAATAATTCTATTTCATTAAATAATTCAGTCTGACATTAAAATTAATTAAATATTCATATCGGCTATAGTTCATCAGTGATTTAATATGCTTAATTCGTTAATTACTTAGTTGCTCAAATTCGTAATTTATTAATTTATTCATCCCATTTACGATATTGCAGCAATACTGAGGAATAAAACAATAAAACACGCTTATCTTTGCAAGAAGACTCAGGATACATAACGTCTGGTACTTAGAACATTTCACACAGTTTAGTATTTTATTCAATTCAATTGCATTTGAACATTTATTATCTCAACTCTACATTAGAATGGGAGCAAACACCTTATATTGTAACCGTTTTGAAATTTTTATTAAAACTACAGATAAGTTGGGCTAATCAAAATAAAAAAATACATTCTCGGTGGTGGCTCCCCATAATTCATTCGTGCTTGTAAGTTCCATCAAAGATTTATCAGAACCAAACGTCACGCAAACGCAGTACTACGCCAGACTTCAATATTCGTTCCAGGTTCGATCTGACTGCTCTGCTGGGAGTCTGTGTAGCTGGCGTTTCAACACGTTTTGCTCTCATTCCCATGTCAGATCTCCCCGAATGAAGAGCTCGCTCGCGTAAAATATTTTATCCTAATCATCAACATTGTTTTTGGAGAGAAATGGGTAAGTTTTATTTATATTTTGTTTTAACCTTTGTATTTTTAAAAGAGGCAAATTGATGAATAAATTTTTAAATGGATAGTTTGGAATTCTTGGATACGGATGGTGGGATTGGATTTTTGAATTTCAGTCTTTTAAATTCAATATGTAATTTCTTAAACAGGGTTCACGCAGATAATACTGGAACTTGGTTTGGTTGGTTAAATACTTGAGTATTAAATAAGATATTTGAGTGCTTTCATTGATAATGCGAATTTGTAATTAAAGTCTTAAATGTTTTTTTATTGTTCTATTGCTTCTATTAATTCCTACTTATTCTATTGATTATTCCCTATTTATTTATTTTATTATTAATTTCCGTTTTATTACTGAATTAACATTTTATTATGACATTAACTTCACAGCTCCAGCTATTTCGAAAGAAGACAGCTGCATGATCTGCCTTGGTCCTCTCAAGATCGGAAACCTGTATTCTAGTGGATCAAGCACCAATCAAACCTGTTCCCACCCCTTCCACTTCGCTTGCATCGTGGAGGGCTGCCGCACCCAAAAAGGGGAGAACGAATTCAAGAAATTGGCGCCAGTACAACCCACATGTCCCATTTGTGTGCGGCCCATCAAATTTCTCTTTCCACTTGATGAAGAAAACGGTTAGTAATACAAAAATGATTAAGCTTATGAATTAATGATTATTATTATTAACCTTCTAATACTTAAATTATCTCTTAGGAGTATTCAAAGTTGAGTTGGCCCCCAGCTTTAAACAGGTTATCGTAGGCGTCACGAATGCAGGGACGCCTTTGATGTCATACATCCGTACTCAGAATGGTAAGAAAACAATTTGTAACTCCAATATGTAACGAAATTTAATTATTATTGTTTATAATATTTGCAATGCTAGAATGCTAATATTAGTTATTGTTTGCAATGCTTTATTAACCAATGTAATTAATTTTATTTAATCTGAATTTGCAGTGCAAGTGATGGGGTACACCAAGACGACGAACAATCCGTTTGCAGCTGAATACAAACAACAACAGGACCAAAAAATCAATGTTGTTGTTGATAAGTTGTTTTGATTTGTGTCAATCAGAAATAGTGATCATACTTATTTCTCCTTCCCTTTGACCACTTTTATTGTTGTGCAAATTTTTATAGAAATTTTTCACAAATTGTTGTAATAATTTGTCGATCACATCCGTAACAATGGTTTTTTTATATTTCAGCTAAACGACGTCGCCTCATCTTCTTGGTTTCTTCCATTATCTGACGTATTCCTGTTATATCTAATCGATGTTCCATTCCGTCTGCTGCCTCACGTACTTAATAGTAATTATTGTAATTAATTAATTCGAATTATATATTTATATATATGCGCTAATCCGTTCAGTTGTTTTCTTTAAGATAAACTTATAAATAAAGTTATTTAATATTTAAAATTCCCTCTGTTTGTTTAATATTTTAATTCATTAATCATAATTACATGAAACAATTACATCTGCTTACGGTGCATAAAATTAATAGAACGTACATTTTGATTTATTTCACCAAATAGAGCATTTATCTTCGACATCATTTTGGGTTACATATTATATAGTATAAAAGATCTCATTTTGCAAATTTTGGCACAATCACCATTGCATCCTGACAATCCTCCTACATATTGCACAGGCCTCCATCCTATATTTTGCCATATTTTCCCGTGTTCATTAAGATATTAAGATCATTTGATTGAGCTTTGGCATATGCATTATTGTTAATAGTCTCCAATCGGATTCCACACACGGTCCGCCCTCGAATATAGAGCCCAATGAAATGGATTGAAGGCGTTACTGGAGAAAATATCAAATCATAAATCTCCACGCAACCCTTCCTCTCCAACTTTCCCCTCATCAGCCAAAATTCGGGCAGTGTAATTATTGGATTCATTGTTGCAACTTTCTACACAATTAATTCAGTCCAAGTTGTCTAATATTATGCTTTCCCCCTTCGTTTATCCATCAGATTACATGGATTAAAACCCAGTCCGAACTAATAAGTTACAATTGATACTTCAACTTCGCATCATTTTCATTCGCCCTTTTCTACCCTGGGCAACTTTTTTAATCGCCCCACAATCGACTCATAATTTCAATCGAAGTTATTAAAATTTCAAATATAATTAGCAGCATCCATTGTTAGCGTGTTCTTGGAGTAGATTTAATTTTTATGTATCTGCTGTTTCCGATGAATATTAAATAAATTGTCGCTAAACTATCCAGAATTAATTTTTTATTTAGTTTTTTGTTCTAGCTTGTGGCTCCGCCTATCGGACAACTCATCGGAATAGGATATCTTTGTATACTACATTTCTTGTAAATATTTTATTCGAATCTGGTAACAGCTTCCCATGCTCTAAAGTTGTCACTACGTGTACTTTCACATCACACGATCTTCGGACTCGAGAGAAAGCAACATAAAGTTGTCCATGACCAAACACTGGAGTTGGTAAATAAATCCCTACTTTGTCCATAGTCTGTCCTTGTGATTTATTTATAGTCATAGCAAAGGCAAGCTTCACCGGAAACTGTCTTCTCTTCAGCTGGAAAGGCAGATCGGAATCAGTAATAAGATCAATTCGTGGTATAAATACAACGTTTCCTTCTGCCGATCCTGTAAGCACTTTTGCAATAATCAAATTTGGTTTCAGATCAATTATTTTCAGTCGAGTTCCATTGCACAAACCACGTTTTGTATTCAAATTCCTCAATAACATAATCAAAGCGCCTTTCTTTAAATTTAATTCATGCGGTGCCGAACCTGAGGGTTTTAAGCTATTCAAAAATTCTACAGGATAATCGTTTCTGTCAGAGTCTTCGTCAGTAACCAACGAATCAGAGCTTATGTATGTCTTTGCCTCGCCTTCCAATATCTCCAAGATTTTTTCATTAATATTATCCACCTCGTCATTGGTTGGGCATAATATTGCTCTTTGTGAGAATTGTTCTACGTTGTCTGGAGTCAGAGTTTCGCCAAAAATATCTTTAATTATATTTTCGGAGGTTAACATGCTTTCAGGAATTTCAATCAAATTTTCGTTCAAACCATCTTGATTTTTCAGTTCTCCATTACCAAGTTTCATGAGCCAATTGCTGTACTCAATATCTAGTGATCGAACATTGTTGTTTAATTTCAAAACCTTGAATTTATTCCACAATGGGCTGAACTTAATGCTTGCTTGTACTACTGCAACTGCGTCTCCGTGAGAAATAATTGGAAGTGTTTGTCGGCAATAACAAAACTTTCCCTCCAAAAGGAACATTTTTTTCCATAATCTCTCTAAGTAATCGATTAACACAATTTAGTGCATGAGCAGGTGCCATTGTTGATTCGTCCCAAATCAATAATTTCGCCTTTTTGATTATATCGGCATCTTTACTCATCATTGTTATTCCAGATACGGTAGTTTCGTCAATTTTCAGACGAAGCTTGTATTGAGAATGGTAGGTTCTTCCGCCTTTTAAAAGATTTGCAGCAATACCGGTTGAAGCAACTGGTAGGGCATTCTCTCCTTGTCCTCTAACATGACTCAACAATGTCTTGTAAACATAAGTTTTTCCACTTCCTCCTGGCCCATCTAAAAAGAAGCATTTACTGCCATCAACCTCAGATTTCATTGCAGTTTCGATCTCAGCAAATGCTGCTCTTTGTTCGCTGTTGAGGGTAGCGTTCAGCTGTTCCCCTAATTCCCTCTCAACTTCAATTTCAGCAAAGTTAATCATATTTATTAGCATATCTCTAGGCGGATCAGGAAGTTGAAAGTCGGAACATTTGTGTTCATGGCCAATCAAGGTATCTTGAATATCTCTCAGGGTGTAATTATCACAGCCTTCGCACGTGGATCCAGGAGGATGACCGTGAACTCTAGCAAAGTCTTCGACTAAATTTTCTCTATGCTTATTCCAGAGATCTCTAGCATCAGCGAAACCCCCGAACACGCAAATATATGCAAATAACTCTCTGAGTTGTCTTGGCATAGAGGAATATGCTGCATCGTTAAGAGTGTCATCCCAAACGCTTTCATTCATAGTAAGTCCTCTAGCCAATGCGGCTTCATAAAATGTCGGAAATATTTGTCCATTAAATGTTCTGAGGGCATCAAAAGACGTTGCCCCTGTTACGTGTAAAAGTAATAATCTCAAGAAGTACCTTTCAGTGTCTCTCATATTTACGGGATACATTCGACCAATTGTCGTTTCTTGTCCTCTTTGGCGAATCACCCACTGACATTTTGCATTAAATACATAATGCTCTGGAATTTCATGATACTTAAAATTTCGAGCTTCATGTTTTGTCTGATTTAGCTTGAACCAAGCCATCAAAGTCGAATCTCTATGTTCAGCTTTTTGAATTGCTTCGTCAATTTCATCAGGATCAAATGTGACTGATTGATCATTTGGAAGATGCACAGCCAACCGTTTAACGGTATGACTTTGATCTTGCATTTTAAATTTAAAAATTCGCCAGGCCGCTTCAGGTGGGCTGACGTATCTTGAATCGACATGCGTCTGTACTTCATCGATACTTATTTGTGCATTAGCACAATCATGTCCTTTGTAGGCATATTTAAAGAGGTATTTAACACTTTTTATAGATGCACACACTTCCACGTTAACATGACAATTGTATTTCAAACTTAAATAAGGGTTGTAAGGGACAACCCAGCTGTTATTAATTTCAGTTTGGTTGTCGAGTACCACGGTACCTAAATTTCGTCTTTGATATGCTGGATAACCATTGACATTGTTTTGTGTTTCTGATTGGAAAGGCTTTGGAAATCCTTTACAACATTTAGGTTTAAGTCCAATTATTAAACATGGTGATCTAGATCCTGGCTTATTGCACGGGCCATGAATCATATTTTTTGTCACAACCTCAAATACTCGTGGATGTGTATCTTTATTGGGAATTTCTGCTTTAACAATTTTGTCAATCAACGTCGCTGTTCTAGGTTTATCTTCCAGTTTCAAGATAATCAAAATGTGAGCATGAGGTAAACCTCGTTTCTGAAATTCGATAACATGCACTTTAGCCAAAACTGTACCAAAGACTTGTTTTTCGATCAAATCATCAAGAAGTTCTTTCAGTTTGAGTTTAAACACTCTAGCTACTAAATCGGGTCTATTTTCTGCTCGCTCTCCGGTTCTTAAATTTTGAACTATCTCATCCCATTTCGGATTGCAAGTCATTGTGACAAACAAATCCGGTTGAGGGCAAAATAATTCTTTTTCCAGGTATTGCATCATGAGCTTCAGAAACATGATCTATTAATGATGAATATGAATCAGCTCGTAGATCACCTTGATGGTGTCTGATGTAATTTAAATCGTTAGCCTCTGCTTTCACATATGCATCAACAAAATATTGTTGAGTTAGTTTTCCGCCGCTTAGAATCGGACTAAACTGATTTCTAATCGAGAATAAATACGAATAATACATTTTCAAAGTTACACGTTTCCGCTTATTAGTTGCTACAGGGGCTTCAGCAGGATTAAAAATTGCCAAGTCGGCTGCAAGTTCATCAGCCACTCTTGCTTTGTTTCTTCTCGTATTGCCAGTATTAATCAGGGTCAAATCTTCACCCCAACCTTGTTCCGCATTAGGATAAAAAATTGGATATGTCATCGAATCTAAATTTTTATGGAGAATGCTAATTCTTTTAGTTCCATGAACATTTTGTCCTCTTGATCTTAGGTGAACCAATAGATCTCTTTCTAGTGGGGGTTCTCCATCTGTGTTGCTAAAAATAACTGCAACTTCATTGCTCCGTTGGACATTATATCGCCTTGGATCAGAATTTCGGTTTTGTAAAATGGCCATCGAAATCTGATTTTCTACTCGTCCTTCGCGAGCTGCCTTATCTTTCTCCTCCTGTTCAACTTCATATAACATTTTGTATGCTTTTGCAAGATCATTGTGCTGCATTATATCAAATAATTTTGTCATTATGCGCTCTTTACAACTTGCGTTGGCTGGTTGATTCATTCTCTGGGCAGTAGCTTGTTCTTGATCAAGAATATAAATTTGAGCATACTTCCTAGGTTCACTCCCTTCAGGATGTAATGTTCCTGTTCTATGGTATATTTGACCATGGATTCTAAAGCAGTACGGGCCGAAACCTGGAGGTGCTCTAATTTGAGCTCCAACAGATGCAAAACCAAATGCACTATTATAGGATCGGATGTTATCAAAAAAGTGCTTTGAATCAGGGTCTGTTCCTGTCAACAATCCCTTAATGTAATCATTGGTCTGAATTTCGGGTAATTTTACTTTACCCTTATTACAACAAACAGTAAATTTTCCATCTCCTGCTCTTTCGTTTTCAAAATGAATAGCATTGCAGTCATTGCAAATAACATCAAATTGTCCAATATTGTGTAAGGGAAATTGAGACTCGTCTATTTCGTTGATTAATGCCATTCGGCAAGTAGCTTGTATTCTGCGATCAGCTGCATTAATTCGATTAGTTCTCCGCCGTTCTAGCCTTGCTAAAGTCTCGGGGACAGTTTCGTTTTCCCTAGATTTTGCATAACTTCGGGAGTTCGTGAGATGTCGAGCCGCAGTCTGCTCTTCGCTTTCATTTTCTCTCTCTAGTCGCTTTCGTGCAGCATCTTTTGATCGTTTAGGCGATGGTGCACCCATGTCATTCTGGGACTGCGAAGCATCATCTCTTACAACGAAGGTCTGTTTCCTTCTGCTCATTGTTACTAATTCAGTCCGTTGTATAGATTAGGAAATTAATTAATAAATGACCGAAGCCTCTCAATGTTGGTCTCAAAGTTAGTCTCAAAGTTGGTCGAAGCCTCTAAAAGTTGGTCTCAAAGTTGGCCGAAGCCTCTAAAAGTTGGTCTCAAAGTTGGCCGAAGCCTCTAAAAGTTGGTCTCAAAGTTGGCCCAAGCCTCTAAAAGTTGGTCTCAAAGTTGGCCCAAGCCTCTTAAAGTTGGTCTCAAAGGTGATTGACGCCTTTCAATTAAAAAATCACCGAAGCCTCAAAGATGGGCGAAGAATGAAAATGAAAGGGACTGGCCTCAGGGGAGCGTAGGCTGGTAATTAAGTCTCAAAATGTGGGGGAGGAGAATGGAAACTAAGCCACTTCGGCCTAGGGTGTAGCGCAAGCTACAGTCGTCGATCCTTAAATTTACAGATTGCTGTTAGTATCAAATTGTAAACAAAATATTTAGCCCAGCAAAAAAATAATCATAGAACAGATACTCACTTTTAGCTTAGCCTTAGTCTTAAGCATGTATTAGGCTAAGGTGACACACAGGGAGTTATGAATTCCTATAATATAAATGCAGTTAAATTTAGTATGATGCAAAGGGACAATCATAAAGCTGATGATTTATTTATGAATCACTTACCTAGTGGAGACTACGACGGAGCAGAAAGAAGCCAGAGGATTTGGAAGTCACAACTGCTGTTGGCAGTGCTGTGGAACGATCGACACTGCAAAATATGAACTATTGTAAATACCACTTGTTTGATGTTTATAAAAATTGTAAACAACAAGAATTAGAACTAGAATTCAATTCTTGCCTTATCCGTCCTGAAATGAGGGAAATAGGAGCAATGCGAGATTTACAAATTTGAGCGCGAGTTTTGATAATCAAAACAAAAGTTTACAAAATTCGATTAATTCGGCTATTAACACAATTTGTTCGGAAAGATAATGCTTGAACAAACCATAGAATAGTTTGTAAACAATTTATTATTTTAACTCACCTTGAAAACCCGAAACGAAACGAAATTTCTTTTTCCAAAATTGGCGCCTGGGTTATTGCCTAAATTGACGATTAATTGGCTGGAAATACTTTGAACATCAATTTCAAAGTCAGTGTGATAAACAACACAAATACTTTTGAAAACAAATGCGTTATTTTTTTTGCTGTAGAGCGGAACAAAATTTCCACACAACCATTCTCGATAAAGGTACGCGAAGTGACCTAAAAACGTGCTAGCAGTGCGTTGAAACGTTTTAGTCGCTGTCACACCTTTGCATAACGTTTTGGGAAGAAATGCCAAAATCACCATCTAGCGGCGAAAAATGCAACATTGTACCCCAAAAAGCCGATAGGTGGAGCGGGCGAGTAATTTGGATAATTATTGGGCAATGCGAGACACATGTAATCAAGCGCCAAATTCAATTGTGGACACGACCCACTGCACAATTCTTGGTTCTGATATTAGGAGGTGTAGTAACTTCAGTCAACCAAAGTCAAGGGGTTTTAATATCCTCCGGGAACCGTGGTGCCGTGACCAACTCTGTGTAAGTAAAGGACTGTGCAGAAAGAATGTAATCGATGTTAAGGGGGGTTAATGCACCTTATCCTATATCCTTTCCTTAAAGGATATAGGGGGTTAAAATTCTCCAAAAATCGATCACATGCTTTATGTACGGCCCTTAACGATACTTCCATAATTTGAAGTTAGCTTGGCAATCCTTTCTTACTTTATAAGATAAAGAATTTCTCTCTAATCCCTTCCAGTCTTTCATCCGCTAGCACATCGAGTAAATCAGCTCTCGAGATGCTGACTGACATGAGTGTCACCAGAAGTGATCTTCCAGCCTTTATAGAAGAGCACGAGAAACCTCCATCAAAGAGGAAAAAATAATTTCGATAGAGTTTAGAGATTCTAGTTTGGATTTGGTTTAAGATTTTCAATGTTCCGAGTAAAAACATATATGCTACCTAAAATATTTATTCTTGTATTTCCTTTCTTGAAATGCTTTATCATTTCAATCTCAAGTTACACCTTGTAATTTGGAGAAATCTGTACAAAGTTTGCTAAAATTTTCTATGCATTTGCAATAAAAAAATTTCGTCAAGTAATCCCAATTAATATTTTCTCTACAAATTTTTAGCGTAATTCATCATCATTACTACAAAACCCCAAAATGATGCATCAGCGGATCTTGACGTACATGCATACATTTACATATAATCAATAAATGATTTCGCATTGGAAAAATAAAATAAACTTGTGGATTGAATTTTTTACACATAAATCGTTTTACATTTTACATGCAGTAATTGATAAATCGGATTGTCAGGAATATCAGAGGTCAACCCAGACAAATTTGCCGGCGTGCCAATTTTGAATGATTTTTGGCAGCGTTCTCTGCTCGGCGCGGCGCCCCAATGTTGTATGTGAAGAAAATCAGATTTATCGGCGCGTAAAATGTTACCGGCGTCCGGCAGCGTACAATTGGTGAATATGCTTTCTACATATCTCAGAAAGGTTTTTTGAAAAAGCTAACTTTTTACAATAGCTTTCAATTTACATGAACTCAACTTCTCGCGTGATGATGACGATAGCTGTGCGAGTGCACACATAATTTATGTACATACATCATGTATAGCTTTTGGTAGATTTTAGTCGCTCGTACAAGTTGAAAATAAATAACATGATGGAAATGAGACGGAATAAATATGTGTAGTACCCCATGCAAGGATCACACTCACCGCCCATAAATAAATGTGTGATAAATTGATGTTGGGGCACTCGTTCTTGTCTTTTTGTGTGTATCGCATCCTGTGATTTTGTTGCTGTTTTTACAACTATTATCCATTACGTGTCCTTGCTCGTATGTAAGAATGACACGGTTCTATAGGGTTCGCCTGTACAAGAATGATACGCTGCAACGAAATGCAACTTTATTCAAACAAATTTCAAATAACTGTGAAAAAATCTGCAATTGAAATGTCTCTTTTATCGCCATTAGTGTATTTTGTGTTGCATCCTCTCCTCCCGTTCGACACTCGACTATGATTTTATGACTTGTGATAAGTAAGTTAACGTGATTTTGGGATGAAAAATTTGGTCAGATAATTAGTTGCCAAGGCGAGAGAAAAGACAACGTTTTCTTGTGTAAGGATTTATATAAAACGATTCATGCCTTTATTTTTCGGGTTAGCGAGAGAATGGTGACAAAAAGTAGCACCTTGTTAGTTCTGTTGTTAGTAAATCTGTCAGTCGACTATTTACATGAAAACCAAATGAATAAATTTGAATGACAATATCTGTATGTTCATATTTAGATACCAGAAAATCTACACATAAATTAGCTAAGATTTATTAAACTGGTCCTGGTAGATGGGGCAAATCGAGAAAAATTGCCTTGACCAATTAAAAAAATTAGGATTTTTTCAATAGTCGAAGACAACATCAACTATCGCTTAGCAAACGTGGCTTGGAAAGGGTACGGTTTTAAAACTATGCCAGGTCTCATTTCCAAGCTGGGTACTTCTTGACCTTTCGGGACGCTCAACTTGTACCGCTGCAAGAGTGAGGTGATTCCCAAAAATGCAACAATGTTCGTTTGCAGTTCTCCAGGACAGTTTCTCTTCCCTGAAGAAACGTTAATAAAAAATAAATAATACTTGGAAATTATAAAATCATGCAAATTTAAAAACTACAAAAATTTTAAACTCGCCGAATGAAAAGGAAATAATTTTTCCCGCATTGACGACCTGTCCAGCCTTGTCGAGGAAACGTTCCGGTCGAAATGCTGCTGGATCAGGCCAATCCTCCTTATTTTCATAGTACAGCCGTGTGTCGCTTATGATGATTGTGTCCTAGCAATCATGAATACATAATTAAATACCAAATATCTGTATCACAGATAAGCATAGGGCGGGTATCTAGATCCCAAAAATTTAAATATGTGTATTGGCACACATTTCTACGTTTTCAGATATGTACCAAATGTTTCCGCTATAATCTGAAAAATACGTATTTTATCGGCATTTTTTTTCAATATACACATATTCTGTAAATATTCCAAAAATGATTTTTTTACTTTGAGATATTCGACCACAAAAAATTCCAGTTCATTACATTCAAAAATACAAAACTTTGCGAAAATTATTTTTTTTTCTTGGTAGTTAGTTTGTAAATATTTTGCAATTTTTTTATAAAAATGAAAATTTGATGTTGAAATACTAAATTAATAATAAATACTAAAGGTTACATAATTGTGCCATAATTATAGTGTTTTGACGCATTTATCTTCATACCTTTTGAATAATGTAGTTCTTATAGGCAATATCCGACAAGGCACGACGAGGGAGCAAGTTCTGGACGAATTGTCCCTTCCGATGCGCCTCCAAGAAGAAGGCTTAGATGTACGGCATTCTAATTAGTAAAGAGAAGAATGAATATGCCTAGTTATTTACTTGAAAATGTACGGGGTGGTTTAAACGTCACATTACAGTGGAAAATTTTCCAATTAGAAAATCAGTAAATTTCCATTACCTTGGTAATTATCCAAATTTTGCCTCTTAAAGTCAACATTTTGAGGATTTATATAGCAAGGTTGATATTAAAGAGAGTTGGATAATCAACAAAAATCTCAATCCAAAATCCTCATAACTAACATTGCGATGGTGTGAAGTGTAACCCTCCGATTTGGCTGAAATTTTGAAATTATCTGATCCATGTCAATACAACCAACGTTTCTTGAGGCAGTTTGTGCGATGGTCAGAATTTTCCAAAATATTTGAGGGCAAAGTAGAAAAACGGGTGATTTTTCCTGGCGGAGAAAGCAAACTCAAGTTCCATTTACTTCCGGTGTTAAAAATCGCATGTTTTTTTTAAATTTGGCCTCAAATATTTTGGCAAATTCTGACCATCGCACAAACTGCCTGAAGAAACCTTTAGTTGTATTGACATGGATCACATAATGTCAAAATTTCAACCAAATTGGAGGGTTACACTTCACACCATCGCATTGTAAGAGAGATTTATGGACTATTCCCTTTGCAATATTTTCCATTGAACCACGTGTACATTTCTGTAACAGTTCAATGCAAATGAGGTAATCCTACACACTTTTTCTTATCGGAAAAACTAAGGTCTCCTCCATCCGGTGAAACTTTTAAAATTTCTTGATAAACTTTCTCCTGTACGTCCGGATAAGTTATGAGGAATAAAATTACGATCAATATAAACGTGTTCGACGTGTCGGTACTGGCGAGCATCAAATCTTGAAATGTAAGAAGAAAATTGTCAGCTAAGCAAAAGATTAGTTAATTAATGGAATTAATAATTAAGTCAAACTATGTAATGCATAATTTAAATTTAAGTACAATTAAAAATTTTAGGATCCGTGGTACAATTTTGGACGAAAGCTTCCAATAAATTTTTTGGCGTTGTGACCTGCACTGTCTTCATTTTTGCATCAGTTTCGTTGAACAAATTCTGCAAATTGGACGATAAAGTAGTTATTCTCTGTTCATCATGGTCAGGCACTTCATTCAGATAGATAAATCTTATAATTCATATTTTATACATTATCACACTCTTAGAAATCCAATATTTCCAAGTGGTATTCATGAATGACTGCACAGAAGTGGTTTTGATAAGTAATACGGTAAGTAATATTTTGGTATTATAGTTTTACCATAGCGGTAGTACATTTTTACGGATCGGTACATATAATTTTAACACCAAGCTGTTGTAGGAAATGTAATACCGCGAAATCAGTACCTGCGGGACTACATACATATACCAGATTTTGAACAGTACATAACTCGTCAAAGTTAAATCTACTGTTTCGAAATTTCGCCAAAAATATATAACACATAGGATTACTAAAGATTTTACATAAAGGACTAATTATTTAAAAATTTATTTTGATGTTCTTACTTGCGCAATTGAATTGCACGTCTGGAAAAAGTCCATCTGCACATTGTATCCTAATGCGTTTGGAAAGATAAATCTCAAAAATGGAAACGCATTTACGATTCCGGTCCCAAAAACGCTGACTCGAACGAAAGCATCTCCTTTCTCGGAGAGGATTTTTATAGACGGTTCGTCTTCTGGGGACAGACGACCAACTATCATTTGCCACATGATGGAAAGTATGGAATCGTTGTAGAGAAGTTCCACATCGAGGTCACAGCTCGTCTTTTCAAATCCTATCTTATCATCAATTGAGGCGAATAAACGTTTCGATGCGACCTACTTAGAAATTTTATGTTTGGATTTCTTAATTTTTAAATTTTATAGGATTAGTTTTTTGTTTTACTTTAATAAAACGTTCCATATCAGAAGATTTGCCAAAACCGAAATCTTTCAACGTTTTAAACGTCCAAGGTCTCAACTTTTCCCAGACTTCTCCTTCAGAAAAAGAGATTCCTAAATTCTTATGGAAACATCGATCTGCAAACATTCCTGAAAAATCGCGAGCAAATGTTGCCTCATTGGAGAGGATGGTTTGCATGGCTTCCTTTGAGGTGAGCACGACTGAAATAAATTTTTAATTTGGCATAAGTCTTTAATTTACATAATTAATCTATTAATTTGCATACTTAAAATTGCACGATTAAAATTATAGGCTAAATTGGATATGAGAACATTTAAAATCTGTATTTATTTTCTACATAAGTCCTCCGGACTCACCTGACTTTTTAGATCCGATCCTTAAGGAATATATTTCTCCATATTTTTCAGCCAAGTTTCCCATGGCTAAGGTCATTTTATCCGACGCGTTCGCCAAATCTGGCAAATTTCCTAGAATTGGCCACGGTTTTGGTCCTGCAGAAAAATCACAAAACTTTACGATTTATAATAAACTCCAGATTTACAACTTGTACGAAATTAGCAAGTTATGGTGAGACAATTCATGTCAACCTTCGTAACTCCGTAACCACATAAACTTCCGCAGATCGACAGCTTACGAACCAAAAACATGCCATTGATCTTCGTACATAACGTTTTGTACATACATATGTTCGTAAGTAAAACTTAACTTAGAAAAGTTTGTAAGTTACGGACTTACGCAAAGACTAAATTCCCATTCTATCTAGGGAAGTGCGCCTAGCGGAGGACACTGGTCGAAAAACGCCGTATGGCTCCGCACGCGAATTTAAAAATAAAATCTTTTGTTAAAGTTTTCGACAAACTTATGTTGACTTCAAAAATCATGATGTATTACAAGTATTATTTTAAATAATGCCCACAACTTTTTTAGGTCGAAATCAAAGCAGACACTTTACATAAAATTTTTCAAAAAATATGATCGAAACTAACCAGAATAGAATTTAGCCGAATTTTCAAATGGGCGGTTTTCTTTTCAGTCAAGGGTCAGAAAGTCTGATATGGCTTCAAATTTAAATCGACAAGCAAGTTTCCTAAAAAATTGGGGAATATGTCAGAAAAGAAATGACCCTGAATTCTTCACTATAAATGACCCCAGTGACCAAAATACGTACGCGAAAAACTGGATCAAATGAGTTTTGGAATCCACGGTCATTGGTCATCATCTTCTGCAGAAAATTATTTTTTGGCTTAACGTAACTCGCTGTCAATAAGTCAAAATTCCTAAAAATTGCCAAAAAGTTAAAAAATTTTGATTTTTTTGCCGAGAGGAAATTGCCCAAAACTTTCCCCGATGTGGTCACATTGAAAAAGCCGGGACGGATTTTAAACGCTAATATCCTAAGAAATACAGAATGGATGGACTGATTTCAACCGAATGTGGTAGCAAGCTAGCTCCAGGTGGGTGAGAAAGTTTTTTTTGAAGTTTTCAGGAAGAAAGTGGTTGTGGAAGCCACACACGAAGCAGAGCAAACTATGGTTGAGTGTGATTGTAGGGTAGGGTCATTACTTTATCATCGTAAATTTTTAGTACACCCAGTCCGCTATATTTCCAGATATCCACATTTTTATGCCAGTCTCTTGCGCTAGATGCACTTCCCTATATGTATTTGTTTTTAATTTTCGTGAAGTTTTCACAATGTGTGCACGTATGTAAAATTGAACGTATTAAAAATTACATACCTGGTGGTTCCTTGTCATCATGATTATTTTTTAACAGCAAATAGTAAAGTATCAGGAAAGCAGTGATTCCAAGAGCGCAATAGAGAAACATCTTTCTCCCGTGAAATAAATTTTGCTACTACCCCGACCTTCAATAAGATGCGATTGCATACTTAATAAAACTTTTAGGGGAGGCTAGTCCTCAATCAAGCATACATATGCATGTCACATACATAGGCGTAGCTGTTATGTAATCACTAAATTTCATAGACTGTGAAAACTTGCATGTATGTATGTACATAATCGCAAATATATGTATTGTCCCGGACAAGATAGCAGTAAATTCTACCTGCACGGAATATTTGCACATGTTGCCTTGAACTGCGCAGAAGAGGACGGCATGGATATGAAATAATCGAGCTGCTTTGCCATTGCCACGACAAAAGCTGTAAATTTCCACCCGGATGGTGATGATAAAACTTGCACAAACAAAAATCTGGACGTGTAATTAAGAAAAACTGGATTGGGCATTTCACAATGACATATATAGCACTTTACTAAATACATTGCCAGCAATTTTGTTGGGAATAGTGTGGCATGACACGTGACAAAATAAGTGATACTTACAGATGTACGTACATTTACATTAACAAAAAATTTAAGACCATATGAGATGAACCGAACTGTTTCATGATGGAGTGATCAATCCTGATGAGGAGTTGAAAAAACTGAATCAAACTTATAGCGAATTTACTGATATTAATGTTCAAAGATGAAATACGTTGGAATTTGACTAAAGAAAGTTAAATACACATATGTAGATGCATGCATGCATGCGTGTGTACATCTGTACCATGCGTAATTGTGGATACAATTCAAGCTTTGAAGGCTTTTAGTTTTATTAACTTAAACCTTTAAATTAATAAAACTAAATTTCAATATTTCTATTAACATTCAGAGCATTACCATGTAAAAGTTTTCACATTATAACTTGTACCTGACGTTGTAACGTTCTTGGTCAGACTGAAGGTGGACATTTCGATACCGCTGAAAAAAATAAACCCCACCAAACCCGACAAGACCCAGGACGGACAAGATTGCCAATATAATCAGCAGAATGTCCCAACCTGGTGAATCCGATGGCTGTTCGTCCCCTTGCGAGTTGCTTTCTTTTTCATGAACGTCCAAGTTAGACTGATTGGTCACCCGTTCTTCTAACACCGTCGTCGTTGTCATAGTCGCAGTTGTAGCAGGCGGCTGGGTCGTCCTTGGGGTTGTTTTTGTTACGAAGGATTGCATGACTGTTGGACAAGTATTTCCGCAAAGTGAGAACGACTGGGTGTAAAAGGCAGGAACATGCCCATGATGGAAGCCCCACCACCATAAGCCATGCAGGTTTGGATATCCTGGCCGCAATTGGACCGAGTTCCCCCCACACGAGAGGTCTCCATGTAATTCGACACAGGTGGTTGTGGCAGTTCCTGAAATTTTAATGGACATCCTCCCAGTCGGAAGTGACGGAAGTGTGATGCACTGCATTCCAGATATTGAGAATGTATAATTGGTTCCTGTATGAAATGCTCAGAATGTGAATTTGTTCTCACAAAATCACTTGATCATATAATCAGGGTACGCTGCCTCGGGGTTGTGTGGCGTTGGAGTTTTTGTCCGCTTTTATGCTATCAAATTTCCGGGAAAACCCAATGCTTAATGGGTTGTTGCGGGTTGTTCATAGATTCTTGAAATATTTAGGGCATATTGAAATAAAATTCTGAATTATTCTGGATTCAGTATCAAATTTTGAGCATTTTTATGTTCGACTTGAATTGCCAAGTATTTAGCATTATTGCTTTGCTTTAATGGTCACGCTAAACATTAACTCGTCACTTAAAAATCCAATGAAAATATTTAAAATTGCATGCTAAACTAGAACATTGAATTAGTTTTACTCTAATAATATGTAATTCTAATATGAAATTTTACTTCAGCCCACAAAATCAACAAAAACCCACAAAAATCCAAAAACCCAGAAAAACTCCGGGACAACACCCGAGGTTGGGTTTTTCTAGAAAAACCTCGTATTTTTCCGAACCCTGATCATAATATTTCTTTGCACCTTTATAGGTCCCCTGATCATAAAATGTAACATTAGTTGGAATATCCCTCCTTATTCCGGCCCAATTTTGAGGATCGCATTTTTCCAAACACGGCCCGATTGAAGTAACCATCATTTTTTCATTGGCGACCAAAATGTCGTCCTCCCAACGATGTGCTGCCATGTCGTCGACATATTTGAAATAACCACTAGTTCGAAGTCGGATGAATTGTCCGACGCAGTTTTCTTGGGAATAAATGTTGATACAGTTCCCTTTTGTTTCAATTTTATGGATGTCACCAGATTCCGATTTGGGTATGGCGGGAATGCAACGTTCCACGTTAAAAATTCTTGCTAAAGATTTAGAAAGAAAAACCGGGCTACATAAATATTTAAATATACGCGAAAAAGTAATGTACATATATTTATGTATCTTATGGAATTGCATAAATCCGTCATTATGAGGAGACGAAAACTCCTTAATGCAGTTTAATAAGTCAATCCAAATACTTTTTATGCTTTTTTCTTACGAATTGTCGTATTGTCATCTATGAGGTGAATTTCAATGGTTTGAGCAAATCCAAAACTTGATTGAATTCCGATAGTCATAAGTAGCACTGTTATCTTTAATATTCTTGACTCTGCAGTATGCATTTAGTAAACTTATATTATTAATAGTAGTGTAATTAATAATTGTTATTAATTTGATTGATAATCAAATCAGAAAGAGCTATGGACGTGTTGATTATTTACGTATGTATTTGTTACATACACACAACGTAGTTTGTTACACACACAAGTAACTAATCTGAAAAATGATACAAATTTTGTCAAGATTTGTACACAGATGTTGTACAGTTTGCATGGAGGTTATATATACTTCATATTCTACATAAATATAAAAGTGGCGAACAATAATCCAAGCATGTTTAACTTAATCAACCACCACTTACTCAACATCGATATGGCCAAGAAAATCATAATTAATATACATATCATGTAATGCAAAATTCGTGATCGTCTTAACTATCTACGACATATATGAATAAATTAGTTAACCATCCCGTTACCTGAAGATACATATCTAGGTTTGACGAAGTATGCCATCCCATATTGTGTATAGAAATTAATAATTTTGCAAATTCAGATACACACTGTACATATAAATATTTCCTGATCAGAGTTTGCTTGAAGTGTTGCCTTAACTTGATGGATAGCACAGGCCTGGACTGGATAAATGCGTAAGCAATCTCGACAAAGTGTGACAAGGTCGATAGCCTAGTAAATGTATAACATTCATAATATGATTGTGTATTTGATGTGTGTTTGTGAAAATGATCAGCTAAAACAAATGATAAAAATATACGCATGAATTTACTGATAACTGATGTTCAGTATGCATATTTGAATTAAGTTAAGCTTATTGGCGTCGCGTAATTGAAGTCATAGTGGTTGTCGTTGTGGTGGTTGTTGTCGTCGTTGTCGTTGTAGTTGTCGTTGTCGTTGTCGTTGTCGTTGTCGTTGTAGTTGTCGTTGTCGTTGTCGTTGTAGTTGTCGTTGTCGTTGTCGTTGTCGTTGTCGTTGTCGTTGTAGTTGTCGTTGTCGTTGTCGTTGTAGTTGTCGTTGTCGTTGTCGTTGTCGTTGTCGTTGTCGTTGTCGTTGTCGTTGTCGTTGTAGTTGTCGTTGTCGTTGTCGTTGTCGTTGTCGTTGTCGTTGTCGTTGTAGTTGTCGTTGTCGTTGTCGTTGTCGTTGTCGTTGTAGTTGTCGTTGTCGTTGTCGTTGTCGTTGTCGTTGTCGTTGTCGTTGTCGTTGTCGTTGTCGTTGTCGTTGTCGTTGTTGGCGAGGTTGTTTCCGTTGTAGGTGTGGTAGTCGTCGTCGTCGTTGTCCTTTCGAACGTTGTTGTTGTCGTTGTGGGTGTGATTGTTTCCGCTGCAGGTGTGGTTTCTTTCATTGTGGGCGTGGTTGCTGTCGTTGTGGGTGTGGTTCTGGTCGTAATGGGTGTTGCTTTTGTTGCTATAGGCGTGGTTATCGTCGTTGAGGGCTTGATTGTTGTAGGTGTGGTTGTTGTTGTTCTTGGCGTTGCGGGTGTGTTTGTCGTCGTTTTTGGGCTGGTTATTGGTCGCGTGGTTATTGTGGTGGGCGTAGTACTTGTCATCGTGGTGGTGGATGTACTATTCATTATTGAGCAGTTGTCCAACGATGTTGGGCAAGCATATCCGCAAGGTGAGATTGACTGGACGTAATAGAAATATCTTTCCCATCATGGAAGCCCAACCGCCATATTCGATGCAGGAATGGATATCCTGGCCGCAATTGGACCGAATTCCCCCCGCACGAGGGGTCTCCATGTAATTCGACACATGCGGTTGTCTTAGTTCCTGAAATTTTAATTGACTCCCACAACTTAAAGGGGTGAAGTTGTGATGCACTGCATGCCAGCTAGTGATGTATAATTGGCTCCTGAAATATTCGAGACGTCAATTGGTTTAATTTTCTCTCACAAATTGAGCTTATCATATATGTACCGTTCTCTACTCACCTTCATACTTCTCCACGTCATACAGGGTAACATTAGTTGGGATATCTGTCCTCATTCCAATTTTGAGGGTCACATTTCTCAAAACAAGGTCCGATTGAACCAATTATCATGTTTTCATTGGCAACCAAAATGTCGTCCTCCGAACGATGTGCCGCTATGTCGTCCACATATGTGAGCACAGGAATTGTTTGAAGTCGGATGAATTGACCTGTGCAGTTTTCTCGAGAATGAATGTTGATACAGTTCCCATTTGTTTCAAGTTGAGAGATGTCGCCAGATTCGGATTTGGGTATGACGGGAATGCAACGATCCGCGTTGTAACGTACTGCCAAATATTTAGAAAGAAAATATGGATAAATATTCCGATTGGTGCACATACTGTATATCTAATGCAATTGCATAAATCGATTTAAAAAATAAAATTCGAAATAATTTAATGTAAATTTATTGTTATATAAATATTGTTATATAAATATTTATTGTTATATAAATTTAATGTTAATTTAAAATAATTTAATGTTTAATACAGTAATTTAGTGAAAATTCGAGCCAACTAATTTTTGTTTATATTTTTACCTATTGACTTTGTGTCATTTGTGACATGAATTTCAATGTTTCGGGGAATTAAGGACGCGAAATTTAGCTGAATTCTAACCGTGATAAGCAGCACTGCTATTACTACCAGTCTTGACTTCATTTTGTATTAAGTTTTGTATTTTGTACATTTTGTAACTTCTTTTAAATTCCTTGATTTACACTTATGTATTACACAAATTTTACAAAGTATGCAAAGTTAGGCAAGACTTGTGCATAGTCAAGTATTCACAGGAGGCTAAATGGTTAAAAATCATCCAAACATGTTCAATTTAATGAACCAGAGCGTAATAAGTATCGACATGTTCCCAAGAAATTAATAATCGCGAAATATGTAAGCATGTATCACGTACTACGAAACGCGTGGAGGTCTTGTAAAAAAAATAAGTTAACCATTCAGTTATGTATGTAAAGATGGGTTTGTACAAGCGTCGTATCCCGTATTCCTGTACAAGTAAATGATTTTTTACTGCTGATCAAATTCCAATGTGCGTATATATTATGATTCATGAGATGAGATGGTGAGTAACCGTCCAGCATAATGATATATATTTCTGAAAAAAAACATCTTTGCTTCTCTTCTCCACTCTTTTTGTTGCCTGTTTATTTTAATCGGTGCAGAAGTTTGGTACAGAATTAAACAAATTTTCCTTTGCAATGTATGTATGTACAAAGGAGTATTTATGAATGACATGCACTTCTCTACACATTGCCAACTTAAGTAGACATGAGTCATGTCACATGAGCAGTTTTGACAAAGTGTTTATGCAAATGCTAGCACGTGCTTTAATCGCTAGTACTTGTAATTGAAGAGATCACGTGACTGAATTATCCAAAGTATGTACATAGTATCCTATTTCATACAGGGCGAAAGTACTTATAATATAAATATTCTGTATATGTATTACTCCATTTTATTTTAAACCACATACATATTTTTGTTTTTTATTTTATTTTATTGATGTCATTATTATATATGTAGTAATTTACTACGAAATAATGACTTACTTACCATTAGTAAGTACACAAGTACGTACTTGCATATGCTATGTACTTATTTCAATATAAAAAAGGTAAGTAGAAATTTTAGACCTAAAGTCCTTGGATTCACGTCGCAATTCTAATTCTAATTCTAATTCTAATCCTCGCAATTCAAATCGCACAGTTTTGTATTAAAAAACATCTAATCACACGAAAATATCAAATTGTTTTCAAACAAGACCAATTTTCGTCTTAACAACAACAATCACGTCCACGTGGCACTTATCTTTCCATTGAATTGCCAAAACATATTCCAATATAGATATTTGCAACGATGCTAAGACCCGCATATAAAATTGTTGATCAATTTTAAATCCAAAAAATAGATCATGTTGCAGTGATATAACGTACGTACATATGTATGTACATGCACGGGAAAATAATAAATATGTAGGCTTGGAATAATTTTCATGAAGAACAATTTGGTTTCAATTTCCTGCAAAAGTTCAGGTAAAGCCATTTCCAAATTTAAACGAAATATTTTCAAACGACGACGTCAAACAAGACAACAATCCTGCTAATAAATATTGTATTTTGATCTTTTGTATAATTAGGTTTGACCTTCATAAGTTTAATAGTGTGACTAGAAGTTTGACGTCACTTTGTGTTGATCATTTTGTTCGAGAAACCTTTTGCTGGTGAGGTACATAAATCAAATAATTGTGAATATTGCAAGTTAACTATGTAAATACATATTTAATATAAACCACTATCTGGCTAACCTGGAAAATCAAATTGATTGATTGGGCTACATGTGTAGATAGATAAATCGCTGAAACTCGACGCAATTAAGGTCCACGGAAAGGCTTCCAGAATATGAAGAAGATTCTACGCATTTCAAGCAGCCTGAAGTTTTGCACATGTAAAAAACTATTTACTAAAGTTATTATACCAAGTCCACCTTATTGTCTAAATACATACGCCTATATTGTGAATATTTACACACTTCCGCCCGAGAAAATTTTATTTAATTATTTGTGACAATATTTGACAAATATTTGCATACTTAAAATTAAATCTATGCATTTAGTATTTACACAGACACAAAATGCAATTTGAAGGCGTAGTAGTTTAACTCTGTCAGCTTTAAGTGAAGCATATAAAAATCATTAAAACGAAGATTTCCATACGCGAAATCCAAATTGCTTGTTCCAACCAACCCAAAAATCATGAGAAAAATCATTATTTTCCGTCGGGTAGAGCGCCACCTTAGAATAGGAAACTACTTCTACTGCATTTTTGCAACATTTGACACCATGGGCGGAAAGATAAGTTTAATTTCGAAGAAGAAAGAACGACTCGTGTTATCCTTCACAGTTTTGCAACTCATGGTTATCATCGTTCGAATCTGGTCGATCGCCACGACGAGGGCGAATCTTCTAGAAAGTATTTTGGGTGTTGCAATTGCCTCCTTGACAGTTATTGGATTCGTGGTGCGATGTGACCCGGTTCCGGATTATGTACAAGTGCAATTCCTGAATTATGTATTTACTTCGAAAGGTGGGTTCTTCAACCAGAACATTATGTAAATATGAACATGCCCTAAATCCACGTAGGACTTAACCTTTACAGAATTTGAGAATTCTGAGCAACTACACCACTGACAATCCCAAAGTTCCCCGTAAACATAATTTGAGGGAATTCGAGACTGGCAGTGGCGTAGTTTCTCAGATTTCTCAAGAT